GTTGCCCCCTGTTCTCAGCATGGTGTGCCCCATTATAGGCCCACTTGTATGACCCTGTGCATATGCTTGCCCACAAAACTCCTATTAACTAAGCCTACTTACTTCTCAATGCAGTCATTTGCATTTTGAACATCCCCCCCCCCCCCCCCCCCCTTACCCTCTCTCCTCGCCCCTACTTATGATTGTGTTCAGAAAGGACGGCTACGAATTATCCCCCGCGTCTTCACAGCCCGCAAATCCCGCTCCCTCACCGCGAACGAAAGTCCAGGAAAACGGCTCCGAAACGCCTCTCAAAAACACACACATGGCTCGAAGGCGGAGTTCATTTTCCTAGATGGAACTACCAGTAGAAGGACTGTTCGATGGAGAAGAGACAGCCGCGTCTTTGGATGGTGTGTACGAAGTCGTTAAGTCGGGTAGAACTAGAGAACTAGGCTATGATTAGGTCTAATGAATCGAATTGGCCGGAGAGGTAGTAGGGCAGCTAGAAAGTCGTGGAGTTAAGGGTGTAGTTTCGTAATCTTGTCAAGAAGTCTTCTTGTTCTGACGGGAGGAGACATGTTGTGTTGATTGTAGATAGGGCTTGGAAAGGAATCCGTGACCGAAGGTCTGTGGGAAGGCTGGAGATTCGGCGATGAGGTTCTCTTAGAGAGTTGCGTTCGTGATGGTGGTGGTGGTGTATGTCTCGACGCAGGGGTCGAGAGTGTAATTTGCTGCGCCTGCGCCGTGGCAGTGCCAGGTGTTGTTTGTGGCGGCATTGTTGCAGTTCAGTGGATTCATGCTACTTGGATTGTATGGTCCAATAGTCAGGTTTCCGCCTGAAGATTGGAGCGGAAGGCCAACCAGGAATTCCAAAAACCACGCTGCCTCCATTATCTGCTCCAGAGTCGGAAACACCGAAAGCAGAGAAATTGCTCTCTCCGCCGTAGAGAGTAAAGTGATTGCTCAAGCCTGGAATTGAAGTATTCACGCTAGGAGTCGCCGTAACGTTTCCGTCTACGGCTAGATTTTGCAACCGAACCGTGATCTAGCTTGAGGCATCCCGATAGCTACTATAGTATCCGATAGTCCCTAACGGAGCAAAAGTGCAGTTACCAGAAGTGCACTGGAAATTGACCTGTCCCCTAGGTGCAACAATACCCGCTTCGATAGCTGCTTGCTCTTCGGACGTGATGCTAATAAGGCCTGCTCCGACGTGCACACCCTTGGCCCGTAAATTACTCTGTCCGTAGAAGGAGCACTGAATCCCTCTGATTCGGCAAAGTCCAATCCGAGTAATGCAAGACTTGCTGCGTGAAAGGGTCTACGAAGAGCGCTAGAAGTATCATGAGACATCCAAGCCAAGTGCCAGGAATGTAGTATTTTATTTCTTCCCGAGCCGAGGAGTATCAGAGCATCCGACGGACCTCTGGTAGCATCGTCGTGTAGTGCGAGATCGTATAGCGGCCTCGGACGTTCGTCAAACTATTTCCATTTCTGCTGTGCGATTCTTTCAGCTAGGAGGAAAGTTGCAGCGGCTTTGAGAATGACCATATACGCGCGCAGTAGAGCGTTGACTGTAATGGCATACGGCTGCTGAGGGAGTGGTTGGCCTTGGTAAGGGTAGAGCGTCCCAATGATGGCAGCAACGGCCACTATGACCAAGAAGCAAGCCAGACCCTCCGTTCTACCATGTCTTGAAAAGTAGTCTCGATTTTCCAGGCCGTGGCACTGATGTGGTAAGCGGTTGACGCACGAGCAGAGGTCTCATTGACTGGCTGTCCTTCGAAAGACTCGTAGGCGTTGACTGCGGTACTTTGAGAGACGTATACTGCTCTCCGGATTCCTGGTAAGTTCGAGCACATTCCTTCTTAAGCAACCGTACGGTCTTAAGGCGGTGCTTATGATTCAGCTATTCATCTAACATTAAACGTCTGACACTACTTAGATGCTCAGCCGTCTCGCGATAGATTCTTCTATGCGACAACAAGATAGCTATACTCCGCGCTTATCTTGTTTGTAGCGCCGTGAAAGTCATTCACTTACCTACGAAGCTCTGTCTGTTATGCGGCACACGTGAGATGCAGACTCTGCATCACGGCGCGGAGACTGCTGTCAATGTATAACAGTCGTTTTGTGCCGATGTCTTATATCGAGTCTTGTTGTCGAAGTTCTCGTCCCGTGTCCGGTTCCCAAGAGGCACCCCTGGATAGCGGGGAAAGGTTTCTCCGACGCAGCGCCTGATTGGAGAGAGCGGTTCCATCAAACGGGTCTAGCGTCGGCGAGCTATCGGCGTTCTGCGCAACGAGACTACGACAAAATCGCTTCGCTGGCGACATTGAAGTTCTCCCTGTGATTCAATTCATTCCATCTCATGCTCATCTCATGAGTTCTATGCATTCACATCACGTGGGCGCTCTGTCAAGTTGTTCAGCAACACCGAAATACCATTGGAAAAAGTCCCCGCGCGGGCATGCATCCTTCAACCACCGCGGCGCTAGGTACTGTCGTCTACCTAATCCGATCCAATAGAGGGCGGGGAATGGAGACAAGACAAGCCGTGCTGCTATACATACTCCTTAACCATGCCAATAGCTTGCACAATGTTTGTTAAGGAGAAGTACAAGACCCTAAACGAGCCAAAAAATACTCCACTTGGATTTTGGTTTGGTGGAGGATTCGGATGCTTATCTCTCCATAGTCCAGCCTCCTTCCTGCGAGAGATTGCACTTGCGAGGTGTTCTTGCATTAACCAGGAGCGGGTCCTCCGGGCGTGCGAGACGGTGGGATCTCTGAGCTGTGGCATGAGGTTGTTATCAGTATCTCTGGGATGAAATTCCAGTTCATGCAGCCCAGTGGTCGCTCTTGAACAAGTTCGACCTATACCATGGAAAAGCAGCGTCGTCTGAGACATCACTGCGAGACCTTCTTTTGCAAGATTTTACACCAGAGCATCATCACGACAGAGGGCCCGGACATGGTCTCTCTTTGAAACCATCACAAAGGTAACATCAGGAAACATACTCGATCGTCACGCTGTGAGTTTGAACTCTTCCAGCAATGAGCTACTCAAGTCACGGCTGTTGCCATGGCCACTACTGCTGCCACGTTTTACAGCTTCGGAGAGGCACTGTTCAGCTCGCGGCTTGTTGACTCCAGGTTCCCTCACGGCTGGTGAGGCGTTTCAAAGTGCAGGAAGAAAATGTACAGCCATACGGAGCCTGGTGTCGCTTGGCCGGGTATGTTATCAGTTGCAACTTGTTTGGCCGTCGACAGCCGTCCTACCAAGAGCTCGGAAATCCGCTCGAGCTGGATAGGAAGACCCGGCTCGAAGCTGTTGTGGAGAAAGTTGGTTGCGTGCAGATTTTGCTCAGAAGGAGATCCGCCTTCAGCCGGAGACAGTGTACGTATCTGCATGCCGAGAGGCTGCATGCCGACCGACCCTGCGGCGACGACTTGGATACGTAGCGGTACTCGTAGGGCGACACAGATGTGTTGAACGATCGATTGCGGATGAGTCTTGCTGTCATGATTGAATTCTTGATTTTGGATGTTTGCGATGAAGAAGTGAGAGATGTGAAACGCAAGGAATGCGGGTGCGGGCGGAAGTTTCCATTGCTGCGGAGAGTGCGGAGAAGCTGGGTGGGACACGATGAGGCTTGGCGACGACGTGACACGTGCAAGCCTCGGAAGCCCCGGACACGGGCCAGTCTCGCACACGATATGATATGGTGAAGACGAGCGAACTCCGGTCCGCAGGCGACTGTCATGAGTTGACGACCGAGAAGAGGTATCCGGTCACATTCCAGCTGCTGAGAACGTCGGAGCCGAGGACAAGAGTCGCCGTTCTCAGCAGAGCAGTGCCCTGGGTATCCGATCCGGTATTCTCACGCTGACCAGAGACGCCCGCCGCATGCATCCATGGCGGCGGGCCAGATGTGATGATGTGAGAGCTGTCGCGGTGAGAGCTGTCCGGTCGCTGCGCTGCGCTGTGGGTGAGATGGCGCCGCGGGCGTCTCGAGTGTCCCGCTCGTCGCCCAACGCTTTCCCTCTGCCTCTCCTCCTCCTGTTTCGAGCGTTTGATGAGATGAAGAATCGACCCTCCACTCCGGCGTGTTGAAGTCATGCACTACGTCAATCCCCGATGATCTAACCGCTGTTGCTTGGCACCGGCCTTACGGCCGTTACACCCGATCTCAGCAACCTGATTGGCGCGCTAAGAGACCGGCCGGACGACGAAGACGGATCGCCAATCTCGCTCTTGCATGCGACTGTTGTCCCTCCACCTTCAACAAGAACCCGCCTGTCGCACCGACTGCAACATTTCTTGGACAACCACTGCACTCTTCCCACGCTTCTTCCCGGCACATCTCTACCCTATGCCTCTCTGCATCCGGGATCCAATTCGATTCTTATAACATGCACTCCAGCAGCAGATGCCGCAGTTGACGTCGAGCCTGGTGCCACCACAATACATGTCCAGCTGAGCGCCGCCTACTCACAGCGCTCACCCTATCCACATCCCTCGGAGGAGCAGAGCCACGCTCCAGTACGACCATGTGCATGCGCTTGCAATTGTCACCCCAGTGTTAGCAACAACATGCCTCCCGTCGCTTCCCTCACCTCCTCTCATCGCAGCGCTGGCCGCAGCAAGACCGCAACCATGTCCACCTCGACACCCGCCGATCTGACACTGTCAACTCGAAACCTGCGCCCCACCTCCGGTCTATCTCAGAGAAATGGCGACCGCTCCGCCGGGGCCTGCTCGCCTTCGCCTGTATCTCCCGTGGCAGCCTCCTTCCGCTCGGGTTCGAGATCAAATCTTGCGCATGATATGGTCCGGAGCACATCGACTTCTACCAAGACTTCAAGCAACAAGTTACACAAGCGAGGCACAGCCTCGACGCCCTCATTGCCCGCCTCTTCGCCTCCGTTCGCGAATGGCGCTCGCTCGCAATTCACCACTCCCTTCGCTACATACGAAGAGCCCTTCCCAGATGTCGATCCCCTACCCGCACCCAACTCGAGCGTTCCCAAAATCAAGCCTTACCTGCGAAAGATGTCTACAACGAAAGAAGACCAAGGCACGATCGATCTGTCCAAGAGCATGAACGAGAATGATCGCGTGGCAGGGCTGGGCATACAAGACTTTGGAACCAAGAGTGCCGCGGATGTGAGCTTTGCACATAGCAGAAGAGGACGGCACGGCAGGTCTATTAGTGGCGAGTCCCAGGGCAGTGCGGGCAGTGGCAGCTTCAAGCCGGGCCAACCGTTCACACATCCAATGGCCAAGACGCCAAGACCTTACACGCCTCCGGCTGGCCGTAGTTACGCAAGCTCACTGAATGACGAGGAGGCAAATGAGAGCGATGATATAGTGGAGGATGAGTTCAGGTGGGCTGCTGGATACAGCAAGAGACGAAGCATGTCCATCTCGTCCAACAACCCAACGCCGCTGTCACAGACCCTCAACGCCAGTGAACTAGGTCTAATCCCCAAGCTCACCAACGCATCCCAGTCCAACCTCTCCACGGTTAGCTATCATTCCGACAAGTCATCGGGCCCAAAGAAGGGACGATCACGACGCAACACCGAACTTTCTCAAGACCACGTCTCTTCGCCGACTTCAAGAACATCGTTAGACAAAGCATTCTCCCTCGTGGGTCGTCGCTCTGAAGCTGCTGAGCCACAGAGCAGAAACGAGATGATCGCTGTAGCGAGGAAGAAGTTCGAAGAGAAAGAGGCCAACAAGGATCTCAAGTACGAGAGCAAGCGACGTCAATCGGAATCGAAAGAGCATGAACGACAACGCAAGAAGTCGGAGACGCCAACAGCGAAGTCTGCCCTGACACACGCACAGCCCGATCGGGTTGCGGAGAAGGAGAAGCGACGTCGCAAATCTTCTGCCGCTGCCGCACTTGCGGGTGCTGAGAGGGATGAGAGAGCTCAGCCTAAGAGCAAGAAGAGCAAACAGCAGCCCAGTCGAGACGAATTCCGAGCAATGTCCTACGACGACTATAGACCAGCGAATGCTGCGAGTCTGCCACGATACGGCACCGACCCCGGCTGTGGTCAGTCTGCTTTGAGCGAGAAGACGCCTAGGGCAGAATACGAACTTCAACCGATGATCCCTGAGAAGAAAGACGACGGGAGCTGGATGCGCTTCTCGACGTGGGTGCAGACGAGAATGTTGAGTTGTGGTGGAAGGGATTGATCGATGCATCCCACTGTTCGAACATTCGCGGTTTTGGAGCCTTAGCGTTGTCTCCGTTTTTGGCGTTTGTTTTTGTGCATTTGGATACCCGCTCTGGTTCATCGTTTGCATATACTGCTCTTGAGCGCTGGCGTCCGTTTGTGGGATGCGCAGATTGGCGCTCGCTTGAGCACAATACATGATGATGATGATGATGGAAACAGGCAACATGTAGAAGATTGCAACAAAATTTTGAAACCCAAATAGTACATGGAGAAGTATAGGTGTTACACACAATACCTCTCTTCCATTCCTCTTCTCGATGCGAAGAGTTCAAGTACCTTTTCTTATCCCACAATTGTGTCCGAGGCGAGAAAGGTCCGTGCTAGCCGGAGTGAGTCTGTCTGGACTTCACATTTTTTCCCTTTCTTTTCCTTCTCACAGTGCTGTTCGTTGTAGGCTGTGTCGGGTCTTCCGTGAAGAAAGTATTTCAAAGGCCGGAGTCTGACCTTAGAATGCCCTTCATACGCGATCAACGCCACGTGTGGAGTGCACGAAGGCAGAAGCGGGTGTAAGGTAGCTTTGTGCCTAATAGCTACGTGGTAGGCCGAGGGCTTTCTCGCCGATGAAATTCATGATCATTTCCTGAGCAAACACGTGTGAGCGGATATAATACCAATGCCATGGAGAGAGAAGAAATTGTGGTGACTTACGCGGCTCACGGGTGCGAGTCGGGGGACGAAGCAGTCTCGGAGGTATCGCTCGACGTGATACTCCGCCGCATAGCCCATGCCGCCCATGCTCATCACGCTCCGCTCGCAAGCAGTGAATGCAGCTTCGGCCGCGATGTACTTTGCGCTGTTGGCGGCCACTCCTACCTGATGCGAAGTGATGCTGTCGTCGTAGTCTGGGCTGTTGGGGGAGCTGCGATCGTACAGTCGGGCGGCGTGGTAGGTCATCAGCTTGGCGGCTTCGAGTTGCATGAAAGCTGACGCGAGAGGATGTTGGATTGCCTGGTTCTGCCCGATCGGTCGGCCGAACACAATCCGCTCTTTGGCGTACTGGGTGGACTTCTTCAGCGCGGCGTAGCCGAGGCCGAGAGCCTCGCCGGCGAGAAGACATCGCTCCGCGTTCATTCCGTGGAGAATTATCTTGAAGCCTTTGCCCTCTTCGCCGATCAGAGCGTCTTTGGGGATCTGGTAGTTGTCGAAGAAGACCTGGTTCGCGTCTACGGATCGGCCGCCCATCTTTCTGATCTTCTTGACTTCCAGACCGGGTTGCGACTTGTCGAGGTTTATGTAGAACATGCTGAGGCCTTCGCTGGGCTTCTTGACCTCCTCGATCGGCGTGGTGCGAGCGAGGAGTACCATCTTGTCTGCGATTTGCGCATTCGTGATCCAGATCTTCTGCCCGGTGACACTATATCCGTCGGCATTTGGCGTTGCGGTGGTCTTCAACTTCAGCGTGTCAAGGCCCGTGTTCGGCTCTGTGACGCCGAAGCAAGTCCTCCATTCGCCGCTGATGATCTTGGTGAGGAAGCGGTCTCTCTGCTCCTCGGTTGCGAATTTGGCAATGGGCTGGGTGGCGTAAACATTGGCGTGGATCGATTGAGCACCAGCCATGCCGGCACCACTCTCCGCAATACTCTGCAGCATCATCGTAGCCTCCGAGATGCCGAGCCCTCCGCCGCCCAGGTTCTCGGGCAGCGCGATGCCAATCCAGCCATCTTTGGCTAAGGCGGCATGCAGCTCGTGGGGATATGTCTCGTTGTAGTCGTGTTCCATCCAGTATTCGTCCGGATAGTTGGAGCAGATCTTGAAGATGGCATCGCGCACCGTTAGTTGCTCGTCACTGAAACCGGAAATCTCCATCAATTTTGTTCTGGGCGTTACGGAGAAGGCACGGGTGGTACATCTTGATGAAATGGATGGATTTGTGCGGGAGAGAGAGGCAAGACGAGATGCAGAGCGGAAAGAGGAGAGAATGTTCTTTGCCATGATGTAGAATAGAGATGATATGCTTGAATATGCGCGCCTTGGATGAAATACCTGTGAATGTTAAGAGGAGAATGTATAGATTGCTTGTTAACGGCGATGTCGGATGTTGAAGTGAGGAGCGTCGGGAATAACGTGCGTCAGTGCAGAAGTGAAGTCTATCCGGGGCCTCCGAGCAACTACCTACAGCACTACTTAAGAGTAGTCATCAATAGGTACTAGGTGACTGCTAGCGCCTCAGTACAAGAAGCCAGAGTTGCTTCGAAGGCGACGAGCAGGTCACGTGCGTCCGGGCGTGGGTCGTGTTGCGGGCCGCCCCGGCCTTTGTTTATCGCAGCTTCCGCCCGTTGACGCTTCATCATCACCACCACAACCATTACCGCCGAGGACGACCATACCACCGCGAGCTCCGCTGCATACAGCATACTTCTTGAACGACACGATATCGAATTGTACAATGCTCATCTAGCACATATATCGCAGCCTACGGTCTTTCTTGGCGCACTGTTGAATAGTTTGGACCGAGTAAACAGACGCGACCGCACACACATACCCAGCCGCGCCAATGGCTGCAACACGGTCAAAGGCGACACCGCCTGTTGGCTCGTCGCAATGGATACAGAACGAGAAAGAACACGCTGATCAGTTCGTCACGCAAGAGGTGGAGGAGTTCAGCTACAGTGTGCGCAACGAGTTAGAATGGCTGAACGAGCACATGGCCGACATTTTCTCCAAAACCCAGGTGTAAGTCGAATACCAGAAGACATGCACGAACCCACTGACACGTCGCAGTAACTTCGCAGATATGTTCAAGACACCTGGCAAACTACGCGGAAAAACACCTCGCACTGCCCGAAAGCGAGACGCAACAGCTCCACGACAACCATTGACTGACATTTTCGCTCCCAATGCCACACTGCCTGCCCCTGCCTCTGCGCAAAAGACGTCATTCTATGATAGAGTCGCCCAGCTACAAGTCCCTCAAGACGAAAATCAGATGCCGACTCATAAGCCCGTCTCGCGCGGCACCAGCCCACAACGCGCCGGAAAGCCCTGGACTGATTCCGGGTACCATGGAATGATGACCGAAGACGAGATGGAGCTTGACGCTGCTACGCATGCTGAGACTGACACATCTTCTCGGGCCGGTGAGCCACAAAAGATACCCACACGCGACGATCAGCCACTCGCTCAGCGCCTGCGGGATGGCAAGGCGGACGAGACTGGCACTAGTGATGACTCCTTCATATCTGCCAGAGAACAGGAGAGCGATACGCCCGCAGCGGCTGATGAAGAGATTGAGGACGCTGCTCCTGCCGGTGAGCCACAGGATGAACCACATGCCGAGGACGAGGTAATGCAGGATGAGAACGTGCCTCCTCCAACCGAAGAAGAAGAAGAAGAAGCCCACGAGGCTCCAGCCAACGAGGATATGAAGGCATTGGAGGCTGAGCAGGACAATGACGTGGACATGAATGTTGATGAGTCTCCTCATTCGGACGCGTCCAGCCCGCAGAAGCCGCTGCACAGAAAGAGCAGCTTCACTTTCTCCTCCCTCCCAGCCAGGGAGCCGCTCGGTGCAAAGCGAAGCATGGGACAAGTCGATCGACACAGAAGCAGCTTTTTTGGCAAATCAATCAACAAGGCCAGCCAGAATGATGCCGATGATGAGCTCTCGCAAGAAAAGTCTGCCGATGCAAGAGTCCACAACAAGTCCTCCACTCAGCTTTTGCACGAGCGCCTTAACATGCTCGGCAAGACAAAGGAGCCTCGTTCATCGAAGAGCATTCCACAGAGCGTTCTTGTCAACCAGCCAACCTATCCTCAGCTTCCAGAGACCGAACAGTCCAACTCTCAGGCAACAGAAGCTTACGACTATCCTGAAAAGGTCGCTGGCAAGACGCCTGCTCCTATGGACGACGACGATGATGATGATTGGATCGCGCCAGCAAAGCCCCATTCCGCGTCTCAGAAAGAGAGTACCGATTCTCCTTCACGCCCAGCAATGCACCAGAAGTCAATTTCGACGAACTACATTCCCTCGCCAAAACCCGAGATGGCGCCGGATACCCGACACCAAAAGGCCATTTCGATATCTCACCCTAACTTCGCAGAAGCTTTGGACACAAATACGCCAGCTGGCTCGCCGATGACGAAGAGGAATAATGACGGCCCGATTAGTGCTTCGAAAAACAGACTATGGTCTGCCTTGAAGTCCGCTAAGAGCATCTTCGCATCGTCTGCAAGTGCTAGCGCTGCGGCCAAGTTAGAAGCCCACAATATCTCTCCAGCTCCAGCAAACTCACCACGGCGAATTTCCGGAGAATCCAAGATGTTCAACATGCCCGGTGCTTTGTACACGCAGAAGGATTTGCTTCAACATCCTGCTAGGAACAATTCTGTGATCTCCTTTAGCCCTAGCAGAAAGACGAGGAAGTCTGCCGAGAGCGACAAGCAGCGTGAGAAGGAGCTTAAAGCGCAGCAGAAGGCGGACGAGGAACTGGAGAAGGCGAGAGAGAAGGAACGCCAGAGAGCTGCCAAGTGTTTGGCCGAAGAGAAGGCCAAAGCTGAGAAGGCAGAAAAGGCAGAGGCTGCCAAGCAGGAGAAGGAGAGAAAGCAGGCTGAAAAGCAAAAGGCTCTAACACCTGCCCAGCGACCGATATCTGCCGAGAGTGAGAAGGCTCCCGAGAGCGATATGGGTCCTCCACCGCCGCCAAAGAACAGCGTTCTTTCAAGTGGCAAGCTTAAGGCACCTGGCCGATTGATCCGTCCAACTCGCAATGAGCCAGCGCAGTCAAAGCCAGCACCAGTGTCCATCCGTGTGGCTTCACAGTCTCAGCGACTGGGTCAAGGGGCAACCCAATCATCCTTCTCCAAGTCGCAAGGCGCAGGTGCGGTGCCACCACCTCCGCCCAAAGACGCTGGACCTCGTGCTTCGTCTGCCATCGGTTTCCGCCCCGGCTCCGCCGCTCCCGGTAACTCCCGTGTGAAGGCTCTTGAGGCTGCCGCGAGGAAGAAGGAAGCAGATGAGAGAGCAGCGGCAAAGAAGGCCGAGCAGAAACGCGAGCTGGAGCGAAAGCGGGCCGAGAAAGCCGAGCAGGAGAAGCGTGCTGAAGAGGAACGTAAGGCAGCAGAACAGCAACGCGTCCAAGAGGCCAAGCAAGTTGCGCAGCGCAAGGCCGCAGAAAAGCAAGCTGCCGATGCCCGCAAGCGTGAGCAAGATCGTGCAGAGCAACAGCGTCGGGAGCAGGAACGTCAAGAACAAGCTCGCCGGGAACAGGAGCGCGCTGAGCAGCAACGCCGCGAGGCAGAGCAATGGCGACAACAAGACGAAGCTCGCAAAGCGAGAGAAGCTCATGAATTCGCAGAGCAGATCCGACGAGAGCGTGCCCAGCAAGCTCAAACACAAGCTCACGGAAGGAGTGATGTGCCGGGAACGCTGAGACAGCTCACGAAGAACATGGTGCCGTCCATCAATCCTGCCAAGCCTGCGAAGAGACAGCTCCCTGCCGATGATGATGAGCCGGCTCAACAGCCGCAGCGACCGGGACTTGTGCGCGGCCCGGCTACATATCAACAGACGGATGCCAAGCGAAGGAGAACTAACGAAGAGCAAGAAGAGCCCAACGAGCGGCGTTCTGTGATGGCGCCGCCCAAACGGCCATCAACTCTACGCAAGGTATGTGAGGTGCCTTCCAATACATGTCGTAATACTCACACTTCAAAGGAAACCATGACCAAATTCTCGCATGGTTATACGCATGCTCCTCCACCTGCAGCGCACCACGCAAGCATGTTCAAGGCCACAGTCACTGCTCAACACCAGATGCAGCACGGTTCGAAGCCTGCTCACCCGAGCCAGCTTGTCCAGATGTCGAATGCTCGAATCCCGTTTGCCGAGAATGCGAATCCGCAAGCCACGTACCAGCCGTCTGGTTCGCAGTCGCAGATGCATCCTGGATACGAGAATGTGCCGCCCAACAAGTTCAAGACTCCTGCACGACCTGCCCATGCTCCCAAATCCGCCAAATCGACGCCACACTACCCGCAGGGTGACAACATCGAGCTTCCCGATATCGCCACAGATTCGGAAGATGAGAGCGATGACGAGGAGGAGACTGGCGGTGGTTTCCGTGCTCCTTCTTGGGTGGCCAGTCCTGCCTTGCGTGATTTGCTCACACAACAGCAGCTTGTTGATCCCGAGACAGTCTTTGGCCCTATTGGTGAGCTCAAGATGGATGAGGTCTTCAAGAACAGCAAGAACCAGGATCGCTTGAAGCGCTTCCGTGATCGTGGAAGCAGTGCGCTTTGGACTGAGACGGGCGATGCTGTCACGAGTGCGGAGAAGAAGAAGGACATGGAGATGCGTGAAAAGGTGGCGAGGGAGGGTGGTTGGCGGTATGAGCCGAACGCTTGAGTTTCCGTCCCTCCTGAACTGGAAAAGCTGTTTGCGAGGCTGATTGAAAGTCTTTTGGGTCTTGGCGTTGAGACAGGTTGGTTTCTTTGAAGGCGGATCTTCTACATACGACCAACTGTCGACGCCCGTTTTGTGGTACATGATGATATTGTACCTTCACCCGCTTTGATCGCTCTTGATAGTTGAGCGATCGGCGCGTGTAGACGATTAATTGCATTTGGCATTGTACAGTGAACGGGCATTCTTCGAATTTTCCACCTTTCCTCTGCTTCTAGTCTCAGAGATCTCGTTGAACCATCCCCCAGCTCAGGCAGCATCTTCTGCTTCGTCTCCTTCCTTCTCTGTCGCTGCTGGTGGAGCCGGAGATGAAGCCTTTGGTAGTCCACTTCCTGCCTTGGGGGGTGGCGGTAATCCTCCAGTCGTCTTGGGCGTCGGAGAACTTCCTTCGAGCTCACGACTCTTTTGCTCTCCTTCGGCAAAGTAATCATCCAATACTGACGCCGGGGTATGATGTGCACGAGCCTTGCGAGGTTTTCCTGCGCCCATCGGAGGTGGTCCTGTTGCTGCTGCTGACGCAGGAGGCGGACCACCTGGCGATGGAGAAGTCATGTTGTTCGCTGGGACGAAGAAGTCTCCTCCTTGCGGCGTAGCGTCCGGTTGGGTTGGTGGCAACGAAGCGTTGTGACTGTTCTGATCGTCTGTAGAGAAGAGCGTCTCGCCCGGCCCAGCAGCTGGTCCCTCCGTCAACGGAGCCGGAATGCGATGTAAAGCACCATATCCCAACACGCAGCCCAGAGCACCTTCGCCGCCCCAATTCTTCGCCGGAACGATGGTGACCATGCGACAGACGTCGTATTCCTGATTGTACACGTACAGCCGCAACGGCGAATTCATGAACCTCTCCACCAGACCACCCAGCCCTCCATCCCCGTGTAGCAGTCCCTCCGGTGATCCGATCACGTAATCGGAATAGGGCAGCAGTCCAGCTACGTCCGCGGGAGAATTCGGCATCACGTCCAGAATATGCCAGACGTCCTCACTCCCGCTCAAGGGAGCCCATTGGAGCGCGATCCCCAAGGGTGCGTCCGCGGGTGGGACGGAAACGTAGACTTCGCGAATCGCACTCCCCTTGGCCCCGAAGACACCGAGGGAGATGGTCGATCCGGCGCAGTTTCGTACTTCTGTGATGAAGAGTTGGGGGTCCGGATTGTCGATATTATGGCCGTTGATGCCGATGATGAAATCGAACCAGGGCTCGAGGGGGAGAGTGGTGGGGTTTGTGTTGCGGAGGATCTGGAAGCCGTAATGGTTGGATGTTCCTCCTTGTTGGGACGATTGAGAAGGGCGGTTGCCGCCGGCTTGGAGGGCGGCGTTGGGGTCGGAGTCGAGACGGGAGATGAAGCGATTCAGGGTTCCGAACAGGTTGGCCATGTTGAGGTTCGAGGTGTTGTTGAGAGTGGTGAAGCGGTTTGGTGGTCGTCGGAGTGGTTTATTAGGAGGTTGAAGTTGAAGGAGAAGACGTGTCGTTCGTGGAGCGCGAATTTGATTGGCTGGCTGCTGTCGCTAGGGTTACGCCGGGCTTCATCTTAGGGTATTGGGTTTAACAATGCGATGTCCCGTTCGCGATAACCAAACTCACAATGAGTGTAGTGCTTGAAAAGGTTACAGTAGGATTCTGGGCTCGTGCGTAATTCGTGTGTGCTTTGCGGCTAGATTTGCTCGAGGACTAAGTCTCAGCCAAGTTCTATACCTCATGACAGACACATGAGTGGATGTAGGACTTTTGACAACATGACCACGGACTCGCAAAACTTATGATTCACATGGCTTGCCTCGTTTTGAGTATTTGAGCAGCTCCTATTCTGACGACCAAGTTATATAAATGTATATGTGGCCGAGCTAACACCCAAGATATAATAGTCGCCGCCGCTGAACGCGCCAAACAAACCAACACATCTATCTCACAATACCCGCATCATGACAGCGATTACGCCTTTCTTCTTGTCCTGAGCGTTCTAATCCCCGTGACCTCGACGCTGTTAGACCCATCCGCAAGTACAGCCCGCTGAATTTGCGTCGCCTCTTCTGACTCGACTGGCCCATTCATGGCCTGCTCAGCCTTTTGCCGCGCGGCCTTGACACTGCCCTTTGGCTTGGGCGGCGTAGACTCGGAGAGCTTACCAGCCGCAGCGGCAATCTTTTCTTGCGGCTCATCATGCACCTCGTCACTCTCGATACCCCGAGTACCGAACGGCGGGTCAAAGCGCTTCCGAATCGTCTCAATCATCTTGCCAAACCAGAAGATGTTGAGCGAGTTCAGAGTCAAGTTCGACGCAAGATATGTCAGGCCGAGCCATAGTGGAATCTGCTGTCCACCTCCCGCGAACGCCAGTCTTTGACCCTGCTCGTCGTTGTAGATTCGCAGCAAATCTTGAGTGGAGTACCCAGTCGGTGCACCGATGTCAGAAGCAACAAGATCGGTCTTTCCCTTGGCGATCATGCTGAAGATGTCGTAGAAGACATAGATACTGCTGATGTTACCCCAGATGATACGGCAGCCGAAGAAAGTGCCGGTGAGGAAAGCGCCATTGACGGCTTGATAAATCGAGCCAGTCAAATCGAGCTTGTCGCAGAACCAGTGGATATTCAAGAACGGGGAGCTGAGCTCGTAGAGAAGGAACACGGGAGCGTAGAAGTAGATGAAGGGCCGCTGCTCACTGTCAGTTATGTGTGCAACGAGTGGAGGTGAGCGCTGTGACATACGTATCCCAGCGCGAAGACGGAGAATGCGCTAATAGCATGCGCCAACATCCCCCACCCGAAGATCTCCACGTTGCAAGCACACATGATCAAGTCCCACAAGAAGTATCCCAGTGCGAAAGACTGGACCATACCTCCAGCACCGTCATACTCCCGTACCCTGGACTCCCATCTCGGGCGCGACCTCAACTCTTTCCGCTCTTCATCGAACCAAATCACATACAACGATAGCGCACTGATGAGCACCGCCTGGAAGAAGGATACGATATGGACATCCCAACTCACGCGCGTTCGGATGTTGAGTTTGCCGTATGTCTGCGGGAAGAAGGTCTTGGAGAAGACGGGAGAGACCACGTTGCAGATTGCTGTGTAGAGGAAGAATGCGAAGAGAACCTCGTGAGCGTGGAGAGCGAGGGTCGGTAGGGACAGCGCATCGGCGAGTGGTTTGACGAGCGAGACCAGCGCCTCCGGCGGCGCAACGGGGAATGGATCCTTCATTGTAGATGATTCGGGTGCTGGAGGAGAGCGCAAAAAGTCAGCTCATGGTCTTTCAGAGGGTATCTTAAGGCGGGAGAAGTGTGGGAGGGAAAGAGTCGCGTGATGAGGAGGACATGCGCCCTCCGGTTCTACTCCGTCGTTCTCGCTCTCGGGAGCCGGCGTGAACCTGGTCTTGAAACCATCAAATTTTGACCGCGACTTTATGGAGCTGGGAGCTAGGCGCGACGACACGCTAAAACTTTCTAGATGCGAGAAGATGCAAACATCAAACACTGCCAGACGTTGAAACACCTCCATCGAGACTCCGAGATACGCTTGAAACCGCGCCAAATTGTCTTCAACTGCGCGAGCAAGCTACAAGAGAGTTGGTCGAAGCTTGAAACAGGGCGCAGAGAGCGCGTCTAGATTGCAAAGATGCAGGCTCCTGTGGTGGTTATGAGTATGCGAACTAGCAGCCAGTACCTACACGAGCACGTGCTCACATGAATACAGACACGGCGACCGGCGACCGCAAGACCGGGCGACAAGCACAGCTCTCCAACATCACCGCCGCAAAGACCGTCGCCGATATCATCCGATCATGTCTCGGCCCCAAGGCCATGTTGAAGATGCTGCTGGATCCCATGGGAGGAATCGTCCTGACCAACGACGGCCACGCTATCCTGCGGGAGATCGAGGTCGCCCATCCTGCAGCAAAGAGCATGATCGAGTTGGCGCGGACGCAGGATGAAGAGGTGGGAGACGGCACTACTACTGTCATCATCCTGGCCGGAGAGATTCTTGCCTTGTCCTTACCTCAGCTTGAGCGCAACATCCACCCAGTCATCATCATTCAAGCCTTCAAGCGTGCACTGGCAGATGCTCTGAAGGTCATCCAGGACGTCTCGATACCCGTGGACATCAACGACACCGAGGTCATGCGGAGTCTCATCTCGACCTCGATCGGCACCAAGTTCACATCCCGATACTCAGACCTCATGTGCGATCTCGCTCTTCGAGCAGTACGAACAGTCAGCCACGATGCAGGCGGTGGCAAGAAGGAGGTGGACATCAAGAGATACGCGCGTGTTGAGAAGGTGCCCGGCGGGGAGATCGAAGACAGCAAGGTGTTGGACGGGGTTATGCTGAACAAGGACATCACACATCCCAAGATGAGGAGACGGATAGAGAACCCACGTGTCGTACTGCTCGATTGTACGCTCGAGTACAAGAAGGGAGAGTCGCAAACAAATATTGAGATTACCAAGGAGGAGGACTGGAATCGCATTCTGCAGATCGAGGAGGAGCAAGTGCGAAACATGTGCGATGCCATCATTGCTGTGAAGCCGGATCTGGTCATCACGGAGAAGGGTGTCTCGGATCTGGCCCAGCACTTCTTCGTCAAGCACAACATCACAGCTCTGCGTCGCGTACGAAAGACGGACAACAACCGTGTCGCTCGTGCGACGGGTGCGACCATTGTCAACTCCGTCTACGACCTTACGGAGCGTGATGTTGGAACTCACTGCGGCCTGTTCGAGATCGAGAAGATTGGCGACGAGTACTTCACCTTCCTCACCAAGTGCAAGAATCCCAAAGCCTGCACAATTCTTCTCCGCGGACCATCGAAAGACATTCTGAACGAGATCGACCGGAATCTGCTGGACGCCATGTCTGTCGCGAGAAATGTCATCTTCCACCCATACCTTTCACCTGGTGGTGGTGCGACCGAGATGGCTTGTGCGGTGAAATTATCACAAGCCGCCAAGGGCGTCGAGGGAGTACAGCAGTGGCCGTACCGAGCGATAGCGGAAGCTATGGAAGTGATTCCACGAACGCTCATCCAGAACGCTGGAGGCTCTCCCATCAGAGTATTGACGCAGCTTCGTGCCAAGCACGCTGAAGGTGGCAGCACTTGGGGCATTGACGGAGACGCCGGCAAAATTGTGGACATGAAGGACTACCAGATCTGGGAGCCGCAAGCCATCAAGCTGCAGAGCATCAAGACCGCTGTTGAGAGTGCCTGCTTATTGTTGCGGGTGGACGATATCGTGGGAGCGAAGCAAGCCAAGACTGGCGGAGGTGGTGGAGATGACTAGATCACAGCCGACAAAGTGTGGATGCTTGAGTGAAAAGAACGTTAAGACTTCCCGTACGATAGTGAATGACGAGAAAATTGCTTGTCCAGCCGCTCCCCCAGCGGATTCGATGTGGATTCTCTTAACGGCGTCTGTAGGAACCGTAGACGCCGGAAATTACAGCTTCAGCGCGGCCTTTGCCATCTTCTCGGAACAAGTAGCTCCTACACGCCACTTCTACGACTCGAGACCAGACGATATTTCCCAGAACGGTGCTCAATAGGCTTGAAGAAACATAGTCTCAACGCTCCATGGCAAGCACCTTACCCAAAGTATGCCTCAATAACGATCTTTGACAAAGGAAAGTTTCACCTTCCTACAGCTTCGAGGTCTCAAATCTACTTGCCGATACCGCCCAAAACCATTGTCACGAAGGAAATGCGGCTATTCAGAACCGTAAGAAGATGGATCTCTATTGAACGCAGCTGGTCTTCAATGGATGATACCGCCACGTGTTGTGGCCTGGATGGGTCTCTCCCATCTCTCTCGCGTGGTTGAATGGCAGAGGCTAACGAGGTCGCCACGCAGAGATTGAGCCTACTTGTCATATAAAACAACCTCTGCTCACCTGGTTTACAGTCTCCTCTCTCTTCTTACCCTCGAACACATCTACTTCGAAAGGTATTACACTCGTTTCCACAACGCACCAACACACCTTCGAACTTTACAAAACCCGAATCGAAAAACCCAAACCACCCCGAACCGAATCGACAAGATGCAGTTCACCGTCGTTGCCGCCCTCCTTGCCGGCGCTGCCTTCACCCAGGCCGCTGCCATCCCAGCCGCTGATGCCTGGAAGGTCAACAGCCCAACCCGCTACGGCACCCGCTGCGGTGTCCCGGGCATGAGCTGCAAGCGTGACCCGACCCCAGTCGCTGAGGCCGAGCCCCTCAAGACGCACACTGGCAAGGTGACCCGCTGCGGTGTCATCGGCGAGTCCTGCAAGCGTGACGCCGAGCCGGAGGCCGAGGCGGTCGCTGAGCCAGAGGCCTGGAAGGTCAACTCGCCCACCCGCTACGGCACCCGTTGCGGCGTCCCCGGCATGAGCTGCAAGCGTGACGCCGAGGCGGAGGCTTCCCCCGTCGCTGAGGCTGCCCCCATCCAGACGCACACCGGCAAGGTCACCCGCTGCGGTGTCCCCGGCGAGTCCTGCAAGCGTGACGCCGCGCCTGAGGCCGAGGCCGAGGCCGTCGCGGAGCCAGAGGCCGATGCCTGGAAGGTCAACAACCCCCGCCGCTACGGCACCCGTTGCGGAATCCCAGGCATGAGCTGCAAGCGTGAGGCGGAGGCTGAGGCTGTTGAGGAGGTCAAGCGCGAGGCTGCCCCCGAGGCCGTTGCTGAGGCTGACCCGGAGGCCTGGTAAGTCGTCGAATTCCCCCTTAACCTATCTGTGAATGCCATTACTGATTCCCCATCCCAGGAAGGTCAACAACCCCCGCCGCTACGGCACCCGCTGCGGAATCCCCGGCATGTCCTGCTAGATTGCTAGATTCCCCAAGCACCATTTGATTTGATAACTTGTTCTTCTTCTGAGACATTGCCCTTACCCCTTCCAATTCCATGAGGAGCGGGGGGCAAATTTTGAAAGTCTTGGACTTTGTTTGTATGTAAACTGCGATGGGGGATGTATAGTGGATATATGTTCTCCAAGTGCGGGAATTCCGTCCTGCGCTCTTGAAAATAGTATTCTGGGTATCTACAGATAGATATTCTGGAAAATTAAGGGCATTTTTTCTGTCCTTAATGCTGCTTCTTCTTCGCGAAATATGATTTCTTTCTCTCTCTGTCTCTCTAGGTTGCACCGAGCATGTGAATATGGTGTCCGTGCGTTCACTATATCACGTCGATTGAAATCAGGAACTGGGCTCACCGGGTCGGGGGCCATACTAGCTATCATGGTTCAAGAGTGGGACATGCTTGAATTTTTACACGTGGTTACTTTGTCCAGAGTTTTCTATTTGGAATTGAATCAACATTCTATTATGTCTCGTTCCAACACTCATTTTTCGCAAATTTCCCGCTTCTATGGCTCCTCAATACCGATAAGTGCCCAAGTTTCCGGCCTTTTAAGGCCCCGAGCATCTTATGAGCAGGAACTTGCTAGAACGGTTGTGTGCCCCAGCTTTGGGAATGAATGATATTGGCTCCCACTCTTGAAGTTGAACATGCATTCCAGAAAATTTCCCAATAGCCGTTCTTCTGACTATTCAATTTCTCCGAAATAAACCACAGCTACAACCTCAACTCCTCGAATTCCTCATCCTGCGGAAACCCCAAATGGAACCTCCCGCATTTCCCCCACTCCAGCACGGCTCCCTCGCCCGTCTCGAAATCTATCACCCGACCTCCATGCCGCTTATCCTCACTCAGGAAACAACACTGCAATCCCTCCCCACTAACCGCCTTCTGCCAACCTGGGACACAGAACCCGAAAATCGTCCCCTTGACGTCCCAAAACGTCTTCTGTTGCGTGTTGAGATACTTGAAGCCGCCGCGCAAGCGGAACGGCATCGGCGTGTTCTTGCCCGCGTCCGCAAACAGCTCTTTGAGTTGTTTCGAGGTCGTGGAGGGGGGTGGTTTGACGCGCTGCGTGGGTTGGAAGATGGTGACCATGACGAAGGGGAGTTGGTCGTCTTTTGCGGCGGGTGCGACGGCGCCGTCTTTGTCGATGGCGTAGGCGATGCTGTCGATCTGGATGAGTTCGGATTCTTCGTCTTCGAAGATGCCGATGCCGTGGGTGCCGTGGTTGGTTAGGAAGGCTACGGGGGGCCCGCCGTCTTTGAGGCCCGCGGTGTAGGCGGAGTGGAGGGAGAATTGGAAGATGTCGTTGGGTATTGATTTGGCCATGACTCGGTGGATGTGCGGGTTTCTGGGATGTGTGAAGATGGTTTGACTTCCGAGCTGATGAGGGTTTGCGTTCCCCACGAGCTTCTAGGAACGGTTTAACGGGAGGAAGATAAGGGAGTGAGGTTCGCTTGGATGGATGAGAAGGTGGCTGAAGAATTGGGCGTAACAGTCAAGGAGATGGGGCAGAATGCGTTCAAAGATGTGTGGATATGGATGCAATGTTCTACTCACGAGAGCTCGAAGACGTCTTCCATGTCGGATGATAGGATGGATATCTTCTTTTAGCTCTATTCCATATGCAGGTAGAATGTAGTGTAATGATTATTGTGTGTGGGATGTCCGATTTTGGTTGCTGCAGGAGAGGGGCCGATCAATTCGAATCCCGATCTCGCTCCGCTCCAGCGAAACTCCGACTTCACCTCCTCTCACCACTCTTCACGACATTGTATACCATTCAACAACATGTAATCACATTCCCTATAAGATTTAGCAAAGATACATCAGCTGTGAGCGCGAGATAGGGGATCAATCGGCATATATTCGATCCTCGATAAGCAGCCACTGATCCACTACCTTTCCTCTTCCTCTTTGCCGAATCCACCACAATACCCCAATCTCACCCAGAGGCGTCCATCTCCACGCGGCGAGGAGATCGTTGCATGCATGCATGCGTGCGTGCAAAATCTCACCGCATGTGGTATGTGTGTGTGTGTGTGTGTGGGATACATATATACATACCTCCATCACCCCAGTCTGCCACACACAGCAGCACATCATTCTCTCACCAGCATCACTTCGAGAAAGAGGGAGGAATGAAAGATTTGCAATCTGAGAACCAGAATTCAAATGCTTATATCTAGATCGAAACTCCAATCTCCTCCCTCCCCTCGATCGAGATATAGATATATACCTTTCGAATTAGAAGTACAAGTCATACCCGATTGGGAATCCCACTCCGGACTGCATAGCCAAAAATTTACAACCGCCCGTCGAGTGTGCCCGAGCGACTGGGAATGCTATCTATATACACTGACCAAAGCGTTGAACGAGGCGAATAGAATGGCGCAAACCAGGACAAAAGTCTATCTAGATGGGGAGTATTGGAAGCGGAAGACAGCAGAGACGAGTGTTGTATAGGGAGGGAGTAAGAGGACGTTTTGAACAGGGAGGGCATCATGTGTCCCTTTCGTATTATCATTAAGCCATCATCTATGTCAAGAAAAAGGGGCTTTTCCCCTTCTCACAACTTCAACGACAATGCCTCTGCTGCTTTCCCAATGATGCTAGCTTTCCCTCCCAGCCACTTGGATCGAGATCATGATATGTGCAAGTTCCCAAGCGACCGCTGTCTTGCTAGGCCAGTAGTGAGTCCGACGTACCGCGTCACCTCCCGCCATACCCGCTGGTCCTACTCGATCTATGAAAGTTGGATCGCGGTAGTGACTGTGGCATCATCAAGGCAATGCACCTCCATCTTGCTTTTGCAGTGTCGCAGATGTCGACTTTCGCAGCATTTGCTCGTCACGCTTGTCGCGCACTGTCAAAGGATATTGTCTAATCCAGACGGAAGCGTCGTCTTTGTAGTCAGGGATCCAGTCATCCCTGCCGGCTCAGTCCACCTTGATAGCGCTGTATATCCTTCTCACAAAAGCATAGGCCGTCAGGAATCCCAGAGTACCAGTCAACAGGCCATAAACGGTACAAGCCAGGAAGCTGTACGCAAAGAAGAGCATCGTGCTGCCGAGTCCTGTAATGTGCAAGTGGTTGGCGTAGTAATATACACAGTACAGGAAGATCCAGATCGAAGAGGATCCTCCCACGAAGAATGATTGCCACCACCAGTGGTAGTTCTACAAAGCACGTCAGTCTTTGATGCATTGCTGTAATTCGATCGTAATGCTTACCTCTGAACAAAGTTGAATGTAAACAGCAATGATGGTAGTCTCCATCACCGCCAAGATTAGTATCGTCGAAACGACGGCCAAAAAGCCAAAGACGTAGTAATATCCGCTCTTGTCTTGCCACAGACTGCGAAACACAAATAGTAATTCAATGAAGATGACGGCGAATTGTATGAGACCCGCAATGAGGATCGCGTTGGTGGATCGGCTGTACCAAGCCTGCGGTGGTATTTGGCGAGGAACAGCGGTGGCCTTGATCGGGTGGGTGTACGCACCGGCGCGAGTGAAGCCATACCAGCTACCAATGTAGACCAGTGGAAGCTGAATGAAGAGCCAGAGAGCAAGGAGCCCGAAGAGCGTGCCGAGCGGGATCGCAGTAGAGGAAGCCTGTGCCCATACGAAGAGGTTGAGCAGGAAGATCGTCACGAACAGCAGGCCAGGGAAGAAAGTTGCAGTGACAATGGCGTTGTGCTTGAAGTTCATTCCGCCGAACGTCTTGTACACTCTTGCAGAGAAATAGCCAGAGAACGTGCCTGCCACGACGAAGAGGGCGAATCCAGTGGAGATGAATCCGCCACGGAAAGATGGGTTCAGGAAGCCAAGACAAGACAGTGCCAGAAGCCCAATGGACATGAAGACCAGCTGCATTCCAGATCCGATGAGAGGTGCCAGAATGAGGCCATGTGCGGGCTGTCGAAATACATCGCCGTGCACCAGCTTCCAGCCTGTAATGTCCTCCGGCAGTTCGTCGTCCGACCCGGAGTCATCTGCTTGGGCATCTCCGTCGACCTTATCAAGGAAACCACCATGCTCTGCGCTCCCTTTACGGGGAGACTTGCTTCCTCTGCTCTTGCTTCGTCTGCTGAATCGACGCTTTCCCTCTTCCAGGCCACCCTCACGGTACCCTTTGATGTCTCCCCGGATCGTGCGAGCCAGAATGACCGCAATGACAGCGGTCAAGAGTCCGGAAATCACGAGCGAGTTGATGATCGCGAGCCAGTGAATCTGGTTGCTGTCCTCCTGATTGACAAAGTACAGATCCCAGCGATTTGCCCACTCAAGCTTGTCTTCCTCACGGAAGTAGACGCTGTATGTGTACGGGATGGTCAACATGGCATCATCGGGAGCCGAATCGATAGCCTCGAGGGCTGTGGGCTGCTCAAAAGCTTCTTGGGTGGTCATGTTGGCGTTGGTGTGGTTGAAAGCCAGCTCCAACCCGCTTTGAACATCGTGCAGGGAAGGCGGCAGTCCAGATGCATCGCGGTTCTCGGCCTCGATGGACTTGGCGTAGACCTCAAATCCCACGATGACCTTCTTTCCCTGCTGTCCGGCTCTACCAGGCGCACTGTGGTACCGAATGACCAAGGTAACGTGGTTGTTCAGGAAGTACCGTGGCTGACCCGTCATGAGGGAGATCTCCTCGTAGCCCATCTTGAATCCGGAAGCGTAGTATTTCCTGCTCTTGTCAACTGTGACAAAGCTTGTGGCACCGGGGAGGTTGTCCACGATCCACTCAGCAACATATCCGCCCTTGACAACCTCAATAGCCTTCTTGAGCCCAGCCTTGTCCACCTTTTGACTGCAGAGATAACGAGCCTCCTCGTCCTTGCCCATCTCGAGCACATAGTCTGAGACCGTGATTCTGTCGCCTCGCAAGACCTCACCAAGGTTGAGAGCAATACTGGAGCCGGATATGAGGCCGGTGCCAGGATGTGATCGTCCTGAAGAGGGACACACGAAGGGCAGCTCGGAGTAAGCGTATTGGATCTGGGTGTTGTCGCTGTAGACCTTGTTAACGAACAGCGGGATTTGCTCGCCATCAGCATACGATTTGATGGACCAGCCTTGGGCGTGTCAGTGCGTGCAATAGCAGTCAACGTGGGAGTGTGTGCTTTGACGTACCGGGTATGTAGAAGGCGCTGGCGGATCGCAGACAGAACAGTAGCAGCGCCCATATCGAGGGACACGCCAGCCTGATATCGGAAGCCATGTGTATGTCTCAGATCCTCCAGTCGACTTCGTCTGTGTGTGTGTGTGTGTGTGTGTGTGTGTGTACAAAGAAGTATGGGATGGGAAGAGTTATGTGCAGAGCTCTTTCCCCAACTCTGGCGCGAGAAGTGGATGAGGATGCGGTTCGGGTGATTTATGTGCGGTGTATCGTTACACCAGAATCGCAGCGGAGAGGTCGAGGATCTGCGGTCAGAAGCAGAGCAGGTGATCGGAGGGTCAGCTCCTGCGGATGGGCGAGCCGTGCGTCCAGTCCGGCAGCTGAGGTGAGGTATGCTGCGACACTTCCTGCGGCCTGTAGCAAGCGAGTGGAATCGGCACCCGAGGGCCGTGATGCATTGGGCGAGTGTGTGATTTCTCGCAACGATATTCCCTTCTCCTTCTCCTCCGCCGCAGTGAGGATAATGTGTCGATGTCGTCGTCGGTTGGGGGTGTATGGGGTTGGTGGAAGTCGAAGGTGGATGAGGTCCAGGAGGGTACGTACCTAAGGTATGAGTACGGGCACGGGCGCGGGCACGGGTACGGGTACGGGACACCGGTTGCCCGGGAGAGCTTAACTCCAATTAAAGAATCAATCAAACCGCGACTGGCTTTATTCTCCGACACCCACGACACTGCGGTAGAAGGCAAATTCCTCTGCCTCGCGCAATGGACAACAAGCTCTCCGCTGTTATCTGCAGAGGATGTCAAGGAGATGCTGACAGCTGGTTCGTTTTTGTTTTGAGAGGCTCGCGAAAGACTGACGCGTCGCCTTTGCCCGTTACGAAGACGCACGGATCATCCTGCTTATTCGTCGGCTTGCGTCTTCTCTCCTCAACCAACCATAATCCCAGTTCCATATATGTTCTAGACTCTTTCTACGACACATCGCGATTACGTTTACTGCAAACAGAGATGAACGAGATACTTTACATGAACGAAGAAGCAGACGGATGCGGAATTGGGAGAGAAGCATCAAATTCGTCTCCTGGATCTGCGCTTTAACGGCATCATTGAAAGAGTCTGACATTGTTGGGATAGCAGCACAACGAGCGAATAAGTTCCATGCGCAAGCACGTGCATTGGGACTTCCTACCATGCGTTCCCACAAGCTCACACTCCATCAATCCATGCCACTCATGTTCGTATCCTCCTCATCCTCCGATCTTGCGACCATCCCCAAAGACATCCCACTACTGTCCTCTGCTCCAGCCCCAGCCGTCCCCGCCACAAGCTCTCCATCCGCCGCCACATCTCCCGAATCAATCGCAAAACCCAAAGGATACATCTCCCTCGCAAGCACAAGATCAAAATTCGAAATTGCAGGCTGTTCCCCCCTCAGCCCATCCCTCACATATTCCCCCTTCTCATCACGCAGTGTCGCAATCGCGCTCAGAATTCTCTCTCTCAATTCCAAAGACGAGGGCCGCAAGCTGGGGTCCCAATCGATGCATTGCTCGATCAATCCGCGTAGTTCGGAGCTGTACATCAGACTACTCCAGGTGCTGAATTTCCACTTCGTGTCAGGATCCTCCGCGCTGATTTGTTGTTCTGGGTGGAGTCGGCGGTTGCGGTGATGGAAGAGACCGAAGATTGTGGCGCCGATGGCGTATACGTTGGTGTGGTCGAGGAGTTGCCATTTGGTATATCCATGCTGTTCAGGAGCCATGTATGGGGTCGTTCCAGCAAATCGATGGTCTACTGGGTTGTTGGCATCGTTAGGCGATGTTTCGAATGCGAGGCCGAAGTCCGCCTATACAATATTGTCCTTAGATTTCAGATGGTTGTCACTTTGGTGGTGGAGGACTTACTAGCTTCGGAGTTGGGTAGTGTGGAAAGCTCTTCTTCTCGTCGGCGCTAGCAAGGAAAATGTTCGCTGTAATAACATGATGTCAGCGTGCTATGGTGGAAAGTGAGGTTGCGGTGCCCATACCCGGCTTGATGTCCATATGAACAATTTGCTTGTCCCAGTCGGGATGATTACGCTCGATTCCTCCTCTCCACATTACCAAACAGCTCTCAGTCAAGTGCAAGAATAGCATCCAGAGAAATGGTTCGGGAATTCTCAGGTTCTTGTTGGACACGTACTTCTTCTCCACGCCTCTCAGATCGCCGCCCGCACAGTATTCGACGTACAGATTGAGAGCATGTTTTTCCATGTCCTGCGACCAGTTTCTGAGCTTGACGAAGTGCTCTGGTGATGCGGCGTTGCACTTGTTCTGCAGGAAGTATTCGAGTGGAGTGCGGTTGTGCGGATCTTGCGGATTGCCATGCCAGACGTTCGAGCTTGTATTCCATCTTGTGATGTCGACGAACTCCCGTTTGAAGACTATGCGCTGTTGTCAGAGAAGTCAGCAGGGAGTACTATCACAACGTGGCTCAACAATGTGTACTCACATCCACGACGTTCCCATCCTCATCTATCTTCACCCAAAGACCAGCCTCTGAAATTCCGCCGCCAAGATCTACAGCGCCTTGCCAGTCCCCGTCAAACAGTTCCTCATCCAGAGATTCATCGATGAACTGCTGTATAGCAGCGTCCTCTCGAAGAGAGGCCTCTATCATCTCTACCCGCTCTTCTGCATCGGTAATGACATCGCCCATCTCCTCATATCTTGCCTGAACCCAATCAATACATGTCTCGGGAAAGTCGTGGTGCGTATAAGCGATTCTCAGTATATCGAGCCCGCCTTGCAGATTGACTGCCTCTCTCCTCCATCCGTCTTGTAGTCCCAATGCCTTTTCCATATCCTCATCCATTGGCATCCTGTCCCCTCGGATTTGATCTGACATGGACTGGTCGTGCCAAAAGTCGAGTGCATCATTCATAGCTCGTATCACTCTTTTTTGCGCCTCTCTGACGTCGTATATTGCCTTGACAAGCCGATCTCGTTGGACAATGCTCATGCGCTGGTATTCTTGGACGAGTTCTTCGCGACGCTGTTGTCGCTCGCTGAGTGTACCTCTGTTAAATCTTCGGACGATGAGCTCGTGCTCGACGAAGTTAGTTTCAGGATCAGGTGATGCCATGGTCGGTGGTTCTGGTGAGCGAGCTGTGCATGTAACTCTGAGAACATCAAACTGAGAGATATGGGTCGAGGCCCCATTGTTCCAAATCCGGACAACACCTCGGGGAGGTCATCAGGACAAAGAAAGTGACACAGTAGACGACAATACGGCTTATATGAGCACCTGGTTGTTTCGGGGGTGTGTGGTTCTATAGTCATTGCAAATAATTCAATGTTAATATAGAAGATAGTGGTGGCACTTCTGTATGACGGGTTCGTTTTGACCAAGAAGGGCTCGAAAATCTTTACGGAGTAGCGTGGCTTCCTTCAAGGCCGATCTAGGTACGATGGAGTTGTGACTGGTCATTACAGAGTTCGGAGGTCTCGTGGCTGAAAGAGATGTGCCGCTCTCAAGCCGATGTAAGGCGTAGCATTAGGGACGGCGATGAATGCTCTCGTTGCGTAACGGCCCTCAAAAGCTGAAACAGAGCAGCTATGACCCTCTTAAGCAGGCAGGCGGATGTGAGATGACCAGGCTACGGTGTCCTGCGAATGAAGGGCTGCACATAGTGTCTATGAGGATGGACCGTGTCATCGCGATAGGAAGAGATGTAGGGCCATGGAGGCGATGCAATGACGTTGCCAATTCTGCTATACCTCAGCGGCTCTTCTCGGCCACGAGGGTAGTTGTCATCGTATGGGTCCAGATGGAAAGAAGGTAGGGTAGAGAAGAGGACGGGAGGAAGGCGAGCACGGTCTCTCCGCCATGTGAGGTTGGCAGCCAAGAAATGCCAAGCTTTTGAGGTTAAAAACACATTACCTCAGACCGTCGCGAAAGCCTCCACTTCCAGCGACACGGCATTCATTTCCTACAGACTTGGCATCAAAGAATCCCAAAGATCAGCTCAACGCCGACAAGGAATCGGAGCTGCATCCGTGCTCGGTTCCGATGCTCTCCGAATCCGTCTGAAGCTCGAGCAATAACGCAAATTCGCACCGCGTTGCCCTTCGACAGAGGCTACGGAGGAGGGTGGGTAGCACGTGGAGAAGCTTGTCGACGAGAAGCGCAGCCAAAAGCCGCCACACTTCATCCCACATGGCAAGACGGAGGTATTGCCACCAGCAGGTGTGCGCTCTGGCCCTGCACAAAAAGTTACGTGCCCGGCGTACTCTCAACGACCACGTGCAGCGCTGCCGTCGAATACCGAGATCTACACCGGCAACACATCTTTTTGGGATGCAACGAAGCATCGCTCATGTCTCAAATTGATCCGCGTACTCGCTGTTGCAGTCTTGGCCACGTTCCTGCGACCTGGTTCATCCGCTTGTATTGCTCGGAGTGCTGCCATTTGCGAGGAGCTGGAGCGTGGCATAGGACCAAGCGGTCTCTGTGTATGTCAGCACCTGGAGCTCAGTTCAGGTCTGTTACGGCTTGGAGGTCGACTTGTTACGTATCGCCTACCCCCCCCCACGAACCTCGCGCACGTAGATCACTATTCCACCAGCCTCATCCGTTGATCCTCCCTCGTGCTCAGCCGTGCGAAAGCTTCACGAAACTCACTCTTAATTCATCTCCATATAGGTTACGATTCTGTCTTGCTCATGATTGCATGACGCCGACAAATATGGGCTTCGGCCCAATCATTGGATTGCACGCCATTCCAGTTCACACGAGGATGATTTGGCGCATCCTTGGCCACTTGAGTGCTTTAGGGAAAGTTCCATGCATCGCGTAGAAATCAAATATTGGCAACAGCGTGGGCAGTCCAAATGCAAATTTCTGCGCAGGTGCATCAACACTCTTGCAGGCCATTTCTTGGCGAAAAGTGTGGCCATTGCTTAGGCATACTGCCACTATCGCAATGAAATCTCATTCAGACTGCGGCGTTGATTCGCTTTTGACTCAGCCGCTCTTCGTCAATGTTCGCTCCCGCCATGTCTCATCGTCACAGCAGCTGCAATCCTTCCAACTGCGCCAGATTGGAAGGCGCCATCGCTCATCACTTTCGACAGCTAGAAGCACTTCTTAGCAGCCGAAACGCCGGAGATAACTGCGTCGGTCACTCGCCCTGCTGTGCTCGCCAACAAGTGTCTTGCCAAGGCGATCATCAGCATAGCCTCTGTCGATATCATGGACACATGACGAGCGCCTTCAATTTGGACGCCTTTGGGAACAGCACAACGCCTTCTCTAGAAGCCGTCGATACGGCAATATCGGATACCTTGCGCTCCTTAAACGCCGAGCACTTCAGTCAGGCGACTCAGAATAACAGCACCGTTGTCAACACCCTCGAAACATCGTTTACGCGCGACTTCAGTTCTATGACGGCATTGAGTGGTGGACTGGCGTCGCCTCACAGCAATCAGGGGCTCTACCCGACTCCGATCTGGACATCGAAAAATCTCAGCTCACCGAATGCACCATCGGATGTGCCGCGATCGCCTTCAAGCTCCGACGGCAGACAGTCGACGATCACAGCCTCTCCGTACTTGCCCGATCTCTGTCTAGGCCCCCCTAAAAAGACTGTCAATTTGGACTCGATTCTGTCAACCGCCATGCCCTCGACTGATCGCAGTCCCGCGTTGCAAGAACTCAAAATAGGCGCACCTCAAGGCTTCTATGGTTCACAACTACCCAGAGATACGCCTTCAAATTCGTTTGGCGCCCATTGCCACCGTCAGTTCGATTCTGGTCCGGGCAATTTCCAGGCCCCTCCATTGAACGACATTATTAGCCTCCCTGAACTTGACCTTGATGCAAGCGGACTGGAAACCTTAGGTAGCTCTTTCTGGAACGACTCAATTGCCAAATCCTCCCAACATTCGACATCAACGCCTAGGCAGTCCATTCAAGGTGCTGGAGAAGTGAAGACGGAAAGTTCCATCGCGTCGTCAGACTCGGAGTTCGACGTACCCCAGGATATACACAGGATGGGTCACCGTGACGACTATGGACAATGGCGTTGCAGTCGGGAGGGATGTACAAGTGACAGAGTGTTCAAAAGGGCCTGCGACCTCCGAAAACATTGGCAGAGTCACGAACGTAAGCATAGCTGCGATTATCTGTATTGCACCATGGCTTTTACAAGCGCCAAGGATCTTCGTCGACATCGGGCAAGCCATGATCCTGGCGTTAAGTGTCCAGCCTCAGGTTGCAACAGACTGTTCAGCCGTTCAGGTGAGTGATATGGATCGCTGATCAGCATCGACGTCCACTGACGTTCTTTCACAGACAACATGAGAGATCACTTTCGTCGCATACACAAGAACGACAGACTGCAGCGGACGGGTCTTGTCTTTCGGAACAGGATATCGAAATAGAATGCCATTACTGCCTGGCGTCGGAACCCAAAAACATCATTCAAGTATCATGTTCATTCATCTCTTGCTTTTCTCTCCAGCTATCTGTGTATATAGAAGAGACGACGTCAAAACAGAGATAGTCGGACCGCACCGAGCGGCAAGCATCAATCCCAGTCTAATCTCATTATACTTGTTGAAGAGATAGGCCGAGACTCGCTTGCTTATCGCAACCGTGTGGCAAGGCACTGTGCCGTAGGCTTGTCTCGGAGATGATCGTTGCTCGGCGAGGGCGTTGTATCTACCAGTGTTGTGCCTAAATTTGCAAGATTATCTATCCGTCTAGCCCCAGTGAGTTGTCTCGAAGCGAATCAGCGTCAAGATGCGTCAAGTACGTCGAATAGATATCCTTATCGTCAATGTCAGCTGGACGAATGTCTGAGGAGAATTAGCTTCCTAGAAACTAAAACCTCACAGCAAGTCCTCAAACCTTGAGATGGAACAGAAACCTTCCTTCCGTAGGTCAAAATACTTGATTGACTTTTCCCAAAGCAACGGATATAGGCTACGTAGTTTGAGTCAAGAGTCAGTGTCATGCAGCGCGTCTCTTCGACTGCGACGCGTCATCCTGTATTCAGGACGTGATGGACATTTGGAATGCATTGGTGAAGTTGGGGAAAGGTTTCATGGCTGTGTTCATGGCCAGCACACATGCCATCTAGTCCATCTAGTGATCAAATAGGCGGCAGTGAGCCAATGAGAAGCACCAAGCAGTAGCCACATCAGCTCGTAAAGTGAGAAGATCCAGTATCAAAACACAAGCGTGAGCCTGTCGCGAAGAGGAAGAGCCGACTGTGCTGTTGAAGATGAAACGTACTGTGGCTAAGCTTTGAGGCCGCACTTCCCGAAACCACCCGCTGTGCATGCGATTCAGACTCCATAATCATGGGGGCAGACAACGTTAGGTCTGGAAGTGTGTAGCAATTCCGAGATGTTCACAGAAGGACAGGCTGTTGATAGGTATGCTCATCGCCAAGAAAGCGGCCCGACGCACGAGCCAGGTGAGTGAACGTCGATCACCAACCAATCGACACACACCTCTTCTCACTCACAGGAACAGGCGACAACGTGGCTGCGCCTCGCGTGTCCTGCAGGTAACGATGCTTGTGACAGCTGCCTTGATTTTGAAATCAGCTGTAGCGATGATGACAGCGACGATAGTACGCTGATGACCAGATGAGCGCTTTTCACCCTCTTCCTGTTGGCGACGACATTCACGACAGTCACTCCTCTCTCTGCCCGATACAGATCCGTCGGAAACAATCGCGCACTCTCAGGTTTAATCCTGGAGTGGCGCGGACGAGATGACCAGCACGAACAGAATGCTACCGGCCTTCCTAGCTCGCCTGCTTGTCCTCTTCCTCCTCCATACGATCGCGTTCTGCGAACAGTCCACCACGCTCGTCACCGCAACGAAGACCGTCACTGCAACGCAAACAGGCGAAGGAGCATGTCAAAATTTCAACGGAGCATGCGTAGTCTACGGCGGAGCAGGAGGAGCAGCCCCATACACCACAACCGTTTACGCCAGCTCCAGTCAGAGCGCCACACAAGTATTCACAGCCACGACGACGACGACAGTATACATTTCAGCCGGAGCAGCGAGCACAGCAGCTGCGTCTTCGGCATGCCAAAACTTCAACGGTGCATGTGTGGTTTATGCAACGAATTCGCAAGGCCAAGGGGCACCATCACCTGCTACGACGATATATGGCGGCAGCACAGACGGGGAGATTGGAAGAGGCAATTCTGATGGTTATATCGCTGCCGGACAGGCGTCGACTGTGAAGATATGGTTACCGGTATTCGGTCTGGGTCTGATGAGTTTCGTCTTTGCTGTTTGGATGTGAAATGGTCAATCCGAGACAACACTACATTTCGTGAGCATGCTAACGCAAACATGCTCATTCTTCGCTGCCTATGTTCCGCCGAGCGTTGGCGGGTAGCGACAAAAAGTTGGAGGATTGCTTCATCAACGCAGAATACTGCGTCCTCCAACGGACGTTCTCGAAGATGACCACGCCACGCATGCCAATTATTGAATTCGCCTTTATTTTCATTCATCACATGCTCATGTTCCCATCAACACCTGCTTTATGCATTTCACGGTTCATACGGAGATAGTTAAAAAGAGCCTCGGAAGAATTGACCCGAAGGACCGGATCAGTGCCGAAGCGGACCATGGTCTCTCGCGGACTTCACCTCTTTGCAAACGCCGGATGTATCACAAGACCAAGAAACTCCTGCAGGTCGGCTAGAAAGAGGGTATGTTCTTGGCGGGAGGTGAGTGCCCACATCTCAATTTGACACTTTCGTTCCGCTACCTCTTTCTTTCGTCAATCATTCGCGATCGCTGAGGATGGAGGTGAAGAGAGACGATGATGCTGAAAAGGGCGAGACACCGCAACTTACGCTGCGTGAAGACGTTGAGTCTAATGAAAAGACTGTCGGAGGGCAACACTCAACGCCTTATACTGGCAGAGGCACAGCAGATCACCGAGCTTTGATATTAAAGCAAGACTTGCGAATCATCCCCCTGTGTGCGGCAATTTACTTGCTGTGCTATCTGGATAGAAGGTTGGAAAAAATGCTTCTGTCGACGAGACTATTGCGACATACATACTAATGGACTTCCAAGCAACATTGGAAATGCCAAAGTCCTCAATCAGGAAACCGGCGATGATGTAAAGTCTCCCTCTGCCGGTCGACTTTCTCCACTGATTATTGTTCACAGCTCCTTACTGGTACCAATATGACTAATTACCAATACACCCTCGCACTCATGGTCTTCTTGATCGCCTATGCTCTCTTCGAAGTTCCGTCAAACTACATGCTCAAACGCCTCAAGCCTTCTACGTGGATTGCTTTCCTCATGCTTTCGTGGGGCGCTATCACGATGGGCCTAGGCGGGACGCATAGCTTTGGTGCTGTCACCACTGTGAGATTCCTTTTGGGAGTCTTCGAGGCTGGCCTATTCCCTGGACTAGTTTGTAGGTTACTTCACTATTAACTGTGCTGAAGAACACTGCTAATATGCGATGCAGACTATCTCACCTTCTGGTACCGGACCGAAGAGCGATCGATCAGAGTAGCTCTCATATTGGCTTCTGCGACACTAGCGGGTGCTTTTGGAGGCGCCATTGCCTACGGCGTGGGGCATATGAACAGAACTAGTGGCCTAGAGGCTTGGAGGTAATTACACACTCACCGCATCTACCGCTCGATCCAGGACTGAAAATAGCCTTGTAGATGGCTTTTCATCCTCGAAGGCATCCCATCGCTCTTATCCGCTTTCTTCGTCTACTTCTTCCTCCCGGATTATCCCGAAACAGCCAACTGGCTCTCGGAGCAAGAAAAGGCCCTCGCTGTCGATCGCCTTAGGACGGAAGGTTCACATGGGCATAGCGGACACATGACTTGGCAAGACGCCAAGGAAACTCTGACCGACTGGCGCTTGTATGCTCATTATGCCGTGCGTACCTCCTTTCTTCCCTCACGATCCGGCGTCGCCAAATTCTGACGGGTCTTTCTAGGTCTACTTCGGCATCAGCACCCCTTTCTCCTCCCTATCGCTCTTCACTCCCACCATAACAGCAGGATTAGGCTACACCGGTCTTCGCGCCCAGCTCATGACTGTACCACCCTACGCGGTGGCCTACGTCATCACTATCCTGGCTTCTTGGTCGGCCGATCACCTCAACGCCCGTGGATTGCACAGCGCTATGTTCGCGACGATCGGAGCTTGCGGGTTCTTGGCATCTGCTGTTCTGCCACCTTATGCATATTCTTCCCGCTATGGATGTCTGATCGTAGCAGCTTCAGGAGCATTTGCATGCATACCGCCTCTATTGGGATGGTTAAGTAGTAATCTGTCCAGTACCGCGAGTGTGGGACTTGCCATTGCTGTGAACATTTCGTTCGGGGCGCCTGGCCAGATTGTGGGTGTTTGGATCTATAAGGCCAATGAGAAGAGCAGAGGGTACCCAACGGGACACTGGACTAACGCAGGGCTGCTTTTTTTCGTCGCTGCTGGTTGTGTTGGGTTGGTGGGTTACTACAGAGCACTCAATGGAAAGATTAGAAGGCGAGGCGTGGGAGAGGGGGAATATAAGTATTAAGATCAGGATGGTGATCCAAAACGGATGAGGAGTCGATCAGCAACGTCGCTTATTCATGAAGTCTCCAGAGTGTTGCTTAGTCAAGATACGCAAATATTTGAAGGAACCTTAATCAACTCTTCCCGATGCCAAGAAGCAGGGACCGAGTGAGCGAAAGCTAACTCCCACTTTCGCTTCAACATTACGCCGTAAACATCATCGTCGACATCACAACATCGCCGCGCGAGGCTATACATCGCTCGCGTTCGTGCTTGGAGACTTCGATGCGGAGCCCACCGGGTCTCGATCTTGCGTGCTGCAAGCAATGATACCAGATAGGGACCCATCCGGATAGAAGCAGCGTGGCATTTTCCCTCAATCGTAGACAATGATCTGGGGTGGAGTCTCCGTGGTGAGGAAGGATTCCACCGGAGAACGCAGTCGAGTTTCCCTCAAGAATGCTTGCCTGCACTGATATTTGATTTAGAATGCCGGAATTGGACGTTACACAGCGAATACTGAATCCTACGGGCAAACACTTCTACGTCACAAGTGACCCATCCATTGCGAATCATAGGATGAGTGCATCAGTTCAGCCAATCATCGCTTGCTTTCACATGCAGCCTACGAATGAGGCAACGAAGTCACGTGCCTGCTGGTGCCTAGTTGCTGGCTGAGCAGCATCAACATAAATGTCTTCCCACCTGTCGCCTCTTTCGACATTACAAAGACATTCCGGAACACCACTCCAAATTCATCGCAATACTCGGTCGTTCAATGGGCCCAGTAAACTACCAACAGATGCAAAGGGGCGCCATGGCGAGAACAAACCAATTCGCCCACGGCACCTACACCTACAATCACGTCTGTGGTTGTTACTTCTCGGGACAATTTGGTAATCGCAGCTACTTTCCCCAGGTCCGACTTGAATCGCACGCTACAATCAATCCGGTCTGCTTCACCACGGAGCTCACACAGACCTTTCACAACCCCAACTCAGAGGAGATCCCGCAATGCCGCTACACATTCCCGCTCTTCGATGGCGTCGCCGTCAACGGCTATACCATCAGCTACGCGGACAAGGTCTTGCGAGGCATCGTCAAGCAGAAAGATGTTGCCAAACAAACCTACCAGGCAGCCGTTGATCGAGGTGAAACAGCTGGGCTTCTGGAATCTCTGCCTGCCGGAGTGTTTGGTGTCACCCTTGGCAATGTACCACCAAAGACTGACATCATCGTACAAATAGCCTACTGCGGTGAGCTCAAGCACGACGCCGGGATCGATGGCTTGCGCTACATGCTACCCAACAGCATAGCTCCTCGCTACGGGAACTACCCCGGCCAGGTGCTTCAATCCAACACCGTCAACCAGGGCGGTATCAAGATAACTGTCGATGTCGATATGGCCAAGTCCACCATTTGGAAGGCGCAGTCACCCAGTCACCCGATTGCTTTGTCAATGGGCGAGCTGTCCACATCGCCTCAAGGGTCAGCATTCTCGCCTTCTCGAGCCTCAGTCACATTGACACAGGGCTCCACTGAGCTCGACGACGACTTCATACTGCAGCTGGTCATTGATGAAATCAGCAAGCCTCAAGCCATCGTGGAGACCCATCCTGCTTTGCCAGAGCAAAGGGCAATCATGACAACCCTCGTGCCGAAATTCGTTTTGGAGCCAGCTCATCCCGAGATAATCTTCATTGCCGACCAGAGCGGTAGTATGCGAGGTACAAAGAATCAAGCACTCGTCTCCGCGCTGAAAGTATTCCTCAAATCTCTGCCTTTGGGAGTCCGCTTCAACATCTGCGCCTTTGGCAGTGCCTTCCAATTCCTTTGGCCAAAGTCACAGGCCTACAGCGAAGATAGCCTCCAGGCAGCAATCGACTACGTGGACAGCTTTGCAGCTCACTATGGTGGCACCGAGATTCTAAAGCCTATCAAGGCCGCCTTTGAGCGACATCTGAGCGATCTGCCGCTGGAAGTGATGCTGCTCACTGATGGCGAGATCTGGGGAGAGGACCATGTCTTCTCGTACATCAACGAGCAGATCGGGAAGGGCGTCGACGCGAGAGTCTTTGCCCTCGGTATTGGCCAAGACGTCTCACACACACTTGTCGAAGGTGTTGCCAGAGCAGGCAACGGCTTCGCTCAATTCGTGACCGAGGACGAGGAAATCGATCAGAAGGTCATTCGAATGCTGAAAGGCGCGCTGTACGCCCATACCACGGACTATTCTCTGGAGGTAACCTACGGCAATGACTCTACTTCTGGTACCGACGACGACTTCGAGATAATTGAGAAAGTCAATGACTGTCTGGTCATTGACGAGCCGGCGGTCGCTTCAAAGCGGTCACAGGACCAAGCCGCAGGCCAGCAACCCAAATCATTCTTCGACATTTCTGCAGATCTTGACAAGCCGACCAAGATTGAAGCCAACTCAGCCAATCGATATGCGCATCTGCCGTCAATTGACTTCCCGAAAGTGCTACAAGCCCCGTCGAAGATCCCGTCCTTGTTCCCATTCGACAGGACCACGGCTTATCTACTCCTTGGTCCGAAGTCAACTCAAAAGAACATCCTCTCCGTCACCTTGCGCGCTCTCTCTCCTGAGGGCCCATTGGAGCTCACCATCCCCATCGAAGGCCACCAGGTCGGAACCAGCATCCATCAGCTCGCAGCTCGCAGAGCCATCCAAGACCTCCAGGAGGGTCGTGGTTGGCTACAATCTGCCAAGATTTGGGAGAATGCTTCGGTGAAAGAGAAGTTCGAAAGTCGCTTCGACGAGATCGTTGAGCGCGAATGTGTCAGACTTGGCGAGAAGTTCCAGGTTGCAAGCAAGTGGACTTCGTTTGTGGCCGCGCAAGACCATGCCCAGGGGGAGCTTCAAGGCCCAGACGTCGAAGAGGAAATCGCTCCTGGTGCCAGCGGTCCAAGGCGTGGAAAGCATCTCACCAATGCGAGAAAGACCCTGCCTTTTGCCGCCTTTGGGGGCTCTTCTTGTGTCCCCCAAGCCCCAGCTCTTGCAGCTCCTCCCTTTCCTCCTTCGGCCGCAGCCCCGCCACCATATTCGGGAATGCCAGTTGCTGCTCGCATGCCTAATTCGCCTTTTGCCTGCTTTGGGAACGCTTCTTCTGTCCCGCAAGCGCCAGCTCTCGCCGCTCCTCCCGCTACCCCTTCGGCCGCAGCGCTGCCACAGCATCAGCAAATGCCATCCGCTGCTCGCATGCATAATTCGCCTTTTACCCTCTTTGGGAACTCTTCTTCCGTCCGGCAAGCGCCAGCTCTTGCAGCTCCTCCCGTTCCCCCTTCGGCCGCAGCCCCGCCACCGTATTTGCCAATGGCAATGGCTGCTTGCATGCCTATGCCCGCTCAATTCGATGTGGATCTCATGCTTGACACCAGCAAGAAGAAGAAGAGAGGAGGTCTTGCGGCGAGGACGCCACTCGCGCGTAGGGCAGCCAGGGTATCCGCACCTGCCCCGGCGGTTCACGATTTCAGGGCAGATTTCCCGGCTGCCCCTAGCACCGAAGGCGTTCCAAACCCACATGGACCTACCATGCACAAGTTGATTGGCCTGCAGACCTTCTCTGGAGCCTGGGTCTGGAATGAGGAATTCTTAGACTTGATCGTTCACGGCGGCGACGATAAAGATGGCCAGAACATTGATCGGACGAAATTTGGGAACGATGCTGATTCCACGGCGACGGCATTGGCCATTGCGTTTCTGGAGCAGTTTTTGAGTGAGAAGAAGGATGTGTGGGAGATGGTTGCTTCGAAAGCGAGAGGTTGGCTTGCGAAGCAGTTGGGCGTTAATGCGGCTAAGGTTGAAGAGCTGGTTCGGGTTGCTGCTGGGTATCTTTGATTGTTGCTGCGGGTACGCTTACAATCAGAAGAGGGGAGTCAGGAAATGGGAGAATGAATAAACGGTCAGAGGAGATCGTGTAGCACTAGTATTTGGTAGTGAAGAAGAATGCAGGCTTTCGAAAGAAGCATAGCTATTCTACAGAACGGAAGCCTCCTTCTCCTCTCCACAATCTAAAACCACCAGATTTACAACCCATCTCTTATTCCGCCCAGCGATTATGCTTATAATATAACTCCGCCCGCGACTAACAAACTCATCACCGAAATCCCAACTCGTCCGGCCGATCGAAGGACGCCCATGTTGCTTTGCTCTAGCTCGAGCTCCGAAGTCGTCTTGCATAGTCATCACAGACTGGAGGGTTCCCGAGCTCGATGTGCATTACTTAGCAAGATTCAGACCGTACTCATTTGCCTTAGGGCTTCATGATGCAGAAATGGGATTGATCGTCGTCCTCTGCTGCGGCTTTCCTCCAGCCTTGCCGGGCGGTATGCCGGTACAGAGCCTAGGATCGTGTTTCAAGCTCCATCGTGTCGGCCAACGTGGCTGCCTTGGCATGGTGTGGCAGAAGGACTCGTCAGCGCAGGATGGTTGTGCCTGCTCCTTCAGATTGGATCGTCGTTCAATGCTTATTGTACACGAAGGGCGAGCAGTGGATGGTGTAGTTGATGCATTGGAACACCGGACGATGTTGGTGGCAAGCATCCTGGTCGTTGAACGAATCGCGACTGATGCGTACCAATATTTGACGGAAAACAACACAAGCCTTGAGAGATGGCTGACAGCTGGCTCTCCCACTTATCTCCGACAAAAGTCGCTATGGTTCTGCTCGTCCGATCACCAGCGGTGGTCTTCTTTGTCGAGAGCAAGAATGTCCGTGGGAGTCGTGGGGCGCCGTCACGGGCGCGAGATGTAGCCCATTTCCCCGAATATGATCACCACGCATCAATGTATGCTTGCCTGTCGTAGCTGAGCGTTGAGCCTGTCTGGCTCCCGGGACATGGATACTGGAGCGATGTTGAGGCCATGTACAAAGCCGTATGGTTGCTACTGTTGAGCAATGACAGAACATCGAGGCGGCATGAAGCTCTTTCACATCGTATACATCTCTCCTGCAGACAGCACGTGAAGTGGGAAGGAATCGCCAAGGCACAATCCTCATTTGGTCCTAATGGACGGCTCCTTGGTCTGTTCGTACGTTCTTGGCCGTTGGCAGACGAAGTCAGTCGGAATAGTTGGTGAGACATCTGAATGCACTCTGAGATCTTTCAAGATCGATGTCTCGGTGGAGGCTTGCCGTAGGTAGGACTTGTGAGCACCGGCATGAAGGTCGAACTTGCCGTCTACGATCATCAGAGGGTTATTAGACTTGGCTCGTCTGCCCAATTCTAGCCTGATGGATAAATAATGCGGATCGGCTCACATCTCTTTCAAAGAGGCAAGTCTCGAAGGCTTTTGCCTCCCACTTATCTCACTCAGCTCGTGCGGCGTGCTTTCAGAAGACGTCTGCAACGACAAGCAGTGAGAAGCATGTGATGGTGGTGGGCAAGAGAAAAGGACGACGAAGTGAGAGAGAGGGAGAGTGAACAGAAAGAGCCGTCCAATGAGGGAGCATAGACATTGCGGGTACTGCCGCCGCTAAGCCACTCCGTAGTATAAGAACACTTGCGGAGCAACTCTGCCAAAGACATCAACGCCGCAAGGAAGACTCTGGCCGCCAAACAGCTCGCAACGACGGCAAACATATACCAAAGTACTCGCCGCAAGAGATAGGAATCAATAGAAGACATTTCAGCGACCGGAAAGCCTCTGTGTCCTCGCGCGACCGCCGCCGAAGCACCCAACGGCACCTGCACGTGCGCTCCTTCGATGAGCGACGACGAGTAGCGCATTGTCCGCATCCTGTCCATCCGGCGCCTCTTTCGCATATTCTACAGCTCTCCACACCGTGAACAGCTTGCGTATCCGGGGAGATGACGAACACGCTGGTGGTAGGTCGATAGCCAAGACGGAGGTTCTCCGCAGCAGCGACGGCTAGTGCAACGGACAAGCTGACAGTGGCGTGGCAGGGCGACGTCTACCAGAAGATCATCGAAGAGGTTGTCACCGCCTCGCAGAACGACTTCGAGGAGAGCGGCGTGGGCACGACGACGCTCACGGAATTGCAGCAGGTACGTGATCCAGTCTCCTCTCTTTCTCCGCAAGCGGCCAGGCCAGTCCCATCCAGTCGTCCACCGATTGTCTGTCGCATTACCCGCAGCAGAAAGACTGCAGCATTGCACAGAAAGAGGCCAGAGTCGCAATCCTGTCGTCGTCTTTTGGAACAGGCTTCTGCTGCCTGCAGGCCCAGCTGAGAGGGCGACTCCGACTCAGCTGGGCGCAGGCGGGCAGAAGCGGGGCGGGCGCTTTCAAGATTTGCGGGCGCGGGCTCTCCTCCCTTTTGGCTCACCAGCTTTATACACGCACCTCCCGCTAAGCCCCGCCTCTTGTATGACGCCTAACCACTTTCGGATCTTCATCACGTGTCGCACGTGATCATTTCTTCACATCCACACTGTCTCTGTCAGTCAATCAAACCCGAACCGAGCGATATTGACATCTCAACAGGAATGGCAGGCGAAGCTCTCTCAGCGCGGCGTCGCTCAGATGCCCTGGGACCCGAAGCCTCAACCACCTCCCCAGCAACAGCCCGCCCAGACTCAAGCTCCCCCGTCGTCGATGCCGTCAGCCTCACCTAACGGTATGCCTCCATCGTCATACCAGAGCTATGACAACTCTCAGACAACTGGGTCCAACGGAGCGTCTCGCATCAAGCAGGAACCAGGAACAGAGCAACAGTACCACGGCCTCCCAACGAGCTATCCCTCCAATCCAGGCGGCGGTCTTGCACGCGCACAGCAACTAGTCCAGGAGCAGTACGGCTCTGCGGGTGCAGCGTCGATCAATGCAATGCAGCAGCGTGGTGGCCTCGCGCTTCCTGGCCAACAGCAGAAGTCTCCAGGTATTCAGCTACCGGGAGGCAGCCCACAACAAAGCGGTCAGCCGAACTTTCAGCAACAGCAAGCCGCAGCAATGGCTCAGCGCCAGCAACAGCAACTTGCGCAACAGCAGGCAAATCCACGAATCAAGGTCGAGAACGACAGCCCGCAGATGCAGCAAGGCCAATTCCAGCAGCAACGTCCACAAACCAACTACAGTCAGACAGATGGTGCCGACGAGGGCATGGATGAGTGGCGTGCGATGCTGGCGGAGCGTCGAGCTCTGCATGCTCAGCAAGGCGAGCATGCAGACCGCATGATGCGTGATCAGGTCATGCAGCTCGCCGAGGGTCTTCAGAGCGGACTGATGGTGCCCCTGTCGGAACAGCCGTCCAAGAAGATCAAGAAGCGTCGCGCGGCGGCCGCAAGATCGACTCAGACCACAGCTTCATCTTCATCAGCACCATCTATCCCGCAATTGGATGGCGATGCAGACGAGGAGGACGAGAAGCCCGACTTGAAAGACGAGGACGACGAGAATGCCATCAACTCCGACCTGGACGACTCGGACGACGATGGCGCAGGTGCCATGGGCGACGATGACGACGACATGGGTGACAGCATCCTGTGCACTTACGACAAGGTGCAGCGCGTCAAGAACAAGTGGAAGTGCACCCTCAAAGACGGCGTTATGAGCGTCAACGGCAAGGAGTGGGTCTTCCACAAGGGACAGGGAGAATTCGAATGGTGAGGCCAAATCGCCTCTTCGGGGAAATTCGACCTTTTCTCCGTCAACATCACTGTCACCATCACGACTCATAACGAATCCATGGCTCACACAGTGAGGGCTCTCCCCCATTTCCACTTCCGCCCACCAGAGCACTCTTACTTTGCTTTACTTTGCTTCGATGACGATGACTATGATGATCAGGATCAGGATCCGGATGAGGATGGGAAAGAAGCGCTTTCTCGCGGTTAGGAAAGAAAAAAAAAAGTTTTTTTTTTCCCCACTGGCCCAACAGGAACAAAAAAATATCAAAGATCAAAAAGGAAAAAATTGGAATAGATTTTTGACTTTTTTTGGAATGCGTTCGGACGGACCGTGCATCATCGCGAAAGGGGAAAAGGAACAACAGATGCATTGTATTGTATTGCATTGCGTTGCGTTGCATCGCATCGCATTGCGTGGGGCAATTGTTTCCAAGAATGAGAGAGAGAGAGAGAGAGAGAGAGAGAGAGAGAGCGCATTTCAATAATGGAGGATGGATCATTACGAAACGGGCCCTACCCACCATCATTGAGAGAGAGAGAGAGAGAGAGAGCAGGGGGAGATGGGAGGGGGAGAGAAGGGGGGCCCCGCTTACGTAATTCTTTTTCCTTCACATCCATGTACGAATAGAATGAAATTGATATCGAGCGTGTGAAAAAGAAAGAAAGAAAGAAAAGAAATGAATCAAAAACAGTGGAAACCTTCCCGAATGACATTGAATATTTACATTGAAATACGTATGATACGGGTGTGGCGAATCCCCATCCAGGATCTTCTTCGTACATTCCAAAAAATCTGGTAGATAATCACCCGTTTTCGGTAGCTTCATGGAAATCGTAGCACATGCATCCTTCTTCGTGACTTCGCTCTCGTCCCGTCTCTCCTCTTCCTTCGGACTTGCCGTCACTCCTCGTTTCGCTACGTCTTCCTCTTCGAGCTTCCCTTGCTTCTCTGCTTCGGCCAGACTTGGAAATTCGCCAACGAGAATGTCCGGGACGTCCAAGGGCGGTTCGCTTGCAGCTGGGAAGCCGGTTCTTCTTCAGCTTCTCCCTTGCTTGGGCCGTGTGTGCGGTTCTTTGGAGACTGGAATGCAGTGCATGCTGTGCTCTTTTCCCTCCGTCAATCACACGACGAAACTCCCACCTCTTCTCTCCGCCTCGTCGAGCCCAAAACCGAAGACGAGTCGGAACAAGTCCCTCATCCAGGCCCACTGCCCTCCATTCCCATTCCCCAGCCATCGCACACTCTTTGCAACATCAACCGCGTTCAATCTCCTGTTGCCCAGACTCTGGTTTACGGTCAACATACTCTTGTCGTTCATTACTAGCTTCTTGTAGAAGCTGAGCACTTTCATCTGCCAGGGTAGTGTTCCGAATGCGTCATCTGGGAGGGATTGGACGTGTGCGGGCAGAGACTGAGTTGAGGTTCGTTGGTAGCCGGTGTTCAATCCTGCTTTCAGGAGGAGGTAGCGAAGGCGCGTTAGCTGAGTATCTTCGTTGCTGGCGGTCGCGGTGGATGAGGTGTGCTGGGAGGACGCGGATTCGGAGTAGTCAGACAGCACGGAAGCAGTGCTGGTCCAACGTTCGTGATGAGGTGCTCCGCCTCTCGTAGAGCCGCCGCCGCCGCCGTTGCTGGCTGGGCCGAGGACCAGGATGTTTGGCACGTTAGCGTCGTCCGGAGAAGAATTGGCGGTTGAGGTATCGTCAAATACAGTCACTGGCGTTTCGGGCGGAGCATGGGCTTGCGTGCTGTGGTGATAGTCTCTGTTGCTCCTGGCGCTTGCCACTGAACGGGCATCGGAACGGGTCGAGCTCGACTTGTACGAACTCTGAGAGTGGAAGAGGGTTCGCGTGGGACGAGGTGTTCCGCGCTCTGGTCGGACCTGGGTCCAACCCTCCCGGAAGAGATCGCACAGCTCCCAACATGCTTGGACTGCGGACCCGACCAGGTCCTCGTCTACCGTCTTGCCTTCTCGTCCGGACTGTCGAAGATGGAAAAGTTGCTCGGCCAAAGACCAGCAGGCGCGGAGGAGAGCGTCGGTTTCGTGGGGAAGCGAAGTCGGGAGCTTCATCAGTCGATGGCACAGAGTGATATAGAAGTCCAGAGTCCGCTCATTGAAGGCGTCTGGTAGAGTGCGGTCGTGAGTGTTGTAGAGGTGATTGTTCAGCTCAAAGCTGACGCGTAGCACGGAGTCTGAGGCTTCATCCATCTTTTGCCGTGCGTCGAAGAGTGACTGGCAAAAGTCTCTGCACAGCTCCAGGGTTGGCGTGATCTGAGCGGTATGGTCCTCATCCTTATGCTCGTAGAGCTGCTGACAAAGCCTCCAACAGCTTCGCCAAGCCTGCTCCTGTACTTCCTGCCGTCCTGAGAATTGGAAAGTTCGCTGGCGATGGCTCGATGATAGCCCTGCCAGAGTATTACACAACGTCCAGCATTCGCTCAGTGCTGTGCGTAGAGCGGCGACTTCATCTTCCACCTGATCGAGAGCCTGCTTCGCCTGAGTCATCGCATCTCTACCAGCAGCCTCAGGTCGCTCTCCATCGTTGTCGATCTCGCGAGCGTCGCTTTCTTGATCCTTGTCGAGAGCCTCGGGGATGTCTGTAGGGGCGGTCAGATACAGCTGAATTTACTTTTCGAGACCTGAAAGCAGACCTTCTAGACTCGAAGTACGACTCCTGCGCTTATCTCTGTCTGGTTGATCGAATTCCTGTCTCGTTTTGGCGCGCGGTGTGGATCGATCCATGGACGCAGGGACGTTAGTGTCCACGGGCGATAATGGTTTCTGTGTATGGCAGGCAGGTCAGCCGCAAAGCTCGGAATGCAGACGAGGGGTATGCTGACCTTATGTGCAGGTCCCACGACAGAAGCCTCGGGTGTAATGGGTGATGCGAGACGAGCAGTGGCTTCGGACGCCTCGGTGGGAGAGACGTGAGAGGCGCTCGATGTGCGTCCGTGGTCAAAGGTCCTGAAGCCGGAAGGAACGTGAATGACTGACTGTGGGTCATTGTTGGGTGAGTCGGAGCGGCGTGCGGGCAGTTGGGTGTCAATCTTGGGGGGTTCCTGCCGTCATCAGTACTGGTCCGTTGGGCGGCACAGGAGCAGCCATCATACGCTCTTAGCACTTGCAGGGCTGGTGAGGTCGATGTCGGGCGACATGGACAACAGCTCGCTTGGGCCGGTGTGTGTCTCGGAGCCGGGCGACTTCCCCTGTGCATCCTCTTGCTCGTCCTCCTCGATCTCGGTGCCATTGGAGTCGACCGGGGAAGGCTCGATCTGCTGAGGGTAGGGGCTCGGTGGAGGGGCAAGAGAGTCGGAGGCAGCTGATGAGCTGGGGATCGTGATCAGCGCCGGTTCGTGACCATGTGGCACGCGTTGCGGAAGCGCTTCCGCTCCTTACCGGTTGCTCAGAGTGTGCCCGTTCGGAGGAAAGGCATGAAAGCGCGCGGGGGTGCCGGGAGAATCTGTGTGGGGACTGAAGGCAGAGGGTAGGGCGTTGGTGGTTGGTGAAGGCACGAGAGGAGTGGTCAATGCCATGGTCCGGCACTGTCTGGTGGACAGGCACCGTCTGGTGGAGTCGGATGATATGGAGAGGTGGGATGGGTCGCGAGAATGCGCGGTACAGCACAGCAGCGAGTCATAGACAGACACGGTATTGCGGCGAGCGGTCCCTGAATTTCGTGCCTCTTCGCAAGCCGGATGAGGTGGGTTTCGAGTCGCGCGCCGAGTACAGTGGTAAGGTAAGGGATTACTAGGTACGAGCTGCGGCGGTGCCCTCAGCTGGAGGGGCGGAGGCAGCGACGACGCTCTGATGTTAGTGCGACACTTGGTCTCCCGTGCGGCACAGCAAGGGGGCACGGCGAGTGGATGAAGCGCGAAGGCACGGCGAGTGGTCTAGCACGGCGGAGGGGTGGAACAGGCGCTGGAGAGGATGTAGCTGGAAAGAAAGGATGTAATGTAGCTGGAGAGGTTGTGTTGTGTTGTTGTAGCTCTCATCGGGTCGGGAACTGCAGGTGGCTCTTCGTTTCGGATCCGAGCCCGAACATGCCGCCAACCTGGCCAATCCTTCCCTTCTCACAGTACTTGCCGTAGAAGGCCTCACTATCACAATGGACGAGTACGTACCCAATATACTTTTCGGTACGGTACCTCACCCCCATGTGACACAGCATTCACAAGCTGATTCGCTTCCAGACATGACTCTGACAGCGGCTCGGTCCTCGCACGCGACATCCATTCTACCGGGCTCGACTTAGCTATTCACATTCACATTCACACTCACATTTACATTTACATTCACATCCACCGACTTAGCCGCCATGATGCGGCGCTCCAACACCAACGACACCACCTCCCATTCCGCACATCCGCCGCCCGGCTCCATTGGCCGCAACGGCGTGCTTGCATCTTGCATCAATGAATGCCAACGGTTGTACAGCTCCGCGCTTGCAGACGGAGACCGGTGAAAGCTCGGGCAGGGGAGGCTTCCAGCCGAGCGCTTGGGGACCTTCCGGCTGATTCTTGGCACCAACTCACTGACATACATACAGTAGCTTAGTCTCATACTGTACACGGCGCCGCTTGCAGCCCATTGCCAACATGGCGCTACAACCTGCTGAACAGGGATGAAACGCGGACAGGCGCATATCTACTCCATTCATTCTGTGTACACACCCGCTTCCTTCTCAGCTCTTCGAACTCGGCGATACATCTCGGCCGGAGAAGCCCCCTCGATACCATGCTTCTCCAATCAATCCCTGCACCGAACCAACTCCACCAACGACAAATATATCCAATCTCGCCTCTCCCCTCGCTGCTCCCTCCCTCTCACATGCCGTCGTCACTCGATTTGCTCAGCAGCTCGTCTGCCTCTGCCCTTCTCTATCAATCCTGACAGTGGACTTCGTCCCCCGCTTCTCCGCACATCGTCGCATGCCCGCCCACTCATGTCCCCGTACGAGCCATCTCCTGCCAGATCTAGCAGCAGCTTGAATGCCATCTCTGCATCCATCTCGCTCTCCGACTTCTCCGCCAGCAGTGATATGCTCCACCGCGGGTTGTGCGTATTCTGATGTCGTGTTATGCCAGGAATTGCCTGCCTCGCCCGACTTCATCGACGTCTCTCTCACACCCCTTTCTCCGACGCCGCGATCGTGTCTTCTCCCAACTTCTGACTCTTGCCATCTCGAACTTTGCATCTCAGACCTCGGTTCTCTCTCTGTAGCTCCGCGACCTGCGCGCGAAGCTTCTCATTCTCCCTCCTCAGCGCTTCCAATTCCTGCGTATCTGAAGCTCGGTCATTGGATCCACTCGCGCCGGGTGAATCCGATCTCTTCGCGGTACTGGAAGCCTCGGCGAGGTATTCGAAATGGTGCATCTCCGGAATCATGGTTCGGTCTCGCGGGGAAGAGTGTTCGATGGTCTCGTTCGGCTGTCTCGTGCTCTTCACTCGGCGTACAGACATTCCTCGCGTGTTGCTCTCGCCCGTGGTGGAAAGCATCGTGCTGTCTCTGAACCCCTCTGCAACACGACGAGCGTTGTGACGGCTAGATGCAGGAGGACGTGCTCAACCTAGGTCTCTTGTTGTGGAGACCGAATTCGAGAGCTGTCGTCACTTGCCAGAAGTTTATTTGGGGTTAAAAGACGTTGCCAAAGCCGTTGTGAAACATCAAAGCTTGCATTGCATTTCGCTCTCTCCACCACACACACACTTTCTTCTCTGGCCCAGGATGGATGGAACATGTCCTGCCCGAGAAAGGCCCTTGCAATTTTGGACATGGCGTTTTCCTGCAACACCCTCGTCCACGGGTATGAAACAGTTTTTCCCATGTTCAAATATACCTCCCGATGTCTAGGACTTCACGAGTCTGCGGTACCGCACTACTCTCCCGACCCACACCATCTCAGCCAGAGTCACCATGATGCCCGCGCTTCGATTATGGATCGCCAGGTATGCCTCGCCGTCCCAACACTCGACTGAATTGGGTTGCCAAGATGTCGCATGCACAGAACCATCCGGAGCGAAGCCACAGAGCGGCGTGAGGCTGAGACGTGTGAATCCCTGCCTAGGTTTGAAGAACATGTTCGGGATGACACCGCCTTGGGTTCGAAGCCTTTCATGATCCACGACATCTTTGGCATAAATCCCCGGGGAGTGCCGCTGTCGCTGCTTGCTTCCTCACCTTTTGACGTTTCGACTACTTCAAGTTGGACTTTATATCTCAGGAACCGAGCATGTATACTCTCAGCATTGAACAGGATCTCTCGGGGAGCGGGATGGACTCAGGAACACGACCACTCACTGGAAAGCAGCATGCGGCATTGTCGACGACTTTTACATTTCTCTTCCGAGGATCGGTACATCTGGAGGCCTACCCCTGATGGCACGCCGACATCAAAGGCCGTTCGGGGAGATGACTTTCGTACCTAGAGGTCGCTAACTCCGGAACTGCTGGTACATCTTGGGACTCTCGGCTGGCGGTGACAATGCCTTTGTCCCGGGAGCCGTGCTCTCGCGAAAAGCATTCACTTGTGGGAGACAGTAGGGACCTTCACTCTTCTACAACCCATTACAACACAGTCGCCATGGAGTTGGTTAAATGGGCGGCTCATACGTCTGAAGATGGTCACTCATGACCTTCTGCCTCAACTCATACGCACAAGCAAATTGCACAACAAATAACAATCTGTGCAACCAAGGCAAGGCTCCACATCATCCCCTATCAACGCGCTCCCGACCATCATGCCGGCACCGCGAAACAGCGCAGAGTGGTTCTCTGAACAACTTCCGACGTCAGTCATTCCACCTGTGCCTTCTCGATTCCCACGAGTTCCGTCCGAAGACTCCACGGTCCTCCAGCGGATGGACAGCTTCGAGGACATCGACCTCGACGATGATCAAGACTCCGCGAGCGTCGAGCAGCATGCCCAGACTGAAGACCGGCAATCTCTTGTTGTCATTGTAGAGATGACCGACGATGGCTCCTTCAACGTTCACCTTGGACCAGGGAAGCCGATGCTGACGCGTGGAGGGTTGAAGACTGATCCAAGCCTCGTCTTCATCCCTGGTACGACGCCAAAGAGGCCGAGCGGATGGCGCCAAATTCAGGACCGTGTTGGCAGTATGGTTGCTTGCGGAACGAAGATGGCAAAGGACGTTCTGAACAACATTCGACCTCCGACACCAACCAGACCGACCAAGCCAATTGAGCTTGGAGTCCTCTCTGTGCCGTCTCATCATCAAGCAGGCAGTAACGGGCACCCATACCGCAGCCAACCAGCGAGAAACAACCGCAAGCGGCCACGTCTGGATCTAAATAAGCCTCTGCCACCACTTCCTGCTTTGGAGACCTTCCCACCTCTGACCGTCCCACCGAAAGCCAAGTCGGAGCCGGTACGGGTACGCAAGCCCGTGGCTATTTCTAAACCTACGAGCGTCGTCTCGCAACCGGGCTCCATCTCCGATTTCGCGACCTCGCCAGCGAGCTCGGCCTTGAATACACCGCGAAAAGCTCCTCGCACGCCGGCTACACCACGCTGGGGACTTCGCAACCCTTCCTTGGATGCACCCCCGGTTCAGCCTCGGAGCTTGATGGAATGGGATTGAGTGGACAACCTTACTATCAGAAGGACTTATTCTATAGCATATACTTTGGAACCGGAGACCATTTGGACCACGCTGTTTCCTCCTAGTCACTTTATAGAGACCCCCTGCTTTTCGCCCTTCACTGGCTGGCCTCTGGCACTTTCTCTCGGAATCTATCCCGTCTTTCCCATAATCAGTAAATTCAACGTATAAGCATCAGTAAGTCTCATCTTCACGTGGACGACAGGAACCATACCTACCCACTCACTCCCTCTTCACTCCCTCTCCACTTCACTTGCTCCACTGACTTTTCCCATCTAGGTTCTAGACCCCCGTATATACACACAAAGGAAAGGGGGACGTGAATGGCTTTGTGTACGACGTGAACAAAGCCATCGCCTTCACAATGCGCTTGTCACTTGCTTGGAGGGAGGGAAGAAAGCGTTGTGTGTGTGTTGTTCGGGTCGCTCGTGGATGGACGGCATAAAGAGTCTCGCTCTTCGCTGCTAAGGATGCGGTTCTTCTTCCTAGCTTGGATCATTGCTGTCTTCGAAGAGCATCTGTCTGAGCATTTCACCAATTGCTGGACGATTGATTATTGAGCAAAGCAGAAGACTCTTGAAGAAACCTCCTAACAAACACTACCACGACTGCAGAAAGCCACTGCGGCCTTGACAAACGACTCAAGATGGACTTCAACACTCCGCAGAGCCGTTTCTACTCTACCAACACTCCATCTGCGCCTCTCCGCCGTCCCGTGCTTAACAACCGCACGGAGACTTCTTTCAGCCAGCTACCGAGCGGGACTAGGTTCCTGGAAGACCTGCCGGAACGAGAGCAGGGTCCGTCGGTAGGTCCGTACTCCCGCAATGTCGAGCCTCCCGCAGACGATCGGTCCTGGCAGTTAAACTCTCTGGATTTGAACAAGTCTCTGCCTCCGTCACCTGCCCCTGGATCTCCCCGCCGCGTCACTGCCTACCCCCGAGCGACACCAGCTGGGAGCCCACCGCCCATCCCGTTCATCCCTCGGTCTGTCCTCGAAGCAGGTCTTGAGCGGCCAGCATTCAACCGGGCGCCCTCGTCCAAGATCCTCGACCAGGACCCAAGCATTCCGGTCGGACAAGTACATCTCGGCACCCGGTTGATCTCCCTCGCCGACGCACAGGCCCAGCACGAAGCACGGAAGGCCGAATACCTTGAATACAGCCTTGGACGTGAAACCTCCCAACGTGTCGAGCCTCCCCAGCGACCGACTCTGAAGCAGGTAGCGGCTGTCGTATCCACCGGGTTTTCCCGCTTGGCATCAAACGCAGCAAGGAAGGCGGCCGCTCGTAAGCCTGCGCCAGCTCCCCGGCAACCACCCAGTCCTCCTCCTGAGCGGACGATGGTCGGCAATCCGGATCGCGGCACTCGATGGGGTGATATGTACGGTTACCAGTACACTCCCCTTGGAAGTCGCGAGGACGTCTCGGGAACCCAAGCCCCTGCTTCGCCTGCTGAGGAGCAGCCATCCTTCCCCCCGCCAAGCCAGCACCGGATCCCACGAAAGCCGGTAGTTATAAGACGGCAGGGTGTCATGCTCGCAACTGCCGAGGAAGCAGATGGCCACCATAGGGAGCATCATCAAGAACGCGACGAAGCTCCCGAACGCCTCTACCGGATCCAAGCAGACGATTGGCTCTCCCGATCAGGCCAACTACCACCCGATCCACGCCGCCCAACCACCCAAGACAGCGATCTGCAGGAACTGTTCGACTCCATCCTTCGAGTCGGCCCGTTTGGAGACGTTGAGCTACCTGCTCCGCGCATCCAAGACAACCCGCGGCGGTCTTGGGAAGCCGACTCACCCACCGAGGACAAGACGCTGGGTCGCGCTGGGGACTTCACTCACGCCACGGAATCCGTCTATAGCCAAGACGACGGCTTCCAACCAGCACATCGGCCATATCACAACCCGCTCTACTCCGCCTCCGTCAACGAAGAAGTCAACCGTCTCTACCACCTCGAAGAAGCGCACCACCACGCTTCATCGAATGACAACGACGAGAGACGCGACACCACGATTGTCGATACGAGGGTGCACGACCACCACACGAGTTTCGTCGTCACCCAGTTTAGGGGTGACCGGACGGTGGAGTCATACTACTATCGGCAGGCGAAGGAGGCGAGCGATGATGGGGCGGCTATGGCTGTTTGGAACCAGCTGAGTCTGGAATCCGGTGGGGTGGTGAGTCCGGTCTTGCGGAGGGGGGATGTGTCTTCGGAGGTGTCTGGTCTGGAGCGGGGTGGGACTGTGAAGAGCGTGAGGGAGTTTGCGTGGCGGCTGAGGGAGGAGGAGGAGGAGGAGGAGGAGGAGGAGGATTGAAGGGATTGGCTCCGTGTGCAGGGTTTGGAGGATTTTTTGGGTTTGGGTTGAGATATCAGGGAGGCTGTTTGACTGATCTTCATGAACGTAATAGGTCTGACGAGCAATGTTGACGATAATGAAGACGCATAATGCATAATGAACGAATGATTGGAAGGACATGGATCGATGTGTGAGTTTCCTTCTTGACTGCTTCCTACTTCCTACTCCCGACTTCCGTACTACACTGACACGAAAGACATCGCCGCATGACCTGCGTGTTGCCGCGAAAAGTGATTTCACGGAGAAAATCCCGCTGGATCTGGCCGTGATGCGTGATCTCGAAATTACAGGGCTTCTATAGGGCCTATCTGCCCCTCTGCGAGTTTGCCGATTTGCAGCAGCAAGTCGTGAAAACCTATCGTGTCCAGCTGCAGACGCCCCTGCCGCGCCATGCGACAGGGACATCCGACGCATCATATTCCCGGCTGGCAGAGCATCGTGCACCGAGATTGGAAACCCGCCAATATCTTCCTCGACGCCCCGGACCCGCACGTCTTCCCGCGCTACCCCAAACCCCTCATCGGCGACTTTGGCCTGGCCATCTGCACGCACGAGCACGACGACGACGACGACGCATATAACCCGCGCTCCTACCTCCAAGCCGGCACTCCCCGGCTACTTCGCCCCAGAGCAGACGCCATGTGTCTCGACCTGAAAACCTACCTCCCAAATTTCGAACATCGCTTTCGTCTGACTTCCAAGACGAACGTCTGGGCGGCGGGCAAGACGATTCTCACCCTCATGGAGCGCGGACATGTGTCGCTAAGGTTACTTTCGTGGGAGCGGATAAGGAGCCCTTTTTTTTTCTCTGACGACGATGCGCCGTGTTATTATAGTCGGCCCCTGAGGGATCTCGTGCTGAAGTGTCTGTCGTATGATCCGGCTGAGAGGCCTGCTTTTGAGATTGTGCTGAGTGAGGTTCGGAGGCATACTAGGGGGGCTGGAGCTGGAGTGCTGCAGGATCGCGCGAATGGCGTGCGTGCGGCGCCGCCGAGGGGCGCTCCGAGAGGGGATGATCTGTTGGGTTATGGGAGTCTGCTGGCGGGGACGTATCCTCTCGGTGCAAGGGTTGCTGTTCCGCCTATGCTGGCCGTGCCGCCTGCTGGGGCTTGGGTAAGGGGGGGCGGGGGGTGATGGAGATGGAGGCGGAGGGGAAGGAGAGGAAGGACGAGAACCGGCAGGGCGAGATTTCACCATCGCCATCCCCACTGAGCAGACTCTCGAGACGTAGAAGTGGAATTTTCGACGTCTTATGAATGCGGCAGGACGCGACCTCATCAACAACAGCAGCAGCAACTGACATACGGCCGGAACCAAACCAAACCACGCAAAGGGTAAGGGAATGCGGGTATCCAGCCAAAGATCTACCAGATCAAGAAACAAATTCGACACCGAGCTGGACAAAGGCAATTTCTCTATCCGTCGGTTTTCTCAGCTGCAATCATCGGCCCTGGTCCATGACGTCTACCACCGGCGCTGCGAGATGCTTCGAGATGGGGTCAGACTACGCGGCGATTCGCCGTACAAGGACGACATGGCGTTAAAACTATACCTTGCATACACACGACAACTGATCGAAGAGTCGAGTCTTCTGCTCAGGTGCTGGTGATTTGCGGCAAAATCAGCCAGGGAGTTTGTGGGGCGACCGCTGAGAGTGAAGCTCGATAAGGGAGATGTTGGGAGGATCACGGTGGACATCGCAGGCAAGAAATGCCTGATATTTTTGCATAGACCACCCAGAGTATATCGCTCGACACGCTTCGAAACCGCGAGTGCTGGAAAACATGCGCCTTCTGGAGGGCATTCAGAGAGCTGGAATCGCAACAAATCCAAAATGCACTGACAGCTCTGAGAAGACAAATCGATATCAGCAGGATGGATCAAGACGACGCCCACTTATCACTGCGAACTGCTGCGCAGATCGAGGGCACTAAAAAGTGGCATGCATGCTTGGTTCAACAAACCTGTGAACCGGGAGAGATGGAGCAAGGAAAGGACGAACCTCGACAATACCCAAGGAAAAAGGCCTTCAGAGATACCTTCGACGGCAGGCAAGAGGCAAGGCGCTATGGGAGGGCGAGACAGGCGAAGAGCGACGGAAAATGCATGTGGCAGGCTTGAAGAAACGTTACGACAAGAACACGGAAAGTGTGGACGCCAGGCCCGTGCAAAGCACAGCGAGGGCGGCAAGGCGGCTCGTGATCCCGAGACTGAGAAAAAGGCAGAGGCAGTCTTCTGAACTATGCACTCCAGGCTCTTGAGGAAGAGAAGGAAGATATAGATTAGGGTAAAGAGTTGCAAAAGCTTCCCGAAGCATCTCCAAACTCTTGGCTTCAACCAGCCAGCCAAAAGAGTTCGAAACAATCGAAAAAGCCTGATAAGTTCCTCAAGATGGGTGAGAGACAACAGCGACATGCCCTTTTTTCCGACAAGGGATCAAGCACCAGAGCTGGGCGAATACATGGGATATATCGAAGAGAGGAGGGTTAGGCGAAAAATGTCAGCACGGCCCGGAAGAACTATATACGCGCGGAGATGGTTGGTTATGCACTTCATGAACATTGGTCCGAAGATGGGTAGGTGTTGGCTATAAGCTAAAAGAGCAAAGAATGGGTATCCTCATGACCTCTATTAATAATACAAGAGTGAGAGGAGTAAATGGTAAATTAGACTAGGTATTTTTTACTATATCTCTTCTACAAAAGTGCTACTACTGCCTTGAAAGGCTACGATATAATGTGACAGGCATTGAATATATAACCTTTTTAACGAACCTTAACCTCGAGGGTACTTTATATATACTATTTATAAGACAAGACCGTAGAGTCTAAGACGATATACCTATTGCTATTGCCCTCTATCACTTACAGCGCCCCGTAGTTAGACTTTATCTTCCTCTCTAAAGGCTTAAAGGCTACCGAGAGAGAATTTTGTGTCCTATCGATAGATATAGTAAGGATTAGGGAGGGCTACGTACCTATTATACTCGATGTAATGGTATAGTCGCAGGGATGCAATGTATATACTATCATCTATTAAGAGAGAGAGAGAATTTAAGCTTTAACAAAAATAGACTAAAAAGCGCGCGGGAGAAAAATTTCGTATAAAAAGATATTATATAGTCGGATCGTCTGCGAATAGTGGGGACGCGCTTCCGAGGTTAGGGGAGTTGCAAGGGTGCAGGCATGTCACGGTATATATATCTTCTGCCCCGGACTTGCTGCCGTGAAAATGACTACGATAATGTGATGTGATAGGAATTGGTTGTATGACCCTTGCAAAAAACCTTGAGACCCTCTCTTTTGGAGAATGGAACCAGGCGACAAAAAGCAAAGTTGATCTCGTCAAATGGGACATGCTGTTTATAGTATAGGTAGTATAGACCAAGATGTTTACGCTATGCTTGAGGAGGCGTGGGCGGACCAAGGACTCCGGCCTCAGGCAGCAAACTGTATTCTGACCTCACCTCATGTCTCACACAGAAAAAAGGAGGAGGATTGGTGCAATGTGCAACCTCCCCACCCAAGGGCAGAGAGATCACCGCTCCATTTTTTTTTAAGAGAATATCTGATCCGTCACATTGTCTCGTACGCATTCGCGTCGTCCAACTGGGCGTTTCCCTCCCCACCCCCACGTATCCTCCGCCGGCTCTGAAGGATTAGCCAAACGTCCACCCGTCTTCGTCAGTCTCAGTCTCCTCTCAAGCCATCACGCGAGCAGCTCAAAGGCTTGCTCTCCAAGCCAAAAACAACCTCGTGAAAAGGCAATCTCATTCTGATCGAGGCGCAAAAAAAGCAAAGCCTGACTCTCAGCAGGCCAAGAAACCATCTCAGACAGCCCCCTTCATCTTCCTTGACGTCCCAGCCTTCAGGACACCCAAGGTCTTATTGATTGCTTTCGCTTTTTCTCTTTCTCTATGTCCAGGTAAGAGACAAACGTTCCATTGTGGTAAAGAAGAAAACGCCGCCCGATGCAATTTGACATGAACGCTGAATAATTATTACACTTCAAAGGATTGAGAGTCCATCTTTTGTCAAAGAGTCATAGAGCAATGACGCTGCGTGTGCTCAGCCAAGAGTACGCTCTGCGTGCATCGGATGACTCCTTGATCGCCGCCTAATCGAAATAGAATCTTTGATGCCAAAAAGGATCACTCATCCTTGGGGGAACTGTAGAAATGTTAGTTCAGTATTTCTGGGTGTGTGAATTGTCGAAAGACTCACTTGGGAGACCACTTAGGGCTGGTGGGACTGAGAGAATATTTGGGTGACTGGGGGGAGGTCACGTTCGCAGCTGGAGATGTTGGTGACCAGCTCGAATTTGTCGGTGAAATGCTGTTGCTCATCACAGGACTGCTTGGGCTCCAATTTGGGCTGGATGGTGAATATTGTAAGACTGGTGATGCGGGAGAATATTTTTTGGAATTGTTGGTTGCTGCTGGACTGGTGGGGGACCAGTTTGGCGATTGTGGTGAGTAGGACAGAGGTGAAGTTGGTGAATAATTCGAAGAATTGAAGGCCGGGCTCGAAGGGCTATATGAGCTCTGCGGACTGTAGTTGGGCGACGCCGGAGAATATTGCGGTGAAGCGTTTTGAAAAACCGGACTGGCAGCACCGAAAGCCATTCCCGGCGACGTGGGCGAATATCCCGAGAAAGACGGGCTGACAGGGGAGTACGAATACCCCGGCGATGCCATTCCAGAGCTGAACGGACTCTGCGGAGCATAGCCGCTGGGAGGAGCATATCCAGGACTCATACCTCCGCTGTACGGGCTCATGCCACCGAAGCCACCGTTGTAGGCAGTGAGACCGCCGGTCTCGTCTTGACCAGGATTGATGATTGGCGAGAAGCTGGCACCGTAGTCAACGCCACCCAAGCCACCGCTTTCAGCCATCGGCGAGCCCATGTCGTAAGGCGTCATGCTACCTTCGGACATGGGCGTCGCAGCGCCGGCGGCCATGCCCGTCTGGTGCATTGGTCGCTGTGTCGCGGTGACGGTGTTGAGCATCTCGGTGTCGAGTAACATGTCGAACTCGCCGGTGCCGCTCGGTGCCAGCTGTCCAAGGATGATGTTTTCAGACACGCCGCGGCAGTCGTCCAGCTCTCCAGAAGACGCAGCATCGAACAAAATCTCGACGGTCTCCTCGAAAGAGCAGCGCATGAGAACACCAGTGTCGGCGCGGTTGATACCATGACGAGTGACTGCCATCAGCTCGCCGCGAGCGCACATGACATCGCAGAGAATGGCCATGTGACGGTGATTGACGTAGGATCCGTCATTGGTCAAGACCTCCTTCAGCTCGGCCATGAGCGCGGCGCGGACAGCCTCAATTCCAAAGACCTTCATGATCGACTGAAAGTGGTTGCAGTATGTTCGCTGGGAGTCGACGCCTTCGATGGCTAGAACGTCCTTGAGGTTGACACCGGTGGTGTCCAAGTACCACTCTGCGCACTCAGGCTTGGTGGCGACGTAGTGAAGCTTTCCAGCCTCGTCCTCGTAGAGCTTTGTGTCCTTGGACACGAAAGCGCGTTCAACGCCCTTCACACCGCGCAAGACGACGGCGTCAAGCATGTGGCCTTCCAGGCGCTTGAGGGTGTCTTCCGACTCTTCGTCGCCATCAGGATTCTTTTCGTCGGAGTTCGGGAGCAGGCGACATCGAATGACTTGCTCGTCGGCGTTGTCGTCCGAGGCGATGATGGCCAGGTCGTTACTCCATTCTTCCTTGATCTTCGTCGCGACGTCATTGACGGTCAAACCCTTATCTAAGAGTTGTCTACGACCAACGACGATGCGAAGCATCCATTTACTCTGTAGCTCCAGACCTTGTTCTTCATCCGGGATGATGAAGTGAGCTTCCACCATGTCCTTGTCGGCTTCGATGACAGTCTGGTCAATCACAGGGTCGTAATAGATCTCGGTGACATCGGTCACGCTCCTCAGGGTGGTGTGCTCAACCAACGAGCGTAGCTGCTTGGCACCTTCTTGGGAGCCTGTGTTGCCGGGGCTTTGGTAGACCTTCATGTTGGGCGTCTTGAGGTTTTCCGCCACGTTGAGGATTTCCTTGAGACGCGGCACACCCTTGGTCGTTGTGTTGGCTGTGACACCAGCCAAGTGGAAGGTATTCAGGGTCATCTGTGTGGCCGGCTCGCCGATGGACTGCGCAGCTAAGACGCCCACCATTTCGCCGGGGCTGACGAGTGCGCGCAAGAATCGGTTCTCGATGTCACCAAGAATGTTGTCGAGCGCGAGAGTAGAAAGATGATCTTCTTTGACAATTCGCTTGAACGCCAGGCGAGACCGATAGTGAGCTTTGACAAGCAGGGTGGCATTGAGGTCTGCCTCTTGGGACAGCTCATCGTCACCTCGGATGATCTTGAGCCGGTCCAGCAGGCTCTTCACCTTCGGGATGGTGACCCGAGGATCCAAGTCGCTCTTGCTGTTGTCGTTGATCTTGAACTTGTCTTTGGCGTTCATGATCATGCGTTGAAGGTTCAATGGCAGATATCGATCTTCCTTGTCATCGTCCACGCTGGATCGAATCTTGATACGATCGTGCTGAATGGCCTCAAATTCTTCATCAAACAGACGCTGGACCTCGGTGTCCCCACGGATCTCGTTGTAGATCTCAAGATCGTTGCTGCTAAGCTGCAGATATCTCGGCGTGTCCTTGAGGTTGACAACTTCGAGCTTGTACTTCTTCTCGAACTGCTCATGAGACGCTGCAATAATCTGGAGCTTCTGGTCTTCGATGTGCATGGCGTCCAGCCCGTCTTCACCGTATGTAAACTGCAGAATATCGCCGAGTGAGTTTCGCACAGTGCTGTCATACTTGATCATGACCTCTTCAAGAGCCTTGACAAGTCGACGCTGAATGTAACCAGTCTCGGCAGTCTTGACGGCAGTGTCGATGAGACCTTCGCGACCTCCCATGGCGTGGAAGAAGAACTCTTGCGGCGTCAGACCGCGCAAATATGAGTTCTCGACAAAGCCTCTCGATGCGGGCGAATAGTCGTCCTTGGGAAAGTGGGGCAGGACTCGATACTTGAATCCGAATGGTAGACGCTTGCCTTCCAGGGACTGCTGACCGACAGCCGCGGTCATCTGTGAGACGTTGGTAGTTGATCCCTTGGAACCGCCCTTGACCATGACTCCGACGTTGTTGCAGGCATTCATGTTTTTGTAAGCGACATCGCCACCCTGGTTACGTGCGGTGTCCAGAGCAGCCTTGGTCTTGGATTCGAAGGTCTCTCGGATAGTCATACCGGGAGACGGCTCGAGCTCGTCTGCCTGGACTTCCTTGACGAGGCCCTCAATGACTTGCTGTTGCTCGACAATCTTCTGCTGGATACCTTGCACCATTGGTTCGTCAGGAATTGTGTCACCAATACCGACACTGAAACCGTTGTGGAGTAGCCAGTAACAGACGATTCGCTGCGCAGCATTGAAGAATTCGACAGCGGCCTCAGGACCTCGGTCGTTGTAGATGCAATGCACGACACCACCGCCGGAAGCACCGACAACAGCCTTGACGACACGACCCCAGATGAGCTCACCGTTTTGGATGACGTATCCCTGGTCCTTCTCCTCTTGGAGCGGGATGTGGTCGCTCTTTGGACGAACAATGTTCAGTCCGGCCGGGAAAGCAAGCGAGACTATCTGCTTGCCGGTCCAGCGCGGGCTTGGCTTGAGAATTGCAGGCGGAGGGATCACGCCGTCCCATCCTGGAACCCAGAGAAGGATGTTCATCACGGCCTCGTAGTCGACCATAGTGTCGCGACGAGTCATCATGTAGATACCAGCCATAGTGTCCTGAACGATGCCCATGAGAGGACCGTTCTTCTGCGGCGAGACAATATTCAGAGGAACTGCGCAGAGGTTGGCGACTTCTGCTCGGGTTTCATGACTCTGAGGAACATGCAGGTTCATTTCGTCCCCGTCGAAGTCGGCGTTGTAGGGAGAAGTGACCGACAGGTTCAGACGGAAAGTCGAGTACGGCATAACCTTCACTCTGTGACCCATCATGGACTCCTTGTGCAGCGAAGGCTGTCGGTTGAAGATGATGTAGTCGCCGTCGACAATGTGTCGCTCAATAACCCAGCCGAGTTGTAGCTGAATATCGCCGGCGCGCTTGTGATACCGCAAATCGATACGAGAGCCGTCCTCGCGAATAATGAATCGAGCACCGGGATGCTCCAGGGGCCCATTGCGCACACACTGCTGCAGCTTGTTGATGTTGTAGAGTGTGACACGCTCCGGGAACGTTAGCACTCGGGCGATCGATCTCGGCACACCAACTTGATCCAAGTCCAAGTTTGGATCTCCGGTGATGACAGTACGGGCTGAGAAGTCAACACGCTTGCCCATCAGATTACCCCGAAGACGACCCTCCTTGGACTTCAGACGCGCTCGGATGGCCTTGAGCGGGCGGCCAGTCTTCTGGATGGACTTTGGAACTCCGGCAATATCATTGTCCATATAAGTCGCGACGTGATACTGCAGTAGATTCGTGAACTCCTCGTAGATGTGCTGTGGTGAGCCCTCCTGCTCGCAGCGGCGCACGTTGGAGTTGGCGCGAATGATATCCGAGAGCTTGTACGTCAAGTCGTCCTCGGAGCGCATGCCCTGGCTCGTGCCGTCCACGGAGATACTCGGGCGTACTGCTGGAGGCGGGACGGGTAGCACAGTCAGAATCATCCACTCTGGCCGAGCGTAGTCGACGTTCAGACCGAGCCGCATGAGGTCGTCCTCGGAAATGGTGCGAAAGATAGTCAGCGCTTGCTGTGGAGTAATTTGGCGCTTCTCAACACCAGCATCTTCGTCCTGGTTGTCGCCTGGCTTCATCTTCCAGGAACCCCACAGCTTAAGCTGCTCCCTACGGATCGTGGGCTGGACATTGCCACAGCCACCGTGACCGGCTCCCTTTGGCTTCTTTGGATCGTCGCCGTAGGCACCGTCTTCCTTGTTATCAGGCTCGTCGGCATCGCACGTGCTTTTGGACTTGCAAAGGCGGGTGATCACTTCAAAGCGTCGCTTGGGATCGCGAAGTCGCATGGCAAGCGCAAACGTGACGTTGCGCTGGAGGAACACGTGTAAGCACTGAGACTGAAACAAGATGACTTACCAGTTCAGGTGAGAAAACAACTTACTTCATCTTCCAAGAGCTTTCCGCAATTGTGGCAGACTGATTCGAGAATTTTCTTGATCTTGGTGATGAAGCCTGGTCACGTGATAATCAGCATTTGGTCAAAACAATTCGCTGGGGGCTAGTGTTTCGGCATACCGACATGAAAGACTGGAACGGCCAGCTCGATATGTCCAAAGTGGCCAGGACAATCTTGCTGGCTCTCGCCGCAGGTTGCGCACATCTGACCACGGTCGATGGTGCCGAGTTTGGGATCGTTCAGGCCCTTCTCGCGCGGCCGATGGCGCTGCTCGTCCATGGTCTCGGCGTATTCAATGTGGCAAACACTCATGTTCTTGATCTCTTCCGGCGAGAAGAGTCCGAATTGGATCTCCTGCACCGTCTTGAGGGGCGCCATCGACTTGACGAAGGTCGCCATGCTGGGCGGTCGATTTGTCGCAGCGCCTCAGTGTATGGGTGATTCAAAGTCGTTCTACGTGCTGACCGAAGCAGATGCTTGCCACAAACCGGTCCTTTGTCGAGATGCGCTTTGTTGTCGCCTCGCTTCCTCTTCACTCGCCAAAGTCTTCAATCCGCCACCTCCCCTGTCAACACCACGCGACCTGCGTGAGGGCCGCCTGCGCGCCTTGCGCCCTCAAACACTCCCCTACAGCCTCTATGGTGGCGACGTCACTGGTTTCGGTGCGCCGGCTGATGGCGATCGCGCGCGCGATGCGCTTGTGAGAATGTCGACACAGGCGTGTTTGGGGGCGCGCGCCCGGTCGGTTCAATCGCAGGCCTGCCGGCGACTGGCAATCGTGCGCGGTGGTTTTCCCGTGGATTACTGATGATACAGGCGCAATCGCGAGGTAGTCGGTCGATGTGCGATGGAGTTGAGGGTGGTGGAAGGGTGTGTGTCGTAGAGATGGAGCTGTTGAAGCCAGGCTGCCGTCTTCTTCCTTCTTCGCCGCCCTGCGGAGATTTCCGAGGCAGTCCGTGCGCCAGTGAAGTCACGCACGCACAACACAAACGCGATCTGATCCGATCTGATCTTCAATAATTCACCTCACCTCAACCACACTCCTCACTGCGGCCTGAGATCAGGCATCCGGTCAGGCAATGTGCGCTCTATTGACTATTGAAGACTGCACACATTGATTGATTTGCTGTGGTGCCTGAGGATACCTATTCAGTCAAGCTGCGCCAGTCGAGGGAAAGGAAAGCCCACCGGTCTGGTCAGCTATCCTCTTCTGCTGTTCTCTGCTTTGCTCACCTTCACGAGTCACTCGATATACCCCTCGCAGATGACTTGCAGTAGGCAACACCGTCTCCATCACAGTCGCTTAACACGATGAACCTACCCCTGTCAGACCCGGTGCTCCTCGCGCAGGACATCCCCGAGACGCTCACCGCGCGCCTGCGGTCGTCGGGGCAGGCAGTTTGTCTCCGCTTCTCCCATCGCGGCGATCTTCTCGCCAGTGGCACCGCTAAGGGCACCATTGCCATCTTCGACCTCGAGACCAACGGTGTCGCCCGCAAACTGAAGGGCCACACGGCTAACCGCCCTGTGCAGTCCTTGTCGTGGGAGAAGAGTGGCCGATATCTCCTCAGTAGCAGTATTGACTGGAAGGTGATACTGTGGGACTTGCAAGATGGAAGCAGATTACGCACCGTCAAGTTGGGCGCGCCGGTGTACATCGCAGAGCTGCACCCGAATGACTTCAATGTCTGCGTCGCGGCGCTGTACGAGCATCGCCCAGTCCTCGCAGACCTCACAGAACCCATAGCCAAGCAGACGCCGCTGCCGAACCTGCCCAAACGAGCACCACACGAGATCGAGGGGAATGAGAAGGCAGACGCTAAGCACTTCACCACTGTGGCCGCCTTCACTCCCAGCGGATCGCATGTGATTACTGGCACGACCAAGGGATGGCTCAACATTATTGATTTACAGACCAAGGAGACTGTCTACAGCAATCGTCTCTGCAGCAAGCCCATCCTCCTCATCCGGCTCAGTAGCTCTGGACGAGACATTCTGGTCAATTCCTCCGATACTATCATCCGCACGATCAAACTCCCGGACCTCTCCAGTCCCAATCTCCATCCGGACAGCATCAGACTAGAAGTCGAACACAAGTTTCAGGATGTTGTCAATCGGCTGTCATGGAACCATGTAACATTCAGCAGCAACGCCGACTACGTCATGGCTTCCACTCTCATGAACCACGACATTTATATCTGGGAGCGCGGTCACGGCTCGCTGGTCAAGATTCTGGAGGGTCCAAAGGAGGAGCTGGGGGCAGTAGAATGGCATCCGGTCCGCCCATTTGTTGCAGCAACAGGACTAGAAAGTGGAAGGATATACCTGTGGTCTATCAAGACTCCGCAACGGTGGTCTGCGCTTGCTCCTGACTTTGTGGAGGTGGAGGAGAACGAGGAGTACATTGAGAAGGAGGACGAGTTCGACATCCACGATACAGCAGAGCTGCAGAAACGAAGACTGGATCAGGAGGACGAAGAAGTGGATGTGCTTACAGTGGATGAAGAACAGCTGGAACGGGAAGGCAAAGCCGGCAAGGACGAGTTCCGAATGCCAGTGCTGCTTGACATGGGCGAGAGCGACAGTGAGGATGAAATCGTCGCCATTGGCACGGGGCAATACCGCCGGAAGAGCACCGCGCAGGCCGATGAGATGGAGTTCGTGGACGGCGACGACATTGTTAACGGCGATGTCGAGACCAACGGCCACACTGGAACGAAGAGACGACGAGGAGATTGAAGGTCGTTGCCATTATCGCTGGTCAAGACGTTGAAAGGGCTGCTACGTCAGAAAGAATGCCGAAATCACGAGATTCGCATGACCGCTTGTTGAGCGCGGACGTGACGCCAGCTTCAGATCTCCTGTTTACTGGCGAAGCGGACCTGGTGAGCCTAGGCTGGCCAGCTGGGTTGCTGATCCTGGCAGCGCTTAACGTTGACGAGACGTCAGCTACAAGGAAGCGCTTGCGAATCCGAGACATAGATCCACTTCACCATTCTCTCCCACACTTTAGGACCATGCAACAGCTAGAATAGGAAGCTTGAGGCTGGCTGTATTGCCTATTGAGGAGTAGACTAAGACTTTTGTCATCCCGCATAACAAATGGAGAAAAGTCGGCACCAGGAGCAGAAGAGCAAGATGCATCGTGTTCGCACAACTCACAGCCGTCCCCTCCGACAAAGCCGCTGGCCTACTATTGTGGGTGGGGCTCATCTCCTTCAGAACTCTTTGGGCTTCCGGTCCGCTTCCGAAAGAAACGGACAAGCAGAGCTATCGCGAGTCCCTCGACGGCCGATGACCCCCCTTGGAGGCGCAGGCGGTTGACAAGTACTTGACAGTCACAGAATATAGAGATACCTGTCGAGCTCATTTTAGTTCATCCTGCCAGTCCCACTGCTGCTTCCGACTGCATTCGACGGACGCCCAAATGGTCATTCCTCGTGCTTCCCTTTGAGAATACCTGCTCTCAAGTGGCGTCCATCTCTCTTGCACAATTGTCTTCTCAAGTTTTGTAACAAAGACAAAGGCACCGAGGAGTAGTAGAGAACCAAATCTACGATAGCAGCCGTGAGAATGATGTCCTCCGCACCCAAGACTCCATCCGTCATCATCTCTTTCCCCTGCGCAGTCTCGCCATTGAAAACGTCGTGGTTGCTCCCTTTGACGCACGCGTCCCTACTCCTGCGGTAAGCCAATGGCAAGGCAAACGATTGAGAACGTCGATATGTGGTAGGAGAAACTGTATGAAATAAACAATCGCTGGTCCCTCAGAGCAGGCCGGAGTCGTAGTGTGATGCATTCAAGAGTATCCCGACGATAACTCTCGACGATATGCAATCGTCAGGCTCGCCGTGACCTCAATTTCTATTGGCAAATTCGAGAAGAGGGAATTCTGCCGCAAACCTTTGCCTCAAATCCCCATGGCACCTTCGGAGCAGCGAAGGGTGCAGCAGCCGCTCCATCCTCTCCTGCCGTCACTCAATCCAAGCGCTCCACTGATATTCGAGACAGACGTCCTCCCTATTGAATATTCGCCTTCAACGAGATCTGAGAAGAGAGAGAAAGCAGGAGAAACGACCTGGGAATTATCAACTACATCTATTACTTTTATTAGCCCCCCAACCAATCGTGACCGTTATAAACCATTCCAGAATGCGCCGAAACAACATCATCCCCATCATGCCCGTCTCCTCCGCTCTTTTTTTGCACCTACTACTTCCCTGCCCAGTCCTCCTTGATCATCGCAGCTCCCTTTTCTGCAATGCCAAACAGACTGCTGCTCAAGTGTGCACTCAACTGCACCGGCAGCACACTGGCATCCACAACTCTGACATTCTCAATGCCATACACCTTCAGTCTGCTGTCCACAACACCTCCATATTCCTGCTTCATCATCGACAGCGTACCGATGTAATGCCACACGCTCGTGAACTTGGATTTGACCCAGTCTTCCCAGACTGCAGTGGTTGCGTTAGTCGAGACGAGATCGGTGCCCGGTGTGATTTCGGAGACGACGCAGTTGGAAAGGGGCGCAGTGTTGAAGACTTGACGGGATTGCTTGGCAGCGGCGGTCTGGAAGGCGAGGTCCAGCGGAGAGCGGAAGTAGGAGGGCTCGATTTCGGGGCTGTCCCAGGAAGAATTGGAGCGGATGTGAGCTGTACCGCGAGAGAAGACGACGAGGTTCCACAGGTCGATTCCCACTGTGTTGTCATCCATGTCTATTGTGAAGAAGATTTCCGCTGCTGGTGTGTCCTGCGAGTAGAACACGTTGTCGAGTTGCAATTTGAGGACTTCGGCGGTCGCGGTAGCATTGGCAACGAGGCCGTCGGCTTCCAACGCAGATGCGTACGCTGTAATGTTGGCAGCGATGGAGTTATACCAGGCGTCGGATTCGGAACCAAGCAGTTGGGCTGCTGTGACATAGGAGATGGCACTTGCTGGACCGCTGCCGTTGAAGCTAGTGTTGCCTTTTGGCTCGTAGTAGAGAGAACTCTTAGTCTGTTCCTGCATGTTCTTGCCCACGCCGCTCAGAGAAAGCCGAACGTCGACACCCGCGGCAGACAGGATATCCGAGTCGCCTACACCGGAAAGTTCCAGGAGCTGAGGGCTGTGAAGGGAGCCGGCCGCAAGAAGCACTTCGCGCTTGGCCTTGATAAACTCAACGGTGCTGTTTTGGGAGGCTTGGAAGCGTACACCTTCCGCAACAAGTTTGTCCGTGCCATTTTGCCAGACAATTTCGGTCACCCGGTGCCCAGTGAGAATGAAAAAGTTGTCTCTCTCCTGTACCTGGTTTTGAGCATATGCGGTGAAGGAGCTGGAGCGATTCTGGCTCGCTTCTACATCGACCATGTTCGGAATGATGGTAGCTCCTAATGGCGAACCTGACGCCGCGTCCGAGTTTCGCGTCAGATTCTGCCACACCTTCTCGGAAGTCTCCAAGGCAGGCAGTTGAGTGCCACCAAACATCCCCGCTCCAAAAGAAACTTGGACTGGTCCACCATAGCCATGGGAAATTGAGTCGAAGTAAGCTCCCTTCTCGTCTCGCTGTTCGGTAGTAGGCGTGTGAAAGTTCTCGGCTTTGAGCATGTGTTGGTTGAAGGGCGTCCAAGCCCAAGAGTCATCGCCGGTGAGGGCAGGAAGGAGATCGTACTGAGAACGAGCGCCCTTGGTCCAGCTAGCTCCGTTCAAGCTGTCACTGCCGCCAAGCGTCTTGCCTGCCACGAGTTGAAGCCGACTGCCGCCTTGCCACTCGACAGGTGTTGACTTGAGGTCGTAAGCCAAGCTGGTGTTGAAAGCTTCGCCATAGGTTCGAACATCATTGACCATAGGGTTCGAGTAGTTATTGTAGCCGGCCTGAGCTTGCTGTCAACAAGTGTGCATGACATGTGAGCAGTTGACGAGTAATTACCTCAATGACCAGAACCGAGACGGTGGGATCCTCAGACAAGCGGCTGGCAATTGTGAGACCCGTCAGTCCTCCGCCGCAGATGATGTAGTCGAAGCTTGCATTGCCCAAAGTAGCTGGGGAGTTGGTGATCGCATCGCTGACTCCCTTGGAAGTGGATCTGCTCAAATTTGAGGGAAGTGCGGTGGCGAGGCCAGTTCCCAAGGTTGGAAGAAGGAGGAATGAGTTGCGCATGGTGAATGAAGTGAAGGATTGATGCTCGACCCGGATATTGGAGCGCGAGAGAGGACTTTATATCTCACCGTCACTCGTCCATGCCTCAATTGAGATCGCCGTTGAGATTGCTGTTGAGATTGCTGCTGAGCCCGCGGCTGCTCGCGGCTTCGGGGGGTTTTTTTTTTCTCCCTTCGTCATTCCGAACGTCGACTCGTAGAATGAAGTCGCATCGACATCTACTCGTACGCGTCACCGGATTTGGTATTCGAGCGCCGAACGTGGTGACACGTACGTACCCTAACGCTAACAAGTAGATGTCGATACGACTTCGTCCTAGTCGACCATGAGCCGAAAAACCACTGTCTTCGCCATGAAGACGCATTTCGACCCCGTCACGGCCGACAGCGCTACACTGACTCCACTCGCCTAGTCTCGAGTGCATGTGTCTAGCAGGCCACACGTTGTCACTGGTCAAGCTCCAAGCCAAGATCAGCAAAGGGCCTATCCATTTGACATTGAACCCGGGTGAGGGAGGGTGTTGCGAGTCCAAACGGCCGCGCAGTCCGGGCTGGCGTAAGCGCAGGTTCCAATGGCCGCGTCGTAGACAACCGGACGCATACGAAGTTGCACTCGCGGAAGTTGACTGCGCCTTACGCTTTTGCGGGGGAAATTTCGCCAAGCCCTACTCCACCCATACCGCATGCAGTATTTGCCATATTGGATCTTAAGGGGCAATCCATGGGTATATGCTGTATTTTACGGTTCAAAGTCGACCAGAACAGAATCGTGCCGCTGGCATCGTTCTGCCAGAGTCGTTCTGCTTGAATCGTTCCGCTAGAATGGCTCTGCTGAGGTAGCATAGGCGTACTGCTGGCGCAGCAGAATGGGTTTGTTGTGCAGCTCCGAGCCAGCAGAACGGCCGGGGTGGTCTTGCACACCAAAATTTATTCTGCTGGCTTCTAGCAGATCCCGTCCGTCCTGCTGAACTATCGACTTGCCAATTTGAATCTGCGCTAAGGTAGGTAAGCGCAGCGTAGATTGTACTGGTGGTTATTTAGAGCTGCCAACCCGTTCTGCGGAAGGCCCGCACGGCAGTTGGGCAGGTTCAAATGGACAAGTCCTCCCGGGTTCAGCGGGTGCCGTACGGGTGCCGTGCGCTATTCCACTTGCCCTATTATTCCGACCCCACGGAATCGCGATATCAAATGAACAGCACCTAATATCGGTGGTTTGGAAAGCTGACATCTTTTGCGGCTTGTCCTGCCAAGCGATATCTGGGCCCATGGCGGTGCTTGGTACTTTGTGCTTTTTCACACGTCCATTCAAATGATGCTGGATGTTGGCATTGGATGTGCGAAGTGTGGTTGCAATATTTTTGCAGCCGCGTCGACTAGCGCCGGTGCTCGTGCGTGGTGGCTCAGTTCAGTAGTTCGCCGTCGCAATCGGTCCGAGGAGTACGGCCCGTGTGGGCCTGCGAAGGATTTACTGTGGAAAACCAAACAACGTCAGCGTGCAACTGATGAGTCTTAAATCCGCCCGACGGCAACAGCAGGTGCCTAGTGATGTATGCCATGGGAGGGTGGCCGTGGATGGAGTTATCGAATACAGCCTACATCTAAGCTAAGGTACGTGAAGCCGACTTTTACATCATCGCTGCGTCACAGCGTTAATCACATGCAACTGCACCCAATGACGAAAACCTCTCATGCCGTGTACTCCCTCTGGAGCAGTTTCGCGATGGTTGTCAGTTGAATGTTGCTCGTGCCTTCGTAGATCTGCAATAGAAGTGTCAGCAAGAAGTAATCGCCAAGATACCCCGACCCTGCAATGACTAACCTGTCCAATCTTACTGTCTCGCCAGTACTTCTCGGCCAGACCTTCTCTTACAAAGCCCATACCACCCATCCATTCGATCGCTTGTCCAGAGACCTTGCCTGCGACCTGCGAGGCATACAGCTTGGCCATGGCAGCATCCATGACAAAATCTTGGCCTGCCTCCTTCTTGCGAGCGGCGTTGTATACGAGCGCACGGGCAGCCGTGATTTCAGTCCAGGCCTGGGCCAGTTGGTGCTGCATGCCCTGGAACTCGCCAATGAGGGTACCAAACTGCTTCCGATCATTCCAGACATAGTGTGCTGCGTTTGCAAAGGAGCCCATTGCTAATCCCGTCATCTGGGCAGCGATACCAATGCGACCTTCATTCAGGAGGCTAATAGCATACTTGTAGCCTTCGCCCTCCTTGCCCAGGAGATCGCCGGCTGGAATCTCGCACTCATCGAAGTTGACAACGCAGGTAGAGGAAGCTTTGATTCCGAGCTTCTTCTCCTTCTTCGCAATCGAGAAGCCTGGATTCTCCTTGTCGACGATGAACGCCGTAATGCCCTTGTATCCTTTCTCCGGGAACAGGTTCGCAAACACGATGAAGAAGCCTGCCTCCATCGAGTTGGTGATCCACATCTTGCTGCCGTTGATCTTGTATCCATCGGCCGTCTTCTCGGCCTTCGTCTTCATCGCGAATGCGTCTGATCCTGACGCTGGCTCGGAAAGACAGAAAGAGCCGACCGTCTCCGTTGCAAGCCTGGGGAGCCACTTCTTCTTACTCTCCTCCGTCCCGTACTTCAAGATGGCCGTGTTGACAAGCGTGTTGTGTACATCCACCATGACACTGACGCTGGGATCGACCTTTGCTAGTTCTTCAATGCCTACAATGGCTGCCGTGAAGTTCATGCCCGCGCCACCGTACTTCTCGGGTATCTCAATCCCCATGAGACCTTGCTCAAAGCACTGTTCTATAATGGCAGGATCCATCTTCTCCGCCTCGTCCATTTCTCGCGACTTCGGCAGGATGGTCTCGCTCGCGAATTTGGATACGGACTCGGCCATGGCAGCTTCGATTTCGTTGAAGTGGAAGATGGGCGTGGGCTCTAGGGATTCGAGGTCGACGCTGCCTTCGCTGTCTTGTCTCCGTCGCGCGGTGGTAGAGAGACATGGTGGTCTTTATCGCATTCTGTCAATTCGCATTCGTACCACAATGGTGAGTATTTCTTACACGGGAATTGATCGTGTGAAAGCCGGTCGGCTCAGCGGGGTGCGTATTTTGGACGAAGCTGCTGATCGAGTGAGTGGGCGTAGTGATCTCGCGAGAGAGGCCATGGCGAAGGAGTACGTGATGAGAGTGTGGCGTGCACAAGACGTCGTCAGATGGTAGTGGCCAGAGAGATATAACCGGAAATGGAAGACGCGGCTGAGGATGGATCGGGAGCTCACATGCACGTCCACGGCTTTCAGGTGCTAACCTCGGTACCCGTGAAGAGATCCGGGTGCCGGACTGAGCCATGTACTATGTGCCATGTGATGTGTCATGTGCCATGTGCCATCAGGGCGAAGCGGTGGAAGGAAACAACAAGTCGTCTCGTCATTGCTGTGCTGTGCTGTGCTGTGCCGTTTCGCGGCGAAGGAGATGGCGGCACTGGGAGGGAGGGAGATGCTCTAGGCCGACTACCGGCAATGTCTTGGCAGCCGTCGGACCTTCCCATTCCCTGCTCCTGGACAGCTTTCAGATCTTCACTTCACCTCACCTCATCTCGACTCTGGCTCCCTCCTTCTCCAACCATCTATACAACATATCGCTGCACGCTGGAGAGCTGCATGCGCATTGCTTCGGCCAGATCTCAGCACTGGCACCCACTTGCTCCATCGCTAACAATCACCTCCGCACTGACCCTTCATCATGCCAGCAAGCCCGACTCTCTCCGTTCCTACCACGCCAACTGCCGCTCCACGCCAACCTGTCATTCGCAAGGTAAAGAGGGAGTCATCGTGGTCGCCGCCACGCCCGCTGGCCACCTCACGCGCTCCTCTCACTACTGCGCGGCACAAGGAAGCAAAGAACGACCAGGTCGGCTTCTTGCACCTCCCTGATGACGTCCGAATGCGGATCTTCAAGCTTGCCATCTTCGACCATGACCGTGGTATGCTCGAGAAAGCCTGCACACCGTATACATTGACTGATTTTCAGGTGCTGTTTTTCTGCCACGCAATCACCCACGCAAGGTTGTACCAGGGCTTGACGACGTTGATCTCGTTTGTGTGAACCCGACCTGCCTACATGGTCATGAAGAAGTCGGTTTTGATATGGACTATCGTCTGTGTCACCTAGTCTCCACTTCAGAGGAGGGCACCGCATCAGCTGGAGAGTGGATTGGTCCGGAGACTCCAGGAGTCGAAGAGCCACTTGAACTCGGCGTACCCTATCAAGACTTGCTGGAAATGACAGATGGCGAGGTCCTGCAGCTCATTGAGCCTTTCGAAGATGAACAAGGCGAAGCAGGGGAGTCTGCGGTAACAGCCACTCTGAATGGTGCCTCCGATGGATCATCTGATGAGTCTCACGAAGACTTGGACGAATCTCTCTGTCAGTGTATATGGTGCTACCGGGAGCGAGCAAACCACAATGATTCGCTCAGCGCCTCAGATGATGACGTTGCTGAAGGGTCTGAGAACCGATGTACGGATCTTGACAGCACCAACTTCTTCCAAGGCCTCTCTGATGAGGAGCTGTCCGAGGGCGATAGCAGCAACTCTCCAGGTTGCAATCTCAATCCATGTGACGACCTAGACTGCCGCCGCTGCGTCGACCATCCAGATAGATTCGAAGACTACACCAAGACTGACTCTGACCAGTCGAATGTCCTCAAATTCCAGGAGCTCCATCAACCAGATGACCTGGAGCATGCGGACACTGAAGAGGTGACCGGGATGCTATATGAACCACAAGAGCCGGCCATCTTGAAAGCCTCCAGGGAAATTCGTGCTCAGGCGCTGCCAACCTACTACAGCACCAACGCGTTCTCCTGGCGTTTCCTGTGGACCGATTATGAAGGCTCGTGTTTTCGCTTCAAGGCCTGGGCTCTTTCCATCCCACCTTCCGGTATCGAGGCAATGACTAAAGTCACATTTCAGGGCCGTCACGCGGTGGAGGAGGGCGTGGAATTCTCCATAGACATCGATCTGACGGATGATCATCCTTTCTTCGAAACGAATGTCTACTGCGACGAGACTGACGAGGCTGTTGGCTCCATTTGCGAGGCGATCAACAGGGACACAGCACGACTTTTATGGTTTGGATCTCGGACACACCGCTCACGTACCATTCTGGCTGCTGACATCCTTTGCGAGTTGGCAAACATTTTCGTACAAGGAATGCATTGGTAGGCTGTTCTGTATCATCTTTCTAATGACGTTGGACTAACGCTTGCTCATCAGGGATGGAGGACCAGCCGCGTGTAAGGAGGCTGCGGCATGCCGTGAAATCTTGAGTTCCTTCTGAAATCTTTTGGGTCCATTAACAAAATGGCAGCGAGGTGCCTGCAACGTAACGTACTCGAAGATGGCATGTTCAGGGCCCATGATTGAAATCTTGGGGGCCTCGAATCATCTTTCATGGGAGACCCAGTGAGTGCGATACGTAGTTGGGAAAGAGCAAGATGCTGAACATTGATCGTCACTTCTGCTGCCCTACTATCATCCTCTTTTTGTTCGTCTTTTCGGCCCCGAACCCGGCGCCATTATAAGAAGGCCGAAAGCGGCTGCAAAGTTCGCCTTGTTCGGCGTTTACGGACATACATGACCGCGAAGCCTACATCGGCACCGTAGCCATAGAGTTTCTTGCCTCAAAGCCTCAATGAAGCACTCATGCCGCTGTGATTCGCTCGCCCATCGGCAAAATAATGTGCAGGACCGACCGTCGTTGAGGTTCGATTCGCCGTTGGAGAGCCCGGAAGAGAAGGACTTACAATACCAAAAGCCTATGTTATGCGTACATGAAAAAATCTCCGGATTGAGCGACTACGGCAGCATGTACATGGAGTGGCGGTATATATTGGACTGACGACTTTTCCGCTCCGGCGGTCTGCAATTTGCACACTGAACTTCAGTTGGCAATCGCATCATGGCGCAGCCCAACCAAACATCGGAAGAAGCAACAAGAGACAACATAGTACGTCCCGATCCTCCACTATTACGCAGTCCGTTCGTTGACCCGAGGCGCACAGGTATCATGGGATGGACCAGATGATCAAGCGAATCCAAAGAACTGGTCTTTCAAACGACGTTGGCTTGCGACGGGACTCGTCTCTCTCATTACATTCATGACGCCGCTCACATCGTCAATGATTGCACCAGCACAAACACAGATTGGCGACGACTTGGGCGTGCATTCGACCTTCCAGCTCCAGCTCATCTTCTCCATCTTCCTGCTCGCCTTCATTTTTGGACCGCTCTTTGTAGCACCGCTGAGCGAAGTGTACGGGAGAGTCATCGTGCTGCAACTGAGCAACATCTTCTTCCTGGTTTGGAATCTGGTATGTGGATTCGCGCAAACCGAAGGACAGATGCTCGCTTTTCGGTTCTTGAGCGGGCTGGGGGCTTGTACGCCACAGACAGTCGGTGGAGGAGTCCTCTCTGATCTTTGGAGGAGCGAAGAGCGAGGAACGGCTGTTGCTCTGTACACATTGGCGCCCATCCTGGGGCCTTCTTTGGGACCTATTATTGGAGCGTGGATTGCAGAGAGGACGACATGGAGATGGTGTTTCTGGGCCGTTACGATTTTTGGAGTTGTGGTTCAGGTTCTGATCTACTTTACACTGCCGGAAACGTATGGACCAAGGATTCTTTACTGGAAGGCCGAGAAGCTGCGAAAGGAGACTGGCAACCAAAGGCTGCGTACACAATTCGAGTTGGAAGATCGGAGATGGTCTACGATTATGGCCCATGCCATTGTTCGACCGTTCCGATTGTTGTTTACACAGCCGATCATCCAGTTCCTTGCGGCTTACCTCTCGCTGGTGTATGGGATCATCTATCTCATGCTGTCCACCTTTCCAACTGTCTGGACCGACATCTATCACGAAAGCACCGGAATCGGCGGCCTGAACTACCTCTCTCTCGCCATTGGCATGACTCTTGGTGCACAGAGTGGCGGCCGCATCGTCGATCTCACCTACAAACGCCTCTCTGCCCGTGCGCCCAACAAGAAAGGGCGTCCGGAGTTCCGCATTCCCATCCTCTTCGTATCGACTGCTTTGATCAGTGGCGGTCTCTTCATGTATGGCTGGTCCGCGCAGGAGCGCACACATTGGATCGTCCCCAACATTGGAGCGGCGATCTTCGGAATGGGAACTACAATCTCCTTCACGAGTCTGCAGACTTACACGATTGACGCTTACACCGTCTACGCAGCTTCCGCGATAGGGACAACGGCTGTTACGAGAAGTTGTACAGGCTTTGGATTCCCGCTCTTTGCTCCGGCAATGTATAATAGTCTAGGATGGGGATGGGGAAATTCGGTTCTAGGATTTGCAGCTCTAGGCGTTGGGTATCTGGGCGCCTTTGTGCTTTGGTTCTTTGGAGAGAGATTGAGGGCTGCTAGTCCTTTTGCTGCGAATCCCGAGGAGAAGGATGATGGGAATGAGGAGCGAATTGAGAAGGACAAGGAGGATCTCGAGAAGGGAACGAAGGACAATGATCAGTCTGCGCTGCAGGACATGGAATCCGGGTCACAGAAAGATCCTGATGAGCATGGGGAGAAGGACACGAAGGGAGATCTGGAAGAACAACCTTCTTCGTAGAGTTTTGATAAAAAGTGTACGTTGACTGACTTCTTCCTTGCCTCGTTGCTCGTCTTCACATGCATCCTCGCTCGTCTCCTTCATTTTGCCAAATGGTCGCATGCGACCTCATCGTCATCTTCTGCCTGAGGCCACAGTGTCTACGCGAGTCAAAAGTCACGTGCTCTCCACGGCACAGCCCGCAGCACAGACCAGGCCCAGAAACATTGACCTTCGAGCAGTCGCGCTCTCAAACGATCTTGTTCTCTTCTTCATACTTAGTGAGTACACCCCAATCCACCCCTACACTTCCAACCTCGAACACCTTGCTGACCTTCCTCTTAGCCTTGTTGCCCTGATCCAGCTCGCGAATTGGTGAAGGCGAGAGTTTGTCCTGCATTGCACAGCGCGGAGACTGGGCTCTTGGACAACTCCTTCGGGGGTTGTCGCGGCGTGATTTTTGCTGGCCATCCTTTGGGATGCTTCTTCTTTTTTTCTTTCATCAGTCCTTGGCCTTTTGGCTCGGTGTTGAAGAAGGATGGGGATGGCTGCTCGAGGCGATGTCTGGGGTTTGATGGCGGTGGTGGATGCTGTTGACTGTTCTTGGTGGACGTTGCTGTCACCATCGCCGTCTATTCTGAGCGTGGAAGCTGCGCCTCGCTAATCGTGTCAGTCACTCGTCTCAATCTACCGCGTCTTTTCACAGTGGGATGTTATTGTCCTCCCGAGAATCCTAACCAAAATCAGAGCAAAAAGCATTTGCAATGGCGCAAAATTAGTGGTACTAGCCATCGAGGTGGAGCTGCGAAGGATGCTGTGCACGGCGGCGTAGCCACGCGTTACGGTACAGGGCAATGGATTCGTGACAGTAGAGAGCAACGGAATGCTCGCAATAGTGGGCGTGGGGCTGAGCCAGTCATCACGGTATCAGGAGTTGCGGTAAAGCCATTGCGGTGCTCATCATGGTCCAACAGGCTCCGAGTGCTATTCCATGTTTCAAGCCACGCCCTCGTCGAACCAGTTATCTTCTTCCTGTTCATCTTCCGCGCCTCGAGAGCAATGTGGGGTGAGCGGTTGGACAAAGAAACACGGACACGGGAAGGACGAGAATCCTCCTGTGTCAGAGCCCCGCCAACGCCCGGCGACACGACCTGCTTCAGCTGCAGCTATGACAGGCCCGTCATCGTGTCCCGCTCCCTGTAAATAGCACCTCTTAGCTCCCATAAGTACGACTTGCCTCCCCTGCCAGATTTTTCTCCCTGTCAAAACTACGCCCGACGACACACGAGCACGAACCATCATGGACACAATCAAAGACCTGGCCAGCAAGGCAGCGGCAGCTCTCAACCTCAGCGGGTCTGAGGCGCACCCAGCTATTGACCCGCCTTCAGAGGAAGAATTCAAGCAACTGAAGGAGACGTACGAAAAGGCAGGACAAGCTCAGGTCTTCAGCTTCTGGGAGGACCTCAAGCCGCAAGATCAGGGACAGCTCTACCAGCAACTCTCTCCCATCGACCCCGAACACATCAACAAGATCACCGACAAAGCACTGAACCCTCCCAAGACCGAAGGCGAGGATGCAAAGCCCAAGCTTGAACCACTGCCTGACAGCGCCCAGACTTCGACAATCGACAGCAATGAGGCGGATCTACAAAAATGGTACGAATCAGGTTTGGAGCTGATCTCCAAGAATCAAGTCGGTGTGGTGCTCATGGCAGGAGGCCAGGGCACTCGGTTGGGAAGCTCTGCACCCAAGGGATGCTACGACATTGAACTGCCAAGTCACAAATCACTCTTCCAGCTGCAGGCTGAGCGAATCTTAAAGTTGCAAGAGCTAGCGAAGAAGGTACACAACAAGGAAGATGCGGTGATCCCGTGGTACATCATGACCTCTGGACCGACACGCAAGCCTACGCAGGATTTCTTTGAGGAGAAGCATTACTTTGGATTGAACCGCAACAATGTCATCTTCTTTGAGCAGGGCGTGCTGCCGTGTGTAAGCATGGAGGGCAAGATTCTGTTGGAGAGTAAGAGCAAGGTCGCGGTTGCACCAGATGGCAATGGAGGATTGTATACAGCACTCATTGGGTCTGGTGTTGTGCAGGACATGGAGAAGCGTGGTGTGAAGCACATCCATGCGTACTGCGTTGACAACTGCCTTGTGCGAGTCGCGGATCCAACTTTCATTGGGTTTAGCGCTGAGAAGGAAGTTTCGATCGCGACCAAGGTTGTGCGGAAGCGTAATGCCAAGGAGAGCGTTGGTCTGATCTTGCAGAAGAATGGCAAGCCAGACGTCGTTGAGTACTCTGAGATTGACGCGGAGACGGCAGAGGTAAGCGCACGGCGTACACCAACGATCGAAGATATACTAACATCCTGCAGGCCAAGGACTCAAAAGACTCGTCCCTTCTTAAGTTCCGCGCAGCGAACATTGTCAACCACTACTACTCGTTCGACTTCCTCAATTCGATCCCAGAGTGGTCCCACAAGCTGCCACATCACATCGCGAAGAAGAAGATCCCCACTGTTGACGAGAAGGGCAACCCCGTCAAGCCAGAGAAGCCGAACGGCATCAAGCTGGAACAGTTTGTGTTTGACTGCTTCCCATTCCTCGACATGAACAAGTTCGCCTGCATGGAAGTGAAGCGAGAGGACGAGTTTTCGCCTCTGAAGAACGCCAAGGGCACGGGCGAAGATGATCCCGAGACATCGAGAAAGGACATCCTGCAGCAGGGGCAGCGATTCCTCGAGGCCGCTGGCGTCACGGTAGTCTCCGAGACTGACGAGACGGGGGTTGAGGTTTCTCCTCTCATCAGCTACAGTGGTGAAGGGTTGGAGTTCCTCAAGGGTCGCGAGGTCAAGGCACCAGCCGTCATTGAGAAGGAGTGAAGGGCAGATGAATCTTAACCGAGGTTGCATACCTACCCAAGGTTTTGCCGCACTGGAAGGTCATTCTATCTTTGAGTTGTTTGTTGGCGACTACACAGGCCGTATGGAGTAAGACGGCATCAACGCAGGGATGTTGACCTTCAAACGAGACGAGACCTGCATGGTCTGAGGGTATTGAGAGGTGGACCAGAAGTTCGGCAGAAAGGCATGTTTTGACGATAGACACGAAATGAAATGGCCAAAGTCACAAGTTTGCGATTCTTGAGGCTCTCTCACGGGTTGTTTGCAACTCAATCACGTTATTACTGTTCAATCACGAGCTACCCATCGCTGTTTACATTTCTCAAGTACCTCTGCCGCCTTTCGGTACGTCACCCTCATTGCATTACACAAGTCACCTCAGCTACAGCTAGCCTATCGGTGGCCATCCAATCACCACTCCCCAATCGGCGGACCCTGCCCACTCAGGCACTCGAGGCGTGGGGCAGACTCTCCCTACTCTGCGCCTTCACTCCCGGGTCCTTTCCATTTCGACTTCCACACGCCATTCTTTGTCTTCTTCTTTCGCCCATTTTGTGTCGGCAGAGAGGTGTGGCTGGAGAGCAGGAAGTGTGTGAGAGAGGAAATCAGGTATGCGCCGTCCCGCCCAATGCCTTTCGGCTTCGCTGTCGGCTCTCGATGCGTTTGCGTGGTGGGTTGATGCTCGCGCGTCTACCCCGAGACTGACTGCAGCGTACGCCCGCTGCCATTGGAAACGCCCACGCACAGGCATGACTTCCTGCTAACGGACGCGCAGGTAGACGGTTATTTGGTATCACGAGGTATGCCTCTTTCGGCGGCATCAGCCCTCACCGCCGCCCGCCAGCGCCTCTTCCCTCCTCCCTTATCAACCTATGAAAAACTTTCTCGTTGCGCCTCTGTATCACCGGGGCCCTTTGCGCGTGATCCACGATGGCATCCATACATACCTGGATCTCTGCCCACAGAGCATACTCGATCAAACACTCTGACACGGGTCACATACAGCTATCCGAAGGAGCGAGCAGCATGTCGTCCCTTTCGCGCCGAGCCTGCTACAAGTGCGGCAATGTCGGGCACTATGCCGAGGTGTGCTCCAGCAGCGAGCGGCTGTGCTATAACTGCAAGCAGCCGGGTAAGATGAGTACAAGAATTGCGGATAAGAGCATGCGCTGACCGCTCCTCGAAGGACATGAGAGCAATAACTGCCCTCACCCCAGGACCACCGAGAGTAAGCCTTCGACAGCCTCTTCGGAGCCATTGAGAACTGCCAGTTGCTGACAATGGATCCAGCGAAGCAGTGCTACCACTGCCAGGGCCTTGGGCATGTCCAGGCTGACTGCCCGACCCTTCGTCTGAGCGGTGGAGCTCAAGGCGGCGGCCGATGCTACTCATGCGGCCAGGTTGGCCATTTTGCGGTATGCGACATTGAAACTCCCGGGGGACCGCAGACTGACATTCAAAAGCGCGACTGCCCAACTCCTAACGCTGCCGCTGCACCACCAGCCGGCCGAGGCATCGGAGGACCAGCCCGCGGCGGCTTTGCTGGCGGACGCGGTGGATTCGCTGGAGGCCGCGTCGCCAACTGCTACAAGTGCGGTGGACCCAATCACTTCGCGCGCGATTGCCAGGCTCAGGCCATGAAGTGCTACGCTTGCGGCAAGCTTGGCCATATCTCCCGCGACTGCACTTCGCCCAATGGAGGCGCAATCAACGGGCCTGGTAACAAGACTTGCTACCGTTGCGGCGAGGCGGGACACATCAGCAGAGAGTGCCCTCAAGCCGTCGGTGAAGTCAACGGAGCTGCTCCTGTCGTCAATGGCGAGGCTAACCCGACTCCTGCGGCTGGCGGTCAACCTGAATTGGCCGCAGCTGCGCCTGTCGCCCCGGCCCAGCTGGTCGCCTAATTTCCCCCCTCATCCTAGAACGCGCACTCCATCTGGCCACGGAACAGCGCATCGATCTACCACTTCTGGCCGAGCACCCTTTTGAATCCGGTAGCAATTTTCAGCATCACTCATCGAGCGTTCGAACGATCTCACGACCCACGACACAATCAAAAGTTTCCTTTACGACCATCACGACCCAGCATATACCTTATACCCAGGCGGAGCGAGGCAAGCAGATGGAAGCCGAGTGACAGGCTGCCCTTGTTGATGTTCAAAGACCGGGGTGGGCCCGAAGATGGAAGGTAGTCAAGCACCGAAATTGGGAGAGCGGAGGCGGAGAGTGGAGCGAGCGAGCTGTGTCGATGTGAGAGCTCAACAGAACGGACGTGCCATTTACTACTTTTACACTACTACTACCCCCCAAAAGCACCCCAGACCGATGCACAGGGCTGCAGCGCCGACGAGAGGCTACAGCTCGCGGCGCGGCAGCAGAAAAGCACATGTTAACTCGGATTGGACTTGACAGGTGCGGACAGCGACTTCTGGTACGCTGCAATCTCATTTGTGTGTGTTGTGCGAGCGAAATCCTCTTCACTTTGCATAATCCATTTCGTCTGGTGTTTCGAGGTCCGCTGCTGCCGCTTGGACTTTCACATGCTTTCGGCTTCGAGCCAAGCTTTGTGGGGTCTTGGGAGCGCCTTCCCCCAACACTCTTTCCTCTTTCACAGCACAAGTCAGTACGACGGGAAGGAGACAGCAGCAGCGTGCCTTCCATCTCGACGATGGCCTTCGCACTGCCATTTTGCATTCCTGTGTGCTCCTGTCCTTCGTTTCTTTCCTCTTCCTCATCTTCATCCACTTCAATACTGTTCATCACTCTCATTTCGTCTCGCACTCCCCTCTTTTCACCTACCAAGCCCTACATTCCATCGGTTCGTTCCTTTGCCCATTCGTTCTCACTACATCGCAGGCATTCAACATGCCTGCTTCCGTCGCCAGCGGTGAGGAAGAGGAGTACGAGACCTCCAACCCCATCATTGACATTGACGACCTCCAAAACCATGGCATCAACGCATCCGACATCCAGAAGCTCAAGTCGGGCGGCTTCTACACCGTTGCGGGAGTCCTCCAAGCGATGACCAAGAACTTGACCAAAATCAAGGGCTTCTCTGAAGTCAAGGTTGAGAAGGTCAAGGAGGCTGCGAAGAAGTCTTCTGTGAGTATTCTCAACATCACCACGTGTCATAGGCGCTGATATCCTGGTAGCCCGTCGGTAAGAGGTTCCAGACTTGTGGTGAGCTGCTCCACCAACGCAAGGCTTGCTTCCGTATCTCGACTGGCAGTGAGAGCTGGAACAAGATTCTCAAGGGTGGCTTTGAGTCCTCCAGTGTCAATGAGGTCTACGGCGAGTATCGATGCGGAAAGACTCAGCTTTCTCATACGCTGTGCGTGACTGCACAGCTGCCCAAGTCTTCTGGAGGCGCGGAGGGCAAGGTTGTGGTGCTCGACACTGAAGGGACCTTCAGACCGGAGAGAATCCAGCAGATTTCGGAGCGCTTTGGCTGTATGTTCATCCCATCACTTGTCTAGGCATTGATTGACCAGACGTAGTGGATCCCGATGGAGTGAACGAGAACATCCTTATTCGTCGTATCTGGAACTCAGAGGAGCAGCAAGAAGAGCTTTGCGGTCTGGCCGAAGAACTTGCAGGCGGAGAATATCGGCTTCTCATTGTCGACAGCATCATGAATCTCTTCCGCACCGACTACTCCGGCCGCGGCGAGCTGGGCGAACGCCAGCAGAAACTCGGACAGCACCTTCGCAAGCTGGTCCAGATTGCCGAAGAGTTCAACATTGTCGTCTTCATGACCAACCAAGTTCAGTCCGATCCTGGTGCCAGTGCTCTCTTCGCCAGTGCCGATGGACGCAAGCCTATTGGCGGTCACGTCCTTGCCCATGCTTCGACCACTCGCGTGCTACTCCGCAAGGGCCGTGGCGAAGAACGTGTCGCCAAGATCATGGACAGTCCAGGTATGGGTTTCCTTCATCTTGCCGCTGAACATGACATTAACATATTCTTCCAGACTGCCCAGAGGGCGAGGCAACCTATGTCATTACTACCGGCGGGATCAACGATCCCGAGAAGGCCTAAGAGTCTGGATTTCCTACGAGCTCCAACGACTTGCTTTGGCGATTTACGACGCTGTCTTTGTGGTCTGCTTTGCGATGCAAGACGTCCGGTGGATGTCGCTCTGATTTGATGGAATGATTGGGAAGATGTGTACAAGTGCCTCGTGACTGCTATGATGTTACGCGAACATGATTTATGATAGCTACGATGCCACGATATAATTGAACGACTACACGGGTGTTCTCGCCCTCGTCGTCGCCTCTTCAATCAAATTGAGTGAAAGTTTGATGGGCATCGGAGCTCGAATTGTTGAACTCCGACCTCGACGTTGAAATCTCGAATTGCTTCAAGTCTTCACATCGAAGAATCCTCTCAGACAACATGGCTCCCATGGCGCCCAAAAAGATCCCTACAACGATCCACGACTTTCTCGTTCTCCCATTGCGAGTTCCAGCTCAGCCAGCTTACCCCAAAGATGCGACTCACTACCTCTATCTCCGCGCAAACGCACCCAAAGTACCCACCGAGAACACACTCAGAGAAGCCTTTCTCGTGAATGTACCAGTCGATGCGACAGAAGTACACATTCGAAGCCTATTCGCAGATCATTTGGGTGGCGTGAGGGTGGAAAGCATCGCATTTGAAGGCGCGAGAGTCGGGAAAGGGATTTCTGCGCCTGTTGCGCCGGTGAAGCAAGGAAAGAAGCGGAAGAGAGAAGAAGACGATGATACAGAAGATGGAAAGGAAAAGGCGGCAGAGGTAGGTCTGTTGCCCGAAACGTGGGATGGGGAATTACATCCCAGTGGCAGCACGGCCGTCGTTACATTTGTGGATCGAGAGAGTAAAGAAATGGCTCTGAGAGAAGTGAAAAACGCCGTGAAGAGTAAGAGGAAAATCACATGGGGAGCTGGGATTCAGGATAGGATTCCTGTTCTTGGCTCGGCGCGATATCTGGCCCATCATATGCTCTGCTATCCGGATCCTGCTGTTCTGCAAGCTAGCGTGGATGCTTTCATCACTGCTTTTGAAGCCAAAGAGGAAGATCGCAAGAAGGCTCTGGCGAGGTTACGGTCTGAACCGGACGAGGACGGCTTCATTACTGTCACGAGAGGTGGTGGCGCAAGAGAGCAGGAGAACTTGAAGGCGAAGGAGGAAGATTTCAAGAAGAGGGAGAAGAAGCGCGTCGGGGAGGACTTTTATCGGTTTCAGACGCGGGAGAAGAAGAAGGCTGAGGCGAAGGATTTGGTCAGAGGGTTTGAAGAGGATGTCAGGAGGGTTGAGGATATGAAGAGGAGGAGAGGGAAGATTAGGCCGGAATGATGTGGAGGGACTGGTCGTGATGATACCCCATGCGACATGCATTGATGCTCATGACAGCGGCATGTCGCGCTGCTGATACCTTCACTTTCAATCCAACCACTGTAATTTTCGACAATTGAGCCAGTCGACAGCCGTACACGAGCGTGTCTCGACTTTTTCTTGAACGGGGACAATGAATCTCGAGTAGGCGTCCAAGTCGATCGCTTTGCGGCCCTGAGTTGCGATGCATTCCTGGATTTGTAACAACAAAGACCTTTGTACTCTTTCCGCGCTTCGCCAAACCCGTCGCTTTGAGTTCGCTACGCTATCATCTCATTGCTTTGCGACCAAAATCTTGTGGAGGCACAGTGTTATTTGGCAGAATTGATTTTCGCGATGGCGAGCGAACAAGAGCAATGGGAACAGGCTTGGATCAATTTGGAGCAAGACGTGTGGCGATATAACGCAGAGCAACGAGGACCAACGCGTACGTCTGTTCACGGAGACAAGACGCTGGACATATTGGAGCTAATGAGCCATATACACAGCGACCGCGCAAATAGGACGAGCCTGGCGAGCAATCCCGGATAACGATGATAGGCGTGCATTGGGCAGAGCGCTGCTAGAATACCAACAGCGGCGAGATGTGCTCGATATCAAGCATCCCGACGAGCTTCCCGAGGAGCCTTGGGATCTCACACACCATGAAGCTGTTGTGGCGTTTGATGAAAAGATGTCAGTCATCATCGAGGTATTGCACAATTTCTGTACCGCTCTTCGCCAATTGAGGACCGAGCGACATAAGCATGCGGATCCAGAACAATATCTGGAAGATCGTACAGCTTGAGAAAATGAGTTACAGAAGTGATCCATGAACAGGCAACGCTATAGCTTCAAAGTAGACAGTTTCCATTGCGAAATTATCGTGAAAAAGTTTATATAAAGAGTGAGAATTACTTATAGTAAGAAGTCCTCGACATATGATTATCATAATGCGTATTTCCTTCTAAAATCAAAGTCTGCATATTATGTTCTACTAAATACACATAAGGAGCCTTGCAGGAAGTTCGGGAGCGTTCTCTCTCGAGCACGTACTCTCGAGGTTTGCTAACTTCTTGAGATTTCAGTTTTCTGAAGATAGTAATAAGAATAATAGTGGTAGGATGCAACTACGACAAGCTCTATATAAAGCACTCAAGATGTTCGCTGTTTCATATTTATGTTCCAGCGAGGAACAAACTATGCGGCTTTTCAGTCCTCCGCGGTCCTAACTTGTGAGGTCTTAGAGAGTCGAACCTACAAGGATCTCGAAAGTCTGGTTTGCAGACTCTCTAGCATATCTTAATTCGAGCAATTGATTGATCCAGCTGCGCGAGAGACGTGCTTCCAGCGTTCGCGTATCTGCGCGCTCAGAGCATCCACTGTCGCTGACTTTGCATTCGTCGAGCTTTCGATTTTCCTGGCTTTGCGTGTACCGAGCTCTCGGTGTTTCTGGCGTTGCGCGCGGCGAGCTTTTCGTTTTTCTAGCTTTGCGCGTAGCGAGCTTTTCGTTTTTCTAGCTTTGCGCGTGGCGAGCTTTTAGTTCTCCTGGCTTTGCGCGCGACAGACTTTCAGTTTTTCTGGCTTTGCGCGCAGCGAGCGTTCAGTTTTTCTAGCTTTGCGCGCAGCGAGCTTTCAGTTTTTCTGGCTTTGCGCGCGACAGGCTGTCAGCCTTCGAGGCTTTGCGCGGGACGCGCTTTCAGTTTGTTCGGCTTTAAGCATTGCAAACTCTCGGTTTGTCGAGCTGCTTGTCTTTGAAACTGTTTTTGAAACTGACTATGCGGGTTTTGAGCTTTTGATTTTGCTAGCTACATTATCTCGAAGTTTTTAGCCTTCCTGGCTTTGCGTAAAACGAGCTGTCAGTTTTTCTAGATACTCTTCTTACGAGTTTGCAGTGTCTCTAGCCTTTCTATTACCGAGTCTCTAGTTTCTCTGGCTGTGTGCTTTGCTGAATTTTAGTCGCACATCGTGCGCAGCCTACAAAAGTTCAGAATGTCTGGTTTGACGACTCCAAAGCTTAAGCCATATCTTCGTAACAACCGTATTTTTAATGTTATATCCCGGATAGATGGTTTGCGAGGCTGACACTAACAATTCATCGCTATAACCTGCCTACATGTTTCGAAGTCCTTTTATAAGAACGAATTTGCGAGGGAAAATCGTTACGAGAAGCGAGCTTAACGATGCGAATAGATGATCTTTACCGCGATATCCGAATATCGTCCTACACGGCGAACAGACATACGCAAACACCGACTCTATGTTTATAACGTTATTACAAAATCGGGAAACGATCCTATAGAGATACCGCAATATTAAAATTTACGGCTTTAGCGACTCTTTAATTTCTATACTTTTATCCTTCGATAAAGTAGGCGGTAGTTTCTTTGTCTATCGAGCAAAGACGATAGGAACAAGATAAGCCCTTATAATAAGGAGAGAGTACAATATACTTCGGCTAGAGCACTCGGATACAAGAGATTCATAAGCTTAATAGTCTTCTACACTTATCTTATGTAATAGAAAGGATCTTAGCGACTCGAGTCTTTATAGAAGCGCCTTCTAACTCGAAAACTAATATTAGACATTAAAAACTCAAATATCTAGCTTTCGATTTTTAACGAATTTAAAGGCGATATAGACAAATATTTTACATAGTACGGTATAGAGTAAGTACAACTTAAATTATTATAACTAATCTTTTAGTACTATACTATTCTTAATCCTATTTAAGCTCTCGTTATTCCTACTCTTCCACTTTTAACGATAACGAGAAGTACGGACCGCGGTAAGTAATACTAATTCTATTAGAATTCACGTTAGCGACTCTTCTAACCCTTACTCGTTATCTTATTTGTTATAAAGATTCTAGTTTCTAAAGCATAGCTTAAGACAATCTGTTTCTCGTTCTATTAGAAGTCGTATTAGTACGATATTAAGCAAGACAGTTCTTTATAAGGCTAGAAGTACTATTATATCGTCACATTTTCTTTCGTCTACTGAATTAATTTTGTAGTAGATTCTTTACGCTTTTGATATTAAAGCACTCGTACTATGTATTCTGTATATTTCATATCGAATATTCTACTTAGTCTGAGACCCACGGAGGGCCTGCTCCCTAAGCTAGAGGCTCGGCGCCGTCGCTAGCACCAAACTCCAGAACCCCCGATATATCTAGTAATTAGCCCCCCTACGAATCCTTATACCGTTAGCGAGAGTTGGAACAGCTCCTCGGTTAAGTACTAGATATACCACATATACTGTTATTATGCCTTCGAACGCTAGCGGTCGCAAACCTATAGCTTGGATAGGGATTATAGTAGTTGCGGGTTATAGGTCAGAAGCCTCTAAATATAATTTACTGCATGGATTCTTGTATTCGTGACGACGATCCAGACTAGTATTATTTGGTGAGCCATATCCGTCCTTGACCTCTGCAATCGCTCAGTCATTTGCTATAATGTCTTCTCGATGACAATATCCACCCTTATAATGTGTTCCTGTAGCTATTTCACGTGGGTAGCGTCTGCGTTGCTTCGTCTATTAATTCGCTTAACTGGAAGAGACCTGCGAACGCTAGGGTAATCGCCGCATTAAAGTATAGTTGGTTCCTAGTGCTTAGTGGTTCGCAACCATCTGCGATAACATCTCTATCGTAATAGGTTGTCGATTCCAGCGTGTGGATAAGTTAATCGAAATCGCCCCTATAACCAATCGCCTCGGTGTTGCAACGTCAAACACCTACGTCGGCAAGCCCATATTCATCGCAGGGCCTTTATATAGGTAGAGAGCGACTCTCCATGGACCCTTCTATATCGCGAAGAACAGCTTTTGTGAGGCAAAGCAGACGGCCTTATTGTCTAACTCTTCTTTTCACTTCCTTAACTATTTCATGTTGATTAATACTGCCGTATTGGCTACCACTGGCATCGCCGCCTCCGTGCCAATGGCTAGCTCATCGCCACGATGAGGAGGCGGCGGAGAACAATCGACTGAATCGCATTTTGGACGAGTTCAACGAGAATGTAGATGCTGTGGAGGAGGCTGGTGAAGGAACTGGCGAAGCTGAGAATCGCGATGGAACTGGTGGGAATGAGAACCGTCCGGGTACTATTTGGAAGAAGCCTACAGGAGGAGACGGACAGGCGGCGAGAAGGCTGGCTCGTCAGCAAGAAGAAGCTCGGCAACGTGCTACGGCTGCTCTCAGACACGCGACAGGGTCGTTGAATCTCAACTGGGTTGGTGGTATGTCTTGCATTGAGGGCGAGTCCACGAGCTGGTTGCAAGGTATAGCTGACATGATTGACTATATCAGGACCAGGTATAGGAGCAGGTATGCAAACCGGAATCTTCACGCAATGTCAGAGTCGAGGCCTGACGCTGTTTTCATAGGTGGATATGGCACTGCATCAGTCTGGCTCAAAGCTGACAGGTATGGCAAGATCATCGATGTGAGTGACAAACATCTTCTCTCGAATGTTACTTTGGCTGATTTAGGTCTCCAATCTAGCGAATGGCAATCAAGGATACAGCCTTCGAGCATTGGACTTCCCAGTTCTGGAATTCGGACTTTACGATGCCCAACGAGTAAGTCCTGGATACATTCGACTACAGCTTGAAAGAATGCTGATATTCGGTGTGAAGAGTCTCTGCGATGTACCGCCTCAGACCGCTGAGAGGTTCGGAAAATGTGGTTCGAATTCGCAACTGGCGTATGAATAAGCCGCAAAAAAGGTATGTCCACGTTGTTCGTGGAACTACATCCGTGCTCTGAAGTGAAATATTAATCTCGTGAATGTCTAGGCACCGCATTTACATGGAATTCTGGTAGGTATCGTGCCCCCCCGTACTCATTCAGCGTTCAATGCTGATGTCGGTAATCTAGCCCTTTTGGAAGTTTGAGGGATGTCATTGTTCCCCACCGACGACAGGGTGGCAGGCCACCTGTTCCATTCGCTTGGAAGTTTTTCGAGGACCTAGTCGTTGCTGGGATTCTCATGGAAAGAGGCGATATGCATTGCAACACTCTCGGCAACTGGAGTCTGCTGGTACATCGAGATCTGAAACCGGACAATAGTAAGTTCCCCGAAGCCCATGTTGCTAGGTCGCATAGCTAATCTGTCGAAGTATTCCTCGCAAACAACAACTCTGCCGAGTTCAGGGGGTACCCGAAAGCGAAAGTAGGAGACTGGGGTCTCTGCGTGATCTTGTCTCCAGACGACAAGAGGACGACTAGGGCTTTCGGATTGGCTAGCTATCAGTACAATGTCCCGGTCAGTTTCCTATTCTTTCCATGCTCGCTGCTTTGTTGACACTCCAGAAGGAACTAGTGAATCCCAACCTGCATGGCGCGGCTAGTGGAACCAATCCGCAAAGGCTGACAAGCAAGAGCAATGGTATGTGGCGTGTTTCACTCTGTCCGAGGGTAACTAACTAACATTTCGCAGTCTGGCAAGTTGCCATGGTTGTTTGGTGCTACATGAAGTGTAGGATGAGCATGAAGTCTTCCACTTCAGATGTGCATTTGCTGACCAAGTACACCTAGGCGAACCTAATGGCGACTGGGACTTGAGAGCGTTCGACTATGCGACACGCCGGGAACCTGCCGACTTCAACGCACAACAGAGAATGCATTACGGCGCTGCACTCTGTGACCTCGTCATGGAATGTCTGGCATATCTTCCTGAGGAAAGACCCAGCTTCGATCGAATCCTCAAACAAATACGCCGCCACACGACATCAGGGAGGAATGACGGCGCTGGTGGTCTACGTCTCGCGTCAGCAGATGACAGGAGATTTGGCAAGTATGGGCTTCTGCTCAGAAAAGAGAGATACCCTCTCCGTAGTATGCTCCAGGACGAGTTACGCGCTGAGGATATTGATGGCCACATACCGCCTGCCATACAACACGGTCCCGGCGACAGCGATTCTTCTCACAGCAGTGATGATTTTGGTGGACCTGCAGGCGCATCCATGGTCTTCCCTGGGCTGGCTTCCCCTCGAGCGCCGAATATCTCGCCTGTGACGCGAAACCTCTGACCTCTCGCCTCCTATACGGGCGTAATAATGTCAGGTAGATGTTGATGCCGCGAGGCGCAGTCGAAGGCAGTTGCTTAATCAATGTCCAGTTAAATTTGAAAGCATTCTCATCAAATTCCCTTACTGGCCGGCTTCCATCGGGCCGAGATTTGTTAGCTCGGTGTCTTCTCCTCAACACAGCATCGATCTACGAAATATCTCGCTCTGATTCTATCACTCTCATCTTGACTACCATCTCAAAATCTCTGCAAACAAGGGATGGCTCAGCCCGTCGTGGCCTTGTTCGGCTACGAGTCCTCCACCTTCACCATCAAGATTCGCCATGTGCTTCGTCTCAAACGCATCAATTACACCTTCGTCCCTGTTCCGACGATGATGCCCCGTCCAACTCTCCGAGACCACTTTCACTTGACTTACAGAAAGATACCTGTTCTTGCTATTGGGCGTGAGCTCTACTGCGACACTTCGATCATCTGCGAGGCTCTGGAACATTTCTTCCCTCATTCGGAAGGCTACCAATCGCTCTATCCTACCGCTCAGGATGGGAGGAATTACAGGCCACTGATCCGGGGATTTGCGTCGTATTGGACGGGTGTGTAGCTTTTGGATCTCCGAACTAGCTCCGAGATATGAGAGGTACTAATAATCCAACGATAGACCGGCCGCTCTTCCGAGTAACCTGTGGCCTCATGCCTGCGAGCATCTGGAGAAGCGACTTTGGAGTTGACCGAGCTCAATTGATCGGCCACAAACTCGATCCGGATAAATTGGAGAAAAAGCTTCCCGAGAACCTTTCGAAATTGGACACGCAATTATCCCTGCTGGAACCTCTTTTGGCCGAGACAGATGGCCCGTGGATCTTCTCGACCCCTTCGCCGTCTCTGGCTGATGTCTCTGTCTACTACGAACTGCTCTGGGGCTCGGAGATCGCGTCGGGCCGGATGACGAGCCACATTACGCAGGGTGGCCATGGTGACGAGGCACTAGAAGGAGCAACTCCGGTTTTCAATGCACAGAGGTATCCAGCACTGTTTTCCTGGTACCGTCGAATGCAGCTCTATTTCGATGCATTACCATCAGTAGAAGACCAGACGACACCACTCGAGCGGGTCTTGGAGCAGATGAAGAAAGCCCCTGCTCTGGGCCAAAAATCGCTCTTGCTTCCGACGCCAAGATCGACACACGCAGAACTGGACGAAAGGACTGGACTGAAGATTGGGTCATTGGTCTCGGTGGTCCCTGATGATACGGGGAGAGATGAGTACGTTCTGAATGCCCTTCTCAGCTGGACTCTCGATGCTGATGCAGTAACTAGCCCAACCATCGGTACGCTTGTTGCCATCTCGCCCGAAGAGGTCGTGATCAAGCCTCAAGCCTTGGAAAGCCCTGCAACAGTCGAGACACGCGTTCATTTCCCGAAAGTAGGGTTTGTCGTGCGTCCTGTACCAGAGTCGAAACTTTGACGACAGATGCACATTTAGTCCGACTTATCTTTACGCACTTGTTTGAGTTGGACCACCGCTCTGCTGCGAAAGAAAGAGCAGCATGATTTCGAAAGTTCAAGCTCGTTTACTAACTCTGTCGGAAAGACCATGGTCAACGGCTCCTCCTAAAAGTCGAAGTTGAAGTGGAACTTGTAGTGACTGTAATGACTGTAGTGGTAACCATTCGATAGTAAGTTGCTGCAGGACTGCCGAGGTGGGTGTAACGGGGGTCAATGCGACGCTCACGCTCCGTGTGGTTTTACAATAGACATGCTGAGTTTTTGATGCCGGTCATTCTCACGAGGGCCCCTCTCCAATCGATTACAGCCTGGTTACAGATAGAATGTTCCCACAGGTCTTGCAGTGTGATGTTGTCTACCCGCTCACCCTCGACTGATTAGATAACTTGGATAGTGAAAGAAGTTTGAGTTCACTTCTTCTCCCTCCTCTCCGGGACGCGAACTCTGTTATAATGCTTAGGTATTCACATAAGAATCGATGATCCATTCAATAGCTATGCTAGGAATATCGGAGCTATTTACTGTGTAGGAGTACCAAGGGACTAAGCCCGATTTGGCCACCCAGCACCATCCAGCACTATCCAGCACTATCCAGCACCTGCATTGGGTGACCTAGCATGCTTACAACAAACTCCGAGACTGAGAGCCGATAAGCATCTCTATTTAAATCGCACCTTCTCTTATCTTGAGCTTCACTACTCTCCATCGGAACATCGATGTTCCATCATTCTTTGTCTTGCTTCTAAATGGCGACACAGATAATCCTCTTTGCTGTTGGCGTTGGCCTGGCGACTGCTCAATTCCCCCCGACACCAGAGGGCGTCAGGACCATAAAGTCAAAATTCCATCCTGGTGTTGAGGTCTCCTACAAGGAACCTGGATTGTGCGAGACAACGCCCGGGGTCAAGTCATACGCTGGTAGAAAAGCAGATTTCTGCACCTTGGAATTGGACTGATTCCGTCGATAGGATACGTACATCTTCCAGTCGACGCCCTCAACGAAACGCACGAGCACAACGAGTACCCCATCAATCTGTTCTATTGGTTCTTTGAATCTCGTAAAGATCCGACCAATGCTCCTCTTGCTATCTGGTTGAATGGAGGCCCTGGAGGTAGCAGCCTACTTGGCGCCTTGAGCGAGAATGGGCCTTGTTTCGTCAGTATGTTCGCCGATGGCTAGTGGAGTCTCGATGGTTGTGCCTTTCCAGCTGAGTCTTCCACCAGACAATGACTCCCAGACGACAGTGATCAACCCTTGGTCATGGAATAACGAGGCCAATTTGTTGTACATCGATCAGCCTAATCAAGTACGTCTCCTGGGACCGATTATGCCTGCTCATACCTCAGGCATCTACTAATCCGGTGGGATTGATCGGCAGGTTGGGTACAGCTACGACGTACTCACGAATGTGACCGTCAACTTCGCCCCGCATGATGAGCAAGAAGGTGGTATCCAGCCTGCAGACTTCTCAAACGGCGTCCCCGCCCAGAACAACACTTTTTTTGTTGGCACTATGAGCTCTCAGAACAGGAGCCAAACAGCCAATAGCACTCAACACGCCGCCGTAGCCATGTGGCACTTCGCACAGACTTGGTTTACAGGTATGCCCTCGGCCAGAACATCGTCGTCGAGCGTGGACTGATCATGTGGAAGAGTTCCCGAATTACAAGCCGCACGACGAGAGAATCAGTTTGTTCACCGAGTCCTATGGCGGACATTATGGTCCAGGGTGTATGCATCCAACTCTCCTCGTGTCGACTCGACGCAGCTAATCGGACGGATCAATGATGCAGTCATGGACTACTTTGTTCGACAAAACGACCGCATTACTGACGGCACTTTACCGAAAGCTCATTACCTGCACTTGGGTACGCTAGGAATCATCAACGGCTGCATAGATGCGCCTGATATGTATGATGCTGTGCTGAACATGTTGTCGTGCATGTGCTAAACTTCTCGGTGATGCAGGATGGAATCAGAGATCGAATTCGCTTATAACAACACCTATGGCCTAGAAGCTATAACCAAGGAAGAATACGAGAGCAGTATGCACGAGTTCCATAGACCAGGTACGTAATGAGAACACAAGAGCTCCCAGATATTGACTTATATTCTTGTAAAGGTGGCGTGCTGGAAGCGATCCATGCGTGCCGAGAGATGGCTAGGAAGACGGACCCGCACGATCATGGAGAGAAGAACGCCACAAACACATTCTGTAAAAGAGTTGAGGAGCGTGCCGCAAATATCAGCGAGGGGGTTTATGTCCGCGAGGCTCGAGGTGCGAGATTCGACATTACACACGAGCCGACGGGTAAGTCTGAAGTGTTTCCTCCGCGAACTGTTCAGCTAAAATTAGCATTAGACCCATTTCCAGGACCCTATATGTTTGGCTGGCTGAACCAACCCGAGGTTCAGAAAGCTTTTGGAGTGCCTGTCAATCACTCTTGGCACTCGCATGCCGTGGCAGATGCTTTCTCCAGGACCGGAGATTTGATAAAGGGGGGGCCAACTTGGTCAGATTGCTAATGTGCTCGGCCATGGCGTTAACGTCCATCTCTTTCATGGCGATAGAGACTTTGCATGTAACTGGATCGGAGGCGAGAGGTACTCGCTCAACATACCTTGGCCACATCAGAAGGATTTCCAGGAAGCTGGATACACTCCGCTGGTATTGTCTAGTCCGTATACTCAGAGTGGGGGATTGACTAGACAATACGGCAACTTGTCGTTCACGCGGGTCTACCAAGGTACGCAAAACACCACTCTACAGAGAGGCCTTACGAAAAGCTGACGATGATGTTGCATAGCTGGCCATATGGTCCCGAGTTACCAACCGGAAGCAGCCTACCGCATCTTCATGCGTGCACTCACTGGCAAGGATATCGCTACAGGAGAGATCGACCTCAATCACCATTCTGCGATGAACAAGAAACAATACTCCACCACCGGTCCATCGGACACATGGTGGATGAAGAACGATGTGCTACCTCAACCTCCGCACACGTAAGTCGAATCTCTACTGATCCAGTTGACATGGTTGCTGACTTGTAATGCCCCTGTGTGCAGCTGCTATGTTCTAGGTAAGTTGATGTCGGACGACCTACACAGCGATGGACTGTAGGCTGATTGATTTGCAGACATGGGTTCTCGTTGCTCTAAAGATGAGATCAATTCGATTGTCAATGGGACCGCTGTCATCAAAGACTGGATTCTAGTCGGAACGCGGGGAACAGCAGAGACGGAGACCAGTTTCGACGGAGCGAAGCACGGTGGACAAACATTTCTTCTTGGAGATTGGTAGGGTTACTATAGTGTACCAAAGTACATCGTCGCTCAAAGTTAAGAGGTATCTCCGCACGCTACAGGTACCCATCTAAGCACACAAACAACCCCAATTCATCTCAGACAAACCTTTCACAAGGCTTCCAACTCATCACGCCTTTAGCAATATGCTCCATCTTGCTACCACCCTCCATCCGTAGTCAGATAGGATGCGCAACCCTCCCATGAATCTCATCCATAAACGAATCCCCTCGGAAAGTATTGACCAGATCAATACCAACATTCGTCAAATCGCCCCCAGAGGCAATTCTCACGCTTGAACCCGGGAGTCGTTCAGTAGAACAGGTACCTGTGGTGATGGCTCCTTGGAGTTTGGAACAGAGGCCGGGTGGTTGTTTGCATTGGACGGCTACTGTGAAGATATCCATGGCGTAGCAGGTCCAGTAGCCGGTGCAGGTGTGGTGTGTCGGCCGGAGAGAGCTGTGTGGACGTGATGTGTTTTGCGGAGGCAATGGCTTGCTGAAGACACAATGCAAGTCGTGCAGCGAGAGGTTTAAGCGAGCGAGATTGTGCGGGAGTGGGAAGGGCGCCGTGGAGTCCGGTGAAGAAGCTCTGACGGCACAGGGGTTTCCGTTATGGGATTGTGGTGTATCTGGTGGGAGGTACATTTGTGGCGAAGCATTGCTGATGTGAAGGGACGCAAAATCGTTGCAGGGATAGAAAGGTTTGAGAACACGGCGAAGTATTCAGAGCAAGCAAATGTGTGTTGAAAGGGTGTAGGAGGGCAATGTAAAGTGCAAAATAAATAGTTTGGACGGCTCCTTCACTGGCTGCTACGATTCATAGGCGACATCGCGAATTCTCGTAGAACCCAGCGTACTCACAAGGTGTAGCTGGCATGTCGCGTGCGACTGTAATTGAAGTCAGTGAGCCTCACGCTGGATCTACCGAATACGCACCGATGAGCAACTGAGACAAGAGAGGGTAGTAGATCAAAATGTTTACCGGCGCATCATGATCCCGGTCTGTCATATTCGTTGAGTGTGCTGGGTTGTGACCAGTTCGCGAAGTCTCGTATTCATCCTCGGCTTCGGTAATACACACGATGCCTGACCCTGGCTCTATCAATTTTCTCATGGTAGTGGATTAGTTCTGTTGCCCAGATACTCACTCTTCAATTCGACCAGATTCTTCATGTGCTGAGTAGCGGAACCTTTTGGTAGACTGCGTCACTCGTTTGCCTTGCAGCTCCTACTCGCTGATCGCTTTAGTTCAAAGGACTGCCTTCGTTTGTGGGAAGCCGCGCAGTCGTCATGTCTGGTATCTCGAAAGCATTTCTCTTTGTGCTTTGACCTCTGGCGCGATCTCCAAGAACTGTTTGAAACAATTCAAAGCCCCTGATACACATACCGAATTCTTGTCAAGATGAGACTGATCTCGGCTTTCTCGTTGAGCTTGCGGAGTACTCTTTCAAGCTAAATTTCTGGCAGACATCTCCAGGGAAGCAGCCGCCTGAATGCAGGTTCCGTGAAGTCGTAGAAAGAGTTGTGTACCGCCGCGTTACTCATCACAAGACGAAGACTTCGCAAGCCTTACAAACAAGTTAAAGCTTGCAGGCCGAGTTTGGGCTTCATGCAAGTCGTCCATCACGTCGTCGACGACGATCTGGAGGGGAGGAAGGCTAGATAGCCTCGCATTCGGAAGCGCATGCGTGAATGCTGTAAATCTCTTGTAGTCCAAAGACGCAAGGGAGTTTTCGTAATAGAGAATGCCCACGGCCTCGTCGTGCACCTGGCAGGAAGTCTGAAGCAGCGACAGAACAGAGGAGAGGCCACGGCCGAAACCCGTATACTTCCAAAGGGTGGCAAGGTTGCAGAGACAGACGTGGACGTACTCGCAGATGCAATATCTCAGCTCTGCGGACAACCACAGTAGCCGCGAGTCCCAGTCTGGGCTTTGGTTCAAAGCCGTTTTGCGCTTTAACGAGAAGCCCGCCTTGGGAGCAAGATCGGGTGTGCTCTTTCGAGAATGTCGTTTCTGCGTGGAAGTCGTGTTGCGCATCTGTTCCAGCTGAAGCTGAGATCGAGGTGGACATTTACAAGCGCGCTGCGTTTTCATTCCGGATCACTTCACTTCACTTCACTTCACCTTTGCCGATCGCTTAGCGTGCACCTTCTCCATGGCCCGATCCATTCCACTGATCCATCTCACCAGTCGTTCCAGTCCGACAGGGAGAACAGCAGCCCAGTCCACGTAGCGCGTGTAAAACGGTAAGCCGACCTCTCCGCTCTCTCCAGCGTCCACAATCTTCACAATCTCTCTTGCCAGTTCCACGGGTTCGACAAGAGGTCCCATGAAATTCGACGGCGTCTCTACCTCCGCAAACAAAGGAGTTGCCAGCTGACCAGGAGTCACCAGCACCATCCGAATGTTTTCAGCTCCTTCTGGAGCGGTTGGAGAGGCCATCTCAGCTCTCAGCGACTTATGCATGGCTATCAGACCGGCCTTTGCGGCAGTGTAATCTGAAAGGTAGCTTGCGCCGAGCTTGCCCAGTACAGAGGCCACGGTGACGATTGTTCCTCCAGTCTCCGACTTAAGCATACCTGGGAGGAAGGTACGGATGGTATTGAAATGCGAGAGCAGGTTCACGTTGAAGTTCCGCTGCACATCTCTGGCAGATAACTCCCAGATGGGCTTACCGTTGACAACGCCAGCGTTGTTGATGAGAATCGTGGGCGTGCCGAGCTGAGAACGTATCAGCATAGAGCACACCACACGTATCACATTGCAAACGTACATCTTTCTCTATCTGTTCCTTTACCCTCTCCAAAGCCTCTGCATCTCCCACATCGCACTGGTATGCCTGCACACCAGCCAACCCGTCGCTCTCTTTCTCAGGCTTGGCAATATCGATGATAGCCACACTCGCTCCGCGCATTCCATACATCTCCGCCATGGTCTTCCCCAGTCCGCTCGCACCGCCTGTGATTACGACAACCTCTTCATCCCAGTCCATCTCGCGCGGTAGTCCGTACGCAACGCGATTATTTACGATGCTTAGCATCCATAGTAGCGTTATGCATGAGGCATACACGCATGCTGAAACGAATTCGGTGCTGTCGTATGGTGCTTGCACGGCGCGTAAGCAGAGTGGGACGATCCAGGCGACGAAGGGATGGAAGAGGCTGTTCGAGAGGACTTTGACGAAGAGGTCGAGGGTGATGTGGTGATACCATGGCTTATCGGGGCCGCTCGTAACGTGACTTGCCATGGTGGGTGGTGTTATACAGCAAGTAGTTGGGCGATTAGAGATGTGGAGTTGCCACGCGCTGAATGAATATTAGTCAGCCGGGAAGCTTTCCGTTACGGACCAAAACAGTGACTTTCACATGCTAGGGTGGTAGCTTCTGCTTTTGCAGGAGAACGTGAAGTGGTAGTATGTATCGACTGCTATCGGAGCTCTGGTCCTTTGCAAGCCTCGCCAGGTTTGTACAAGCACAGTGCTCTCCATCGTATGCTCGGTCTGCATCTAAACGAAATCATCCTGTCTTCAGGCATCCAAACAAGAGCCTTCCCTGAACATTGACTATTGGTCATCGTTTTCCGTCATGTTGTCTTCCTGATAGTTCTTTGCGGCGTCCTCCAGTCCGGAAGTAATCGCCTGCTCAATCTTGTCATGGCTCTTCTGATCAAGCACGACGTATCCATCCTTGCACCTTGTGTAGTTCAGCTGAGTGTAGCCGACCTGACAACTCGGATGAGTATCCCATCCCTCTTCATTATCCTTTGAGTCCCCGACGCAGCCGCTCTTCTTGTGATGAGCCTTTACGTCGTCCGGATGGTTGAAGCCATTGCCGCATGCGAAGTGGATGTACGGGCGAGACTCGCGAGCAAGCACAGCGCGGCGAGTGGGATAGACGGGTCCAAAGTGTGTGACTTCAGATCCGAGGGTGTCGCCTAGCTTCAATCTGGGCTAGAAGAATAGTTAGCTGAATGTCCCAATTGAAGAGCTAAGAATGCATTACACCTTCTTGTTGGGGGTCTCGCGCTCTGTACTCGCCGCGCGCTTTCCCGACTCTGTGGTTTTCTCCATCCTGTTCCTCTTGGTAGTAATCACCGGATTCTCCTCTTCGTCCAAAGACATATTGATTGGCAGCTTGACCAAACCAGACCGAGTGACCTTGCCATTCTTCTTTTGCTCGCACGAAGGAATGGCTTTTTCAGACAACGCTGGCGGAGAAGTCGGCGATGGTGGTACCACAACAGGAGAAAACGTCTCGGCCGCTGAACGCTTGCGAAGTGGAGCGCCGCCTTGCGATGAAGTAGTAAATCCGTTTATCGGCCGCTTCTTCTTGCGAGGCTGCGCAGCAGATGGTGTGTTCGCAGATTTATCCTCCTTCTTGCTGCTCGCCTGAGTCTTCTCCCGGTGCTCGATCTCAATAGCTTTGTCCAGCCAGCTCAAATCCACGTCCTTCCAAGCCGGTGGCAAAAATTCGACGAAAGAGGGCAGGAGCCGAAGACGGTCGCCGCGAAGTAGCACTCGGTAGATCCCAACATAGAACTCGGTCTCGGTGATCCTCCTCTTGTTGTAGTTCTTGCAGAGAGCCTCGAACGAAGCAAGCGCTGTGGGGTCTTCGCAAAAAGTGGCGGCAAACTCGTCGACGAATCGTCTGGGCGATTCGGAATCAAGTACGTGTGTGGTGGGCTTAGATGTATTCGGCGTGAGAGTGTGCTGAGGACCGAGGCACTGCGGGCTGCCGCCAGGGTGCTGATCCAGGGGCTGAAGCAGCAGATTGGGTGCTTGTGGTTCTTGCTGGAAGGACACTGGGGTCTGCATGACAGTCTCCTGAAATGCTGGAGCATTGTACTGCGGAGTTCCGTATACTACACTGGGCGTCTGCATGGGTCGAGGACGGGGCGAAATACTTTGCGAGAGGCTCGTGCCAAAATTGAGCACCGAATAATGTCCTTGATGGGGTGGTACAGGCTGCGAGATGCCCATACGAGGTTGTCCTTGCGGACCTGGCCAACTCGGAGTTCGAGGCTGCTGGTAGAAGTAGCTGGGAGGGCCGAGTGATGGACCTGGTTGCTGCAGCCGAGGGTAGCCTGCCGTATGATGGACGTGACTCTGGCGTCTCAAAGCTGCCGGGGCCGTAGGTGGTGCAAGTATTGAGTCTGGCGGTCCTGCGAAATGCGCGTTGCAGTTCTGCTGGCTCTGCTGGATACTGGTACTGCGACTGGATGATTGCCAGCCTGCGGGCCCAGTGGGTGGCCTCGAGCTCGGCCACATCTTGACGTCGGTGTCGCGCTGTTGCAGTTGAAGTCGCAGACGCGTCGGAGTTGGTGGAAGTTCATCGACCATGTGTCCGCCGATGACGTTTCCATGGCTGTGCGCCGAATTAACCGAAGTGAATGAAGCTCGCTTTCACATGCGTACACGTACCGGTCATAGTCCAACACGAAGGGCATAATCATTGACTACTCTGTCGAAATCCCTCCTGGCAAGAAGCTCGAGACAATCGCTCCCAAATTCCGAGATACAAGATGGTATGCACTGCACATGCAGGCAAACGCTTCCTCTTGGCGATTTTGTTTGTCAGGGCCTGAGGCATCAGCTGCTTCCAACACGCCCTTTCCTCCTAGTCACATTACGATTCTCTCTGTTGCAATTTGCCCAGGTAGAACGAACTCCTATTCCGAGCACCATCGTACAGATACACAGCCTCGCTGACGCTTCTACAGGTACGCCAGGTCTCCTTTGCGCCGGGAAATGAAAGCAAATCTGCTGGCATATCTTTCACAACTGACAGTTCTTTGCGATTCGCATTTGGTCGGGCGACCCCAATAGCGGCTTTGGCTCTTGTGCTTATGCATTCGTAAAGGAGCTCGGTATCCTGCTTTGTTCCTGTCTGGTAAACACCTACACATTGAGATGCAAGACTGAGCGGGTCGCAGGATCCCTGCGGAGTGAAAGCATTGCCAATGTTGTTCACACCAATACACGCATTAAGTCCGTACTGATTAACGAGTCTCGGAATGTTCAGCGTCCCACGGACCTCGAGAGGCTTTCCAGTCCTCATCATGAACAGGTCGCTTGTTGGAAGGCCAACGAAGGATATTGGAAGCTCAGCCTCTGCGATGTCGGATGCAAGTCTTTGCCATTGATCATGATCCCAGAGTGAAAGGCGTGTGCAGTGTCCCAGTACCACAGTCTTACCTTTTGTACGATACTTCCACTTCTTATTCTTCAAGATCTCGACAACATGAAATACCATGGGCGCCGTCTCCGAGTCAAGATTGTAGTCCAGGTGGAAGTCGAGATGGAGGTCGAATTCAATGCTCAAGTCGACCATCCACTCGACGTTTCTCTCCATACGACTGCGTTCCGTCTCAACGTATGGGGTACTACCTATGACATGGACGGCTCCATTGGCGGCGGCTTCGCGAATCAGCTGGCGGATGACGTTGCCATCTTTGTCGTCCTGTGCTGGAGAGAACAGAGGTAACTGGGCAAAAGCACAGAGCTGAACATGGCAAGTCTCGTCCCGAGCGGCTCGCTCCTGGAGTGCGATTCCGGCGTCAAGGCATTTCCGGCCGACTCCAGCGTCCAGCTCGACGAAGGCTCGCATGTGAGTTACTCCGGCGGCTACGCTTTCATCGATGAGCCTCTGTCCACGCTCAAGAAGATCAGCATGCTCAAACTGAGCTTTCGCCTGACCAGTCATGTTCATGGCTTCTTTGAAGTCCCCATCCTGAATTTGCAAGTGTGCATATTTGGGATGGGAGAGCAAGAAGGCCTTGTCGAGGTGGATATGCGGGTGACATAAGCTGGGAGCCAGAAGTGCACCGCGTCCATCGATTGCATGCAGCCCATACAAGCCTGCGCTCTCGTCATGGCTCCTGACATATTCGATATTGCCATCCTTGATATAGATGTCCCACGTGCTGCCAGACTCGGTGGCGGGCAAGCAGACATTCGAGATGACGCGGGCGGATGATCGATTGCCGGATGACGTGCCATCCTCCTGGATCCGGGCCATCTCGACATCAATGTCAACACCGTGGCTTCGAAGAAAGTCAGCCGCCATGCTCGTGAGCCTTCTTGATGAGTTGTTGTGAGATAGGTTCACAAGAGGAGACGAGACTAAAGATAAGCTTTCAAGCGGTGGTCAATGCGCGAAGTGGGTCTTCATCTCCTCCCATCATCTCACGGCGATCGCCTGCAGTGCCTTCTCTTTCCTGCATCTCTACCGCGATAATAATCGAACGGATTGTCCGGATTGGAAACAAGATGAAGACGGTAGGCTCGAGATCGTTGAGGTGTTCCCCAACCACAAAGCGGCTATGGTAGAGGCGACGAGGCACGCCAAGGAATCCGCGGGACACGCGTGGTCATTCGCAGACCGAAAGGAGAACGATGATGGCTGGACGGTATGGGTTCGAGAGGACTACCCGTATCCGGAGCGCGACCATTTCGATGTCAATGTCGAAGCTCATATTGTCCGAGATGAGCCGAACGACTATGGCGACTCCAGTGTCTCGTCACCAATACTCGCGAGACGCAGACGACAGATGGACCGACAGCAGCAGATCTGCATTACTATGCCCTGCGATCGATCTGCGTGAACGAGATGCTGTAAGTCTTCTCAACGAAGCATGCAAGCATGGACGAGCGTCTGCCAGCCACGAGCTCCATCGATGTTACTTTCGACATGATGAAATTTGATCCGAAAACTTGTTTCAGCGAACTTTTTCGAGCTACACACTACTGAACCAGCTGCTAGCCGCTTTTCAGCTACACGTCACTCCTTCCGTCCCGTTCCAAGTCCCGTCTAGGGGAAGTAGCCAATGCCCCCCTGCAAGTCGCTGTCAATCTTGGAAAGAGCAGACTGAGCCGCGGACTGCTCGTCTCGCGGAGCCTTGGAGATCGACGCATTGCCTCGAGAGTCCGTATCAGACTCGAGGGTCTTGAGTTCACTAGCGATGGTGTGGGTATGACCTTCTGCAGCGAATCGGCTCTTGGCCTCGAGAGCGGAGATGTATGATACAAGGGCGCGACTTATGGAGTTGCTATCCCTTTGTTTGTACCGAGTTTCGGGTCACCTATAGACTTCCGGTTAGCCAAATAAGATGGCGGAGCGTGAAAGGTAGATATAGGTAGTAGACTAAACCAATTCGAGTAGGCCGGTAGGCAACTTGGCGCCGCGCTATCAAAACCAGTGCCTATAGGGGTTAGTAGTACCTAACTACTTACCTCTACTATAACTAAAGAGTACGAATTCGTAGTAGAATATACGTCCGTCGTACCCGACTCTTACGGTACTAGTAAAGAGTAAGGAATCGAAGAAGGTGTAGTAGTAGACGCTACGGAAAGGCCCTTATTAGTAAAGGGCTAGGTACTATTCGAACCGCTCGCTAGTATATACTACTAGCGTACTTTTATACTACTAGACGACTTCTACTCGTAGCCGCGTACCTTTTAAGAGCTAGTAAACACGTATATAGAAGAGTATAGTTATAGACAGTATAGTAAGCGCTACGCGCGTTAAAATTAGCCGGATCCGAGTACTACTAGTAGCTTTCGATTCGACCTACTACTACTATTCTTTAAGCTCTTCTTCTCGGATATTATATTCTCGGTATTAACGCGTAATACGAACTAGTATACCGAGGATAATAGGGCCGGATTAGGTAGAAGGACGTAGCCTACTAATAGGTTAGAAGAAGGCGATATTAAAATCTTTATCGGCCTACTTATATATATATATTAGTCTTTAAGTAGTCCGAAGTCGAAAATAGCGGAGTATTAGAACCGAATAGACACCTAGCTAATCTACTATATTACTAAGTTTATAGAGTAAACGCGATTCGAGTAAATTAAGCGCTTCTTCTATATCGCTATGCGATTAACTAGACCTAGTAAAAAGCTACTAAAAGAGCGCTTCTTTAAGAAGATAGAGCCGCTTTCGAGCTATATAATAGCTATCGTATAGGCTAGTTATCGGCCGGCTACTAAGGTTACTATAGATAAGGTTACTATTCGCTAAACCGGCCGTACGAACTATACCTTATTCTTCGAAAATAAGCCTATAAAGTACGGCTTTTATATTCTATCGCTTACGGATACCGGTTACCTATACGCCTAGTTATATAAGATAAGTATATATGTTTAATAGTATCGAAAAGGGTACGGTAGTTAAGAAGCTAGAAAACCGAATTACTATATACGAAGAAGTAATACTAAGAGGGTTACGTAACGTCTAAATAAGGTAGCCGCTAGGCCTAAATAGGTAAAGCGTTAACGCGGAAGTAGCCGCTTTAACTATAGAGCTCGACGATACGTTAGTAGTAGTTCTTAACCTAGTACTATAACTACTACCTTTTAGCTACTACGTACTCTACTATAACAACCTATTTAGTAAGATTCGACTCTTCTAGCTACTTAGATACGCTAGAATCGCTACTACCGGTACTATACGCGCTAACTAGGTAGAATAGCCCTTTAAAGGCGTAGATCGTACTAAATCGCGCTTCCCTTAGTAATCTACGTAGGTTAGTGTAATAGATTACTATATAGACATAGGGATGTTAGTATAATGTCTAGGAATGTAGTAGTGTAGGTATAGTAAGGTATACTAGAATAATCCTAAAGAGACTAAGAGTAGGTCGTACGACCTGTCGATATCCGGGGATGTATACTAAGCATTACGTAACTACCGGAGTAAGCTCCGAACCGACTCGTAACCGACTCGTAAGGGGTTCGTAAGGCGTCCGTAGGGCCTCCCTATACGTGACGTTATTACGTGACATCTCGGTACCGGATCGTAAGGGGTTCGTAAGGCGTCCGTAGGGCCTTCGTAAGGCCTTACGTTACATAATCTCGCTACGTAACGCGACCGGATCGCCTACGACCTACTTACGTATTACAGTTAGGATAGTACGCGATATTACTACTATTATATAGTAAGATAAGAACCTTGTCTATATACTTACTACCGTAGAGAGCCCTTATATCCGTACCGAAGTACTACGCTATCGTCTAACTAGCCTATACCTTACGTAGCTACGCCGAACTATCTAGCGCGTATAGGGTAAGCTCGGACGGATTAGTATAGCCCTACTACTGTTCTTAATTAACTATAACCTCTATATAGATAGTATAGATAGGTACGATTAGCTACGCTTGTACGTATTAACTTAGCTTAAGTACCTACGCGCTTAGTAGCTAATATTCTTCTTTATACTAGACGTAGCGCTAATTAACGCCTATCTAATAGCTCGCTAGCTTTACGGCTATACTAAGGACCCGGTTTATACCTAACTACGTTAATTTCGGATAGTAATCGCCTAGCTTTTAGTACTAGAAGGAGTATATTAGAAGGATTCGGTCTAGGCTACTAGTATACTATCCGTATAACGCGGCGTAGCGCGCTATAATAGCCGCTTTAGCGTAGGCTATATACCGAGTAGTAATACGAGTACGGCTCGCTATAGAGGCTATATTATATACTAAATACAACTACTACTACTACGACTCGTACTAGGTAACTACACGATTATAAGGGCCTAGATAACGAAGGGTAGAAGGTAGAAATACTAGTATTATTGCTACTATATTAATACTAAAAGATAGCGAGGTGTAGCTATTAAAAAGACCTTCTTTTACTACTAGTAGTACGGCGATAACTACCCTCTTTACTAGGCCTACTTTAAGCTATTTTATACTACCGAATAGGCTATCTACTAGCCTACGAGAGCTTACTTATCTCCGGTAATACCTTACTCTTCTTATAACTAAACAAACGGACGAATTCGTAGATATCGTCTAAAGCTCCTTCTAAATTAGCTACCCTTCTTTATAGGTATATAAACTCGAGTAGATTAACCTCCTTTTTGTCTACTACTTCGACCGGTAACGATAGTAGTCTAGGCGTAGATTAGGTACGTTTAAGTATCTTAGTAGGTCTCTTTACTAGCGTAATATCGACTATTAAAGTAACTAGATAAGAGCGCTTCGTAGGTAGTGGATTCGGTAGTATACTAGGCCGCGGCGGCGGCGAGAAGGCCGGCTCGGACATAGTAGTAGCCTTACTAATCAGTTTATAGTCTATTTATTTACTTATACGCTCTACTTACGTTAGAATCTACTATATTTGCTACTATTTAGGTAGGTGCGAGAGATATACTATAGTGCGACAGCGAGCTGAGGTCGGTAGTAGGAACCCTATACCTACCGGCAGACCAAACCTTATATAGTTAGTATGAGAAAGAGTCTGCGTCTAATTACGGTTTGCCCTAGACATAGGGGCGAATACAAACAAAGGGATGGTCGATAATGGATTGAGCGTCGTTGTCGCTTACGCCGTTGCTATTGTTGGCATCGTCGATGGCGCTCTTGATGTCGTTGTCAATCTGGCTCTCCACTTTTTGCACGGAAAAAGCAGCGATGAAGCTTCCGCCGTTGTAGGGGTTGACTTTCTGGGTCCAAAAGGTCGTTTCGGAGTTCATGGTCGGGAGGTCGGCATCGATTGTGGCGGTGTCCCGGCGGAGGACAGCTGCGGTGGCGCTGGTGGCAAGGAGAATGATGTTCTTGATGGCGACCATAACTTACTGAGGATGCTTCCTGTCCGCGGCGAGGAGAGATGATCTCTCACCGGCTAGCATCAATAGCTCAGCATCCATTGCGCAAGGCCGGAAGCTTGAGGCAGCACGCTCCGGGTTTGATGCTCGAACCCGTTCCATATCAGTATCTCGAAACTCATAGCCTAGGATCCCGTGAGTAACTATTATGCTCGAATAAGTTGAACGTGCCCTGCTACGAGAGGCAACGTAGGTTGAAAAGACAGCACACTCGCCTCTTTTGTTCTTGATTCTGCGCGTGTCTTGTACATGCATTACTAGCGGCTCTGATCATCGTATGCAGTCAGACAATACTAGAAGGTGGAGGAGAGGCGATATGTAGAAGGTGCCATTCAGAAGCGTGCTGGCAGTGCATACATCTGCAGCGACGCTTCTTACGTACACTGTGTGTACCAGCCTCGGCATCCAACTCTCAAGCCATAGCAACACATGCGGCGGAGAGCATTGCATACGAGTATCATTAAGAGTTACGATAGGGGTTGAAGGGAGCGCCTGCACGAGAAGGGGAGCGCAGAATTCCGAGGCCGCGGAGCTGGTCTACGGATGCCTTCAAGGTTCTGCTGTCAGTTCGTGTCTGTCTGAAATCCTGCGCGCATTCCACTGGGTGAGAGAATATCGTCCTTCCGGGCACGACTCGGCACCGGTGAATGCTAAGTAGCAAGTGGATGCTTCGATGCTCCAGATTGCCAATTCGCCTGCCTTTGGTGGTAGTTGCATACTGTCGGTTGGACATTTGTGGTAATAGTGGGGCATTCTCAGCTTCAAAGGGCCGTCTTGTGCACCAATAACGTCAAGAACAGGCGATCCAAATATCCGGTTTGAGGGACACTTGCACCCGTCCGTATCAGTCTATGCTGCGAGACGTCTGGTCTTCCCCGAAATAGCCAAGGAGGAGTTTCTCATAGCCCGGACTCTGCTGTCGCGTGTCAGACCAAATCTCTGGCGCTCGGAGGTACATGGAAGAGCCAGAGGACAAGGCTTCATTTGCGGGTATCGCGGGCAATATCATGAAGATGCGCTTGGGCTGGGAGTGCTGGACGGTGGACGGTGGACGGTGGAGTGGAGTGGGAAGAAGCGAAGGAAACTGAAAATCGAAGCGCAAGAACGGAGGTGAAGTCTGAGCCGGAGCTCGGCAAGTCGGATAACGACGGCGTTTTAGCAGACCTCGGACGGCGGACGCATTCTGTACCTTAGTCTGTGCTCGCAAAGTACACACCATCTACGAACTCGTCTTCATCACATCGACCGACATAGGACAATCTCCAATATGCCCACTATCGAGAGCTACACCGTCCATATCTCCAGCGCCTGTCCTCCACCATACGACGATGCTCCGGATCAGCTGGACGCGTGCTGAACCTCGCCTTTTCCTGTTTCCGGCCTATACAGTCCTGCAAGGGGCCAGGAGGGGCAGGCTCCATACCACGACGCCTTTCCAACCCAGCCTATAAACAACTCTTCACAAGCCGGGTGGAGTGCAGACTCACTGCGAATATCATAAACAGTGAGCCGTTAGGCATAAGAGCCACCGGTGCCACCTAAATTGCGGGAGAGGATACACGGACCACCAAGGGACCATGCATTCTGGAGCATGCGGAACGTTGAGATGATACTACGAGTGGACTGGACAACATTTCACCGCCCCCGTCTAGGAGCACAGTTGTCTTGAAACTGGACGTCTTTCCTTTCGGCCGCGCTTGCGCCCAGAACAGTGCCCAAAGATTCGATGGCGCATAGCACTGATGAATGCAACTCCATCCTCCGAAGCTTGCAAAGCTAGCGGGACCACCTTCTCACCTCCTGGAGCCTCGGCAAGATGAAGAGAGGACGTTCCTCCTGAGGTGCGTGGCCTTGACCTTTGACTTATGTCCAATTATCGACCTCTCGTGAATTCCTATGGCTTCTGACCGCTTCTGCCAGTGCCACAAGTCTACTCTTGATCATGGCCGTGACGCATACTTACGAATGATGCCCGGGCCTTTCGGGAGGGCGACATGCTGCAGTGCCTTAATAATAATGCCCAGACCTCCTGGTAGCGGGGGGCACGGTACGTGAGTGAAGTTACTAAGCAGATATAGTTCCCCCTGAGTTGATGTAGTAGACATGCGATGAGCTGCAGATGGTCGCATGCTGCACTCCGAGCACACCCCTGCCAGGAGTAACGGCTCGGTATAGACCACACACGGGAAACATCATTGGCTTTGATGATGATGCATGCATCGCACTAATATTGAAAAAACGCTCCGTCCTTAGGCGGTTCGGTATCTGCCGAACCTTATAGCCAACCTTCTATGCAACTCCTGGTCGATAGCATCCACTACTATGAGCCGCTTCTCGCGCTCAGACACGCGGCCGTTGCACCTGCCCGGATCTCCTAAAGATAGGCTTAGTGGTTCCTGACTACCACCACTACCTACACTACTATGATAGTAGAAAGGTGAGGATCTGCGAGTCTACCTATATCAATTAGAGCCGATAGTAAAGCCTCATCATCACGAATGATGGAGATGTTGGAATGGTCTCTGACGACAACCGATGCATCGACTGGCGTGCTTGGATGAGTCTAGCCATGGCAGCTTGAACCGGCTGGTGCTCGAGCGTTGCGTGCTCCTCTTCGGATGGCCGCGAATCCCAACCGCGATTACATGTACAGACGAGCGATGCGCAAAGTCGGTGTCGATCTCTCGTTTGCGGTTGTCGTTGGTCTGGATGTTCCCCGTCTTCCCCTCATGCGCTAGCATATGCGATATCTCGCGTTGCGCTAGCACACCTCCGGCTCCGCTCCGTCCGAACGCCGAGGCAAATTTGTCGACTTCACCTGCAGTTTTGGCCTGAATTCACCACGCGGCCAGACGGCACAGCATTGATGCTGACGGCCGACTACTGCACTCCGCACTCTGTGATCCATTGTTTACTCTCTCGTTCTCGCTAGACTATCCAGAATCCACGAAAGAGAGTGCTTGGCGGTTCAGCATCCAGATGTACTGTGTACCCAGCTGGACCTGGTCAGGTTTTGATGAGGGCGATGCGCCGCTTCAACTCAAAGAAAGACAGAAAGAAATGCAGGCTGTACCTACGTTGAGATGGGAGTTGATGGGATCCTGTGGACGGCGGCAGAGGCGAGACCGTTGAGCATCGCGGCCGGGAGCGTGGCGAGGGCATTGGCTTCTCGTTCAGTCAAGAGCTAGGCAGGGAAGTCATCGCTGCTGGCTTCCGAGCAATTTGCTGCTCTGTGCTCTCCTCACAGTGGCGCACATGTTGGCGTCAACGAAGCATCATGCTTCAACGTCGACGCCTCGGAGGATCAACCCGCTGCGCTTGTTTCGTAACAAAACGGCGTCTGATCCTCGGCCTCATCAAAGATTCGATGTGGGGCTGCCATGGCCAGTGTGCTGGATTCCACCCGGGCTGGGTGCACCGCCAGCACCCTTCAAAAGACCCGCGTCTTCCTGCTGGGTTATGGAACCATAGGCTTATTCCTCAGGCGTCAGTATGTTTCCAAAGAGTCTTTCGTTCATTTTTCTTTTGTCGCTCTGCAGTGAGCTGTCGCTTGGGTCAGGATGGGAGTCGACCGGATGGGAGTCGACGCCGCAGGAGCACCGGCCAAATGGTCCTGAACATCATCGCTGGACATCGAAGGAAGAGAAATCCCACTGGGAAGAGAAATCTAAATGGGGAGGTCACGAGGGCTGGGAAGGCGGCCATCGTGGATGGAAGACGCATCATGAATGGAAGACGTCGGCGAGCCAGCCTTCCGGACAGTCATTACAGCCCATTTCCACTCCTGTCTCGAGCCCATCGGGATCGCAGCCCGTGTTGACCTCGTCGACGTCCCCGGTGTCTCCGGTGTCCAGCCCATCAGGATCGCAACCCGTGTCGAGTCCTTCTGTATCGCAGCCGGCCTCGAGCCCTTCTGCATCGAAATCTCCGGTGTCCCCGGTGTCGAGCCCATCAGGATCGCAACCGGTCTCGAGCCCTTCTGCCTCGCAACCGGTGTCGAGTCCCTCTGCCTCGCAACCGGTGTCGAGTCCCTCTGCATCGAAATCTCCGGTGTCCCCGGTGTCGAGCCCATCAGGATCGCAACCGGTGTCAAGCCCTTCTGCATCGAAATCTCCTGTCTCGAGCCCATCAGGGTCGCAACCCGTGTCGAGCCCTTCTGCATCGAAGTCTCCTGTCTCGAGCCCATCAGGGTCGCAACCCGTGTCGAGCCCTTCTGCATCGAAGTCTCCTGTCTCGAGCCCATCAGGGTCGCAACCCGTGTCGAGCCCTTCTGCATCGAAGTCTCCTGTCTCGAGCCCATCAGGGTCGCAACCCGTGTCGAGCCCTTCTGCATCGAAATCTCCTGTCTCGAGCCCTCCTGCGTCGCAACCGGTGTCGAGCCCTTCTGCATCGAAGTCTCCTGTCTCGAGCCCGTCAGGGTCGCAACCCGTGTCGAGCCCTTCTGCATCGAAGTCTCCGGTGTCGAGTCCCTCAGCATCGAAACCTCCGGTGTCAAGTCCATCGGGGTCGCAACCGGTGTCGAGTCCTTCAGCATCGAAGTCTCCTGTTTCAAGGCCATCAGGGTCGCAACCCGTGTCGACCCCGTCGAAAGCTCCGGTGTCGAGCCCTTCTGCATCACGACCTCCTGTGTCTACGCCAACGCGCCGACCGAGCGCTCCGCCTTCGTCGCCAACCGGAAGGCCTTCCTTTCCGCCTACTCGCTCGGGAAGCTTCCCGCCGTCAAAGCACACCAAGCATACCGAGCACACCAAGCACACCAAGCACACCAAGAAGCCATCAACTTCATCGAGTAGCTCGCCGGTAGCTGGCCAGCCTGGTGCAACTCCATCTGGTTCTAGCAGTGCTGCTGCGCCCTCGTCGTCAGGAAGTTCTCAAGCTCCTCCAGCAGGATACAGTGGTTCTCCTACCGCGTCGTCGCAGGCAGTTTCAAGCTCTCCGCAGGATACAGCGGTTCTCCACCGCGTCGTCGTCAGGCAGTTCTCAAGCCCTCCGCAGGATACAGCGGTTCTCCCACCGCGTCGTCGTCAGGCGTTCTCAAGCTCCTCCAGCAGGATACAGCGGTTCTCTCCGCGTCGTCGTCGGAAGTTCTCAAGCTCCTCCAGCAGGATACAGTGGTTCTCCTACCGCGTCGTCGTCAGGCAGTTCTCAAGCTCCTCCCGCAGGATACAGCGGTTCTCCCACCGCGTCGTCGTCAGGCAGTTCTCAAGCTCCTCCCGCAGGATACAGCGGTTCTCCCACCGCGTCGTCGTCAGGCAGTTCTCAAGCTCCTCCAGCAGGATACAGCGGTTCTCCTACCGCGTCGTCGTCAGGAAGTTCTCAAGCTCCTCCAGCAGGATACAGTGGTTCTCCTACCGCGTCGTCGTCAGGCAGTTCTCAAGCTCCTCCAGCAGGATACAGCGGTTCTCCTACCGCGTCGTCGTCAGGGAGTTCTCAAGCTCCTCCAGCAGGATATAGTGGTTCTCCTACCGCGTCGTCGTCAGGAAGTCCTCAAGGGTCGTCCGCTGGATCTAGCGGCTCTCCAAGCTCATCGTCGACTGGCACACCGCGTGGTTCTCCCGTTGGATCCAGCGGCGTTCCGTCTGCATCGTCACCGGGAAAGACTCAAGGTTCTTCAGCAAGCTCCAGCAGCGGGTCCGCACCAACCGAATCCAAGACGCCATCGAGCTCCCCTCCAGCGTCGCCTACCGCGTCCGGCAGTTCGTCGTCGCCTAGCGGATCAGTTTCGTCGTCGCCTAGCGCATCGGGCTCCCCTTCAGCGTCGCCTATCGCGTCTGGCAGTCCGTCCTCACCTACCGCATCAAAGCCGTCGTCGATTGTGTCGTCGCCCAGCGCATCGAGAATCGCGAGCTCGCCTTCGGTGGCCCCATCGTCGCCTTCAGCTAAGCCTTCTTCACCTACCGCATCGAAGCCGTCGTCGGTTGTGTCGTCACCCAGCGCATCGAGAATAGTGAGCTCGCCCTCGGTGGCCCCATCGTCGCCTTCAGCAGCGCCGTCCTCGCCAAGTGCATCAAAGACGCCGGTATCGTCGCCCTCGGTCGCTCCATCATCCAGCACTCCAGCGGCAAGCTCGCCCTCGGTGGCCTCATCGTCGCCTTCGGTCGCTCCATCCAGCGCTCCAGCGTCCAGCTCGCCCTCGGTGGCCCCATCGTCGCCCTCGGCCGCTCCCTCATCCAGCGCTCCAGCGTCCAGCTCGCCCTCGGTGGCCCCATCGTCGCCTTCAGCCCAGCCGTCCTCACCGAGCGCATCGAAGAGTCCGTCTAGCACTGCATCGGTTGCCTCTTCATCCGGCGCTTCGGCACTGCCGAGCTCATCGTCGGCTGCTCCGTCGTGGGCGTACCCATCTGAAGCGCCGAGCGCATCGCGATCGTCCAACTTACCATCGTCCTCCCATGCGCCATCAGGCCCGCCGAGTTATTCCTCCCCGCCGAGTTACTCCTCCCCACCGAATTATTCCTCCCCACCGAAGGCTTCTCCATCAGGAATGACCACCATGGTCAGGCCGACGGCTTACTAGACTGCTTCCTCGCCGCTGGCTGGCATCCAACAACATCGTCCATCGCGGGCATCCTGGTAGTCCGTCCATTTGGCGCACCAGAAGAAGAAGAAGAAGAAGAGTGCGCGGGAGCACTCTATTCATTTTCAGTCTTGCAACTTCTTCTTCTTTCTTTTCGGCCTGTTCATTATTTTTGATCTCTATTGATCATCATCATTTGTATTATATGATCATCATTATCATCATTTGTCACGGTTGGATTAGATAGGTTAGCTCTGATCTCACTCACCGGCGATACGATTCATTTTTTCTCCTTCACTTTTGTGGTGTTGACAGACACAAAAATCGCGACAGTAGTAGACACAAACAACATGCACGTTACACGCATGAGGAGATTTCGAAGTTTCTTGTTGAAAAAAAAAGGAAACGAGCAAGCAAAGCAAAGCAAAGCAAAGCAGAACAGAACAGAACCAGAGAAGGAGAAATTCAATTCTTACACCTTCACGATCATTCCCCCCGCCGATGGCCGAGGGGTGACAAATCCATTACTTTTTTTTTCTTTCTTTCTCAGCCAGCTTCGGCGCACCGGAAGTGGTCCATGGCGCGCGCGGGCACTCTGCTATCCTGTGATAGAGTTGTGTGGTACCATCCAAGCCATCGTGGGCCGGCCCGCTTGTCTTTCCCACGAGAGCTGGACTTTCTCGAATAGGTAAGTTGTGCATGGATCCCTCTCGTACATCGTATTCATGTGTCTGACGGTGATGTCATTTGTTAGATGGGTACAGTATCATAGCCGATGATGTGTTCTCGACCATGAATGACATGCTTCCTTCACTCATAAAAAATAATGCGTGCGCCCTGGCTAATTCGAATCGCTACAAACTCCGCTCATATGCAAGATGCGCAACGCTGAGAGTGGACGCTCAATGCTTCGCTAAGAACAGACAGACAAACAAATAATGCCTCGAAAGGAGATGACACAACACAACACAGATAATCTCAGAGACCCCCGAACAACGACCTGAAGAATCCAGACTTTGGTCTCGCCTCAGGTGCCGCAGGACGCTTGGTACTGCGACGATGAGGTTCCCTCTCCCTCTCCCTCTCTCCATCTGCTTCACGCTCTCTTTCCCCCCCGTGCTTTCGATCGCTCTCCCTTCGTTTGTGCTCCGGTCGGTCACCATCGCTTCGATGGCGACGTCGTCGTCGATGGTGAGAGCCAGAACCGTCTGCTTTGCTTCCGCTGCCGTGGGAACTGGAACCCGGTGCGGCGTCCGCCTCTCGTGGGACTTCCCTCGCACTATCCCGTCGCGAAGAATGCCTAGGACGGTCTCCATCTCTCCTCGAACTACTGGACGGCTTCACGTCTCCGCTATTCGTTCGACCAAAGAATCCCGGTTTCGACGTTGATGACGAAGACGATCCAGTCGAGAACCCGAGAAGTCCCATTGCAGACTTCTTCTCGGGCTCACGATACGAATCCCTCCTCCGTCTTTGCCTCTCAGCCTCCAATCTAGCCTCTTCCCTCGCGATCCTCTCATACTCCTCTGCAGCAGCTTTCCTCGCAGCCCGCCGTACCTCGTGTCTAATCCTTCTCCTTTCGTCTTCCTCCGCCAACCTCCTCTCTTCTTCTGCAGCTCTCGCACGTTCTGCTGCTTTCCTTTCTTCACGACGTCTCTGCTTCGCGGCAAGTTCTTCGGGAGTCAACCCTGACGACCTGTGAGAGCGGTGCTCACGAGTAGAGACTAGATCCACGTAGTCTTTGGCTGGGCGACTGCTGCGTTTTGAAGATGACTTGTCGGAGGTGGAAGAACGTTTCTTTGTCTTGTGAGGGCGTTCCCATGCTGCGGCTTTGCTTTTGCTTCCGCTGCTTCTGCTGAGGTGGGGTGATGGTGGTGCGGCTGGAATGGCGGCTTCTTCTTCCTTGGCTGATGGTTCTGCAGCTGCTTCTTCTGCAGGTTCGTCTTTTGGCTCCGCAGCTGGCTCTTCGGCTGCTGCTTCTGGAACGGCTTCAGGAAGTGTCTCTTCTGGCGCCTCCTCCTTGACTTCTACGACGGGATCTTCGGCTGCTGCTGCCGTTTCTTCTTCAGGAGAAGGCTCTTCGATGGGAGCATCCTTGGCATCTTCATCAGGAGGCTCGACGATAGAATCGTCCTTACTTTCTTCAGCAGGGGCAGTGTCATCGCCCTCTGCAACGGCTTCGCTTTGCTCCACTACAGCCTCTTCCTGTGGCTCGGACTTGGGCTCTTCGGCTGGGGGCTCGGCGATTGCTTCCTCCGCGGCCTCCTTGACGTCTTCGCCAGCCTCAGCTGCTGGCTCCTCGGATTCACCGCTATCGACAGACGGCTCAGCGGGTGCCTCATCGGCAGCATCTTCATGTTCTTCGGTCGCTTCCTCCGCAGCCTCCTTGATGTCTTCGCCCGCCTCCGCTGTTGGCTCCTCAGATTCACCGCTATCGGCAGACGGCTCAGCAGGTGCCTCGTCGGCAGCATCTTGATGCTCTTCGGTCGATTCGGCGGCTGCTTCTTCCGTCTTGCTCTCTTCAGGAGATGCTGATTCCTCTTCGGCGCTTGGTTCATCAGGCACTGGGTCCGTTACGTCTGCAGATTCAACCGCCTGCTCTACTTCAGCGAGTGCTTCCTCTTTCGCGCCGTCATCTGCAGCCACGTCTTCGGCTGCTTGTTCAGGTTCTAACGCTGCCGCCTCTGTAGGAACGGGAGCTTCTTCCGTTGTTGTTGCTGCTTCTTGCGGCTCATCACTTGCTGACTCGGTCGCAGAAGATTCCTCAGTCTCAGAACTCTCAGTGGATTCCTGGTCATTCGCTTCAGCGGCTTCCTCGCCTTCAACCTCGGGACCATCATCGCCCTTCGGCTCCTCGGACACCTCCTCACTCGTATCTCCAGTATCTCCAGACTCTGGATCGTCATCCTCTCGCACATCGGCCACATCCTCGTCAGCAACGGCATCGCTGCCAGGGGCAGCATCATCCTCATCGACAGTAGGCTCAGCAGCATCCTTCTCGACAAGTCGCTCGTCTTCCCCAGCAGCGGGCTCGGCCACGGCATCTGCCTCGGCGTCATCCTCGGTCATCTCACTCGTCAGATCTGCAATGTCTTCCTCATCTCCCTCAACTTGATCCTCGTTCTTGTCCTTTTCCGGTTCAGCTGCATCGTCCGCGGGCAATTCATCAGGCAAGCTCTCCTTCGGCTCGTCAAGTTCTATGGCGCTGTCAGGCGGCGTCCCAGCTCCCCCTTCTTTTGCGACAGTATCCTCCTCCGTCGATGCTTCGCCAGCATCTCCAGCATGATCCTCCGCCATGTCCCCATCTACATCAAGTGATGCATCCTCGGCGGCGGCGTCGTCCGCTTTCTCAGTCGGCTCCGGACTTTCACCAACATGGACAGTAGGCTCAGCAGCATCGTCAGGTGCCTCCTCCTTTGCATCTCCCTCGACAGGGACGTCATCAGATTCCACCGGCGCAACATCTTCCGACTCGGCGACTTCGGCCTGCTGATCTGCAGGTGGATTCTCATCTGCAGCCGCATCGACTTTCTCCTCTGGGATGTTGGGCTGTGCTGCCTCTTCGACATGCTCAGTGACTGCAGGCGGCGGAGGTGGTATATCGCTACAGTCAATTCCCAATCCCGCGGGCACTTCAGAAACAGGAGGAGTGACCGAGCCTTTTGATTTACTGCTTTTTGATGACTTCTTCTTCTTCTTGTCCTTGGAAGATGACTTCCCTTTGGCAGGAGGTGGCACAGGTGGCGGCGGCATTTCTTCTTGCGCAATCTCAGCTGGGGCTGCTGGTTCCTCGTGAGGTGGATCGGGAATGGCTTCTTCCTGTACAGGCTCAGGTGGCGGCACTGGTTCTTCCACGGTGAGAGGCTCTTCTTTGGGGGCCTTCTTCGATGAGCCCTTCTTTTTCTTCTTCGATGACTTTGAAGATCTCGGGGCATCCTCTTCAGGTGGTGGCAGCGCAGGTTCTTCAGCAGGCTCAACGGGTGGTTCCGGGGGCGCTGATCCCTCAAGCGGTGGATTTTCAATCGGCGCACTGGGTTCCGCTGCTGATTCTTGCTCAGGTTCACCGGGTACGTCAGCCTCAGCCTCAGCCTCTTTGATATCCTCAAGCGCTGGCAGCTCAGGCGCAGGCTCTTCAGCAGGAGCTTCTTGAACTTCTTCCTCCACAGCGGGAAGAGGTGGTGGCGGTGGCTCTTCGTCAATCGGACCCTCCACTATCTCCACAATATCATGCGGAGACGGTTCGGCAGGAGCTACAGGAACGCCGGTCTTGCCCTTCTTCTTGCTCTTCGACCCTTTCGAGCTCTTCTTCCTCCTCTGCGTCTCCTTCGGTTCGGGGGTTCCAGGGGCGAATTGGACAATCTTCGGACTCTTATCGCCTTCCGCCGGTGGCTCGATGACTTCGACGACGTCCCCTTCAGGCTGAGATGGTGGTTCGGGAGCAGGTGGTGGAAGATGTTCGGCCGGCTCTTCTGCGGGAGGTGGTTCGTCTCCCTTGCCGTCTTCGATGGCAGCTTCTTGAGCCTCTGCTGCTTCATCGATGATTTCAACAATCTCATTGGGGTCCAGATCCTCTTCTGCAGGAGGCTCGGATGCTTCTGGTGGTTGTTCTTCTTGGTCTTCGGGAAATGCACCGGGAGGAGCTGCTTCTTCGGCGGGAGCTTCAGATTCCGCATTGGGCTCAGAAGCAGCTTCTGCGGCAGGCGCCTCGCCGCTGGCGTCTTCCACATTTGGTGCCTCGGATGCAGGTTGTTCTCCCGGCTCTGCACTCTCGGGGGGCTCTTCAGCTGGCAGAGCGTCTCCCTCGGCCGCTGCAGGCGTCTCCTCGGCCGCATTCTCTGGGTCTCCGCCATTCTCCTCGGGAGCAGCGATTGGAGGCTCTTCAGGGGTCTCTGCAGGTGCTCGGAAGCGGTCAGGAACATTGCACGCATCTCTCCAACTGCATCATACGCACCTCCTCCCTCCTTCCCGCCCTCTCCCTCCGACTGCTCGTCGTCCGTCGGCTCTGGCGGTGGTCGCGGCTTATATTTGACCTTATACGTGGGCACAAAAGACTTGGAAGCCGCTTCAGCCGAGATAGTGGGCGACTTGGGGCCTCCGCGAAAGGGCAACACACTTGCGTTGGGATCGCTCCATCTCGCTACCGATACGGTGTTGTAGCTGAATTTCTTCTTGCTGACAGCATCGAAGCCAGACATGGCGCCAGTCTAGGAGAGCTGTCGAGAAGCTCTCCCTCTCCGGGTGAGGGGAGGAATGGTTCGGGTTGGGAGCAGGCAGGACGCTCCTGCTGTCATCAATGTGAGAGAGTGAGGGTGAGGGTGATGATTTTCCTCTCCGGTGTCTGATGAAGGAAAGAGTGTGCTCACGAGAGGGTGGGATGAGGTGAGGTGGTGAGGTGCGGAATAAGGTTTAGGTCCGGGGATATGATTTCTGAGGAAGGAAGGAAGAGACGGAGACGGAGACGGAGACGGACAGAGAGGGAAGGAGGAAAATTGTACGAGACATTGAGGTGTGTTCGATGTCAGTTTGGGCAGGTGCGTGGTGGGGTGGTGGTGCCCTGTCGTGGGCGGTGGTTCCAGTCTGGCGGCGGACAAGGATTGGCGATGGATGGCGTGGTCGGTCCCCGTTGGCCACGGTCTCGGTCCACGCTCTCGGTGCCCCGGGCGCTGTCTACGATCGCAGCGATGTTGCCGAACACCACGATCGTGGGCAGGAGCAGGGCAGTGGCAGTGGACGGAAGAGTCTGAGTAGCGGTGGTGGTAGGAGAGCTAGTGTGGGAATGGAGCAGCACTCGAATGGAACCACGTAGGACAAGCCCCTGCAAGCGAAGACGAAGAAAGCATCGCGCTACGACGCCCCCGATATCTGTTTGGGTCGACATTGCAGTCGGTGGGCAGTGGCCCAATCATAAGAATGGTGGTGAATTACAGGTGAAGGGTGGTGGGTGTAAGTAACTTGAACGCATGCACGGCGCGATGCACAGCGGTGCACATGCACAGCAAGACGAGCGGACGAGGCGAGGTGAGGTGCCAGGAGATACACAGGGACACGGTGTAAAGCGCAGAGAAGAGACGTGGCAAGCGCTCAGAGGTGCCCGGCTTCGTAGGGTGGCTCCTTCCTGCTGTGTTCCACTCCCGCGCCCGCGCCCGCGCCGTTCCATCCCGACCCCCATCCTATTTCCATTTCCATCCCCACTCTTGCTTGACTCTTGGAGCTGTGAAGAAAACTGGAACAACCACTGTAATTCAATGGGGTATCGCAATCGCATGCTGCCAAAGAAGACTGCCCCATCCCATGCTATGCTTTCCGTGCTGTCTATACACACACACAAACACACGCCCAGACTCCTCGCTTGTTAAATTCGTATCCCGCCCGTCAGATCAAGCACTCGTTACACCATGGCACTGCGCACCGTCTGCTGCTCTGGTCCACCTCCGCTCGCAGCCAGCTTCTTCATCGCCATCACATCCCCATGCTCCGTATCCGATGGATGATGGTGGTCATCAGCCGCGGGCAGATGGTGCTTCTTCATCTCGTCTGCGCTGTCCTCCGACGTGGCCACGACTGTGCTCTCCGACCCTCGATGCTCCCTTGGCGCCGCATGCTGCCCTGCTGCATCTTCCCATTCGCCGCCCTTCTTCTTCTTCTTCTCCCCTCCATCTTCGGCCTCAGTCTTCCGCAGCATTCGTCGTCCGTTCGGCAAGACATCCTCTCCCTCCTCATACGACAGAGGCTGCTCCATCGCCGGTGCCCTCGGCTCCTCAGCCAGCTGCATCTCTTCCTTTCGTCGCGCCAAGTGCCGCTGCATATCCACTCCTCTCTTGAACGCCGCGAGCGCATCCTTCGCCGTGTCGACATTCTCCAGCGCACCCGCTTCTGCCCAACGTCGCTTCTCCCGACCCAGCTTCATTCGCCCAATGACATTGCCGCCCACCGGTCCGTACTCGTGCGCTGCTTCCTCCCATATCTCCTCGTACACCCTCCACCCTTCCGACACGCGCTCCCGGATACGCTCCAGTTGCTCTCGCTTCCCCTCCTCCTGCAGTCGCTTGTAGTCGATCTGCCCGAGTACCAGATGTGCTTTGCGCATCGCGGCCTTGGAGCTCGGGCCATCTCCTTCTGCTCTCTTCTTCACGTAAACAATTACCCCCTTGCCGACACACGCCGGCGGGGAGACCACTGCGCTCACGTTCTTGAGTACGAACCCTCCGAGACCCTTCGCGAACCCCATCCCGAAGCCGCTGACCTTCGCGGGTATCGTGTCCCCGTCCCTGAACCCACCAACCGGTTGCGTAACGAGGCCCGTCCATGCGTCGTAGATTCCGTAGCCCAACTCTCTGCCCCCGGCCACGCAGCCACTCTTAAAGCCAGTGATCCGCATGGGCTTTCGCACAGTCGCATCACCCCACAGACGCGGGGCATTGTGAAAGCCCTGCGCAATCGCCACGTGAAGATCATTGGGCATCGTCAATAAAGCGGTACCCGAGCGCTTGAACCCTTCGCCAAAGTCTCGCACGAGCTCCATCGCCCATGGTGTAGTCGGATCTGCTGACAGAGCTGATCCCGTGGTGGTGTTGGTATTTTCTCTCGTGGCCTGCGGTCGCGGATCATTGCTGCCATCTACAGCCCCAGCTTTGCCGTCCCTTCGCTGTTGCTTCTCTTCTTGCCGCTTCTGTTTCCTCTGTTGCACCTCCAGCTTCTTGCGCTGGTGCTCCGCGCGTTTCCTCATGTGCCTCGCAACTCGGATAGGTACCATCCCGACGCCACTGCCAATCTCCGTGAACGAATCCGTCAACGCACCGACAGTACCGCTGATTGGCTCGCCCGGTCCATCGAAATCGTTCCATGAATACACGCGATACAGCTTCAGATCACCGGGCTTGACCTTGCCTTGCTGTATCAGTATCTCCGCTGCCAGAGCGGATAGCCGCATTGTAGATCCTTTCAGGGTCCACTTCGCCACCCGGTCCTCAAGAATCGAACAGCGCATGTTATGCTTGCCGGCGAGGGGAAGGCTGCGATGGAAGCTCTTGCAGGCATTCACTGCTCCATCCCCTTCCTTCGCCATGCCGTCTGCCATCTTCTGTACATTACGTTGGGCTTCGTCCGTAAGGCACTGTTTGATGCCCTCGGCAAGCTTCTCAGCAGTCATCTGTCTCCAGGGAATCACCTGATGTGCTCCAGCTTTCGCTTCCGCCACCCGTGCGGCCCAGAACGCTTGATCGCCAAAGAAGGGGACAATCATGGTCGGCTTTGCGCACTTCAGTCCAATCGCAGTGGTACCTGCTCCGCCATGATGCACCACGGCCTTGCACTTGGGGAAGAGCCAGTCATGCGGAGTGTTGCCCAGCATGAAGATGCTATCCGGAGTGTTCTCGTTGCTCGTTCCCAGCCCTCCCCACCCCTTGTTCACAAGAGCACGTACTCCAGCAATCTTCACCGCGTCGATGATGATGTTTGTGAAGCTGTTCGGGTCATCCACCACAATACTGCCAAATCCTATGTAGACGGGTGGCTCGCCTGCATCCAGGAAGTCGACCAAGTCTTGCGGCGGCTCGAAGTTCTGTGCCAGCTCCATGAAGACAAACCCAGATATATCGATCTCTGGGCCCCAGTCGTTGGGCTTCGGGACCAGCGATGGACTCCACATGTAAGTGTACGGTACTTTCATGCGATACAGAGCACCTGGCGCCCACAACGAACTGACAGGCTCGAGTCCTAGATCGCGCTGCCGGAACTTGTTGACAATATCACCAAGACCCGACCATGTCATCATCTCGACCAGAGGATAAGACATGAAATTGGCGTAGCTCGCATCCACATTGCTCTTGCCCTGCTTGATGTTCGCAAGCGGATGCGGAAACGCTTGCGTGGGCGAGTAGGGAAAGGTGAACATGATGTGAAGCGGTATGCCGAGTCGCTCGGCGATGTGAACGTGCGCCATCGACGGCGGGTTCGCAATGATGGCGTCCGCGACAAACGGATATCCCTCTCCCAGCGTCTTCAGGTTGTTCGGGTCGCTCTCGTCGTCCGTGGCATTGGTGCAGGCACGCCACATGCCAGAGAACATCTCGCCCATCATACGTCGTCTCCGTCCAATCTCGCCTTCCCGGATTGTCTCGAGTCCGGGTACTAGCCCTGGATTCTTGACCATGAACGCCATCAACTCAGACGGATTGCCTCCAACGGAGAAGAACTCGAGATCCGTTTCCTTTTCAACAAAGTCTCGGAATATCGGGTGCGTTGCCAACCGTACTCTGTGTCCGTATTGCTCCCGCAGAATCTTGCCAATCTTGAGGAAGGGTTGGATGTCGCCGCGACTGCCTATCACCATAATCACCACGTTCATCGCAGGCCTCTTGATAGTAGTATGCAGTGACGAAGCAATCCTCTCTGCCTCTGCTCCAGCATCCAACGTAGGATGATCTGCCGCATGTTGCCGCTGCTTCCGCACCCGCTGCCGATTGGGAATGTCCAAGTGATGCTTGATGGTCTGTCCAAGTGCTTTGGCGAGGTATCCACTATTCGCCGTCTCGTTGATGGAAATATCCAAGCGACCGTCTTTCTCGGAGACCTTGCCTCGGGTGTTGAAGTGTTCATTCCCCAACTTGAAGCGAGAGTATGATCGTCCCTGCTTCGCATTCTCTTTCTCTTGCTTGGCCTCCTTCAATTCCGCCGCGCTCTGCGCTCTCTTTGGCTTGCGACGCTGCCCGGCCTTCGGGGCCTTCTCTCCCTCATCTGAGGATGTGGACTCGGACTCGGAGGACATGGGGTCGAATGCATATTGAAATCCCTCAGGATTCTGTTGCCGACGTGTGAGAGCTTGTCGAAGTGTCGAGCTCCTTCCAGAAGGCTTCGGTCTCTGTGTGCTATCCACGGGAGCAGTGTGTACTCTCTCCAGTGTTCGGTCGGCCGGTTCGCGGTCGAAGTCTTGAGTGGTGTTGCTCTTCGTGGAAGGATCTACATGACCGCCATCCTCTGCTGATCGGTCTGTGGAGTATGACCCAGCGGGCTTGCGAGGTTCGCGACCTTCCATGTTGCTGTCATTCGCAACGAGCTTTTCGCCATCTGTCTTGAGATGTGCACCACAGTCGACGCCCGGCAGGTGCTGGGTAGGGAGAATGGTAGTCTGGCCGTCATCATGTGGCAGTAGAGCTGGAGCGCTCTGATGCTCCGCGGGATCTGAAGACTCCAACTCCGTCTCCATTGGGTCGAGATCCATATCCACCCACAGTATCGGCTCGTTCCCGAACTGAGCGACGCAACATGAATCCAGTGTCTCTCGAATCCACCTTGAGCACTCCAGCAATCATCTCAGCTTTCTGTGGGGAAAGACCCAGTCAGTAGAAAGTCCACCTGTTGCTGACCATTAGAATACCCGTCTGCACATGCCTCTGGCTCTACTGCACGGCCTACCACGCACGTCAGTCGCATCAGCGCGTAAAGTTTCGATAGCTCGTGGCATCGACGTCAACGGACAGCACGGAAGCCTTCTAGCCTCAGCGCCAAGTGAGAAAATGAAGGCTTGATGCGTTCCGCGGTGTCCCCAGGGCAGTTCAAGAAAGCATTCCAAAGTGTGAGTGTGATGTCATCGAAGCGCTCTGCCGGCACAGGCCGAAGTTTGTCTTCGCGGTAGCGACTTCTCACCGTCTTCCGAGGTCGAGATGAGTCTGTCAGAGGCAGTACATACTACTACCACGGCGGGAACGAGACGGATACGAGTAGAGCTAGTGTGGTGCTGCTTCTCTTCCGTACACAGCCGTAGTGAAGTCTGACGACCAGGCTGTTCGGGGTGAGCTGAAGTTTTGGCCCCGGGAGTCGGAGCGTGCCTTGCGTCCGAGACCTGTCCGGGCGTCGATCGCATCATCAAGTGCCTGAGGATGCCATCATTGCAGATGACATGAAGAAATAATCTCGAGGCGGGAAGCTTCCAGCCTCCTGTGCGTGGAGGAGATAGGACTGGTCAGCGCCGTGATTCACAGAAGTAGGTACTCGCTGAGGAACTGTGCAGCTTGGACGGTTCATGTTGATTGACTTGTTTCCACTTTGTTTTGATTGGTACACATTAAATACGAAGGAACTAATACATCTAACAAGAGAGCTTGCCGGCAGTGCTTGGCTCGCTGAATCGCTTCGCGCTCGTGTAGTCCAAATAGAAGGTTCATGTTTTCATGATACAGTACGAGATTCTTTTCCTGCTCCATGGCAGTGTCCGTTTCTGGGTATCTTTTCGGCGCAATCGTGGGCAGTCGTTGGCCATGGTGGGAGGCATTCCATAGCACCTCCGATGACCTGGTCGCTTAAACCTGGCTCATGGCTGGGCCGCTGCGACGGATACCAGGGCGAGCGCTGGAGCTGCCGCCGGACATTTGCAGGCCGGTCAGGACGGTCGTGCCGACGAAAGCCGCCCAGCCAAACCACAGGAATGCGCAAGACGCTTGCGATTCGCGGCAAGCGCCGGAGGATCCGGAGCCTCTAATGACACGGTTGCTGTGAGTGTAATCCTGAAGGATGGTTAGCAGCGAATTGGCTTCGATCTCGATAGGAACATACCGAGTTATTGCAGCTGTGGACACCAAGCTCAGCAGCGAGCGCGACAGCACCGCAGAACCAGAAGAGGTTGTTCAACAGGTCGAGGGTGAATGGCAGGAATGGGAAGACGCTCCATTCCTCCTTGAGGGAAGCCGGGATCAGGAAGAAGAGGGTCAGCATGCCGAAGGCGGCGCAGAACATGGTGTAGTTGTTGATGGACGAGTCGGCGCCCATGGCGATGGCGTTTCCAATCAGGGCCATGATGAGGAGGGCCATGAAGAATTGGAAGCCTCGGAGGGCGAGAGCTACGATCTTGGCCATTGCGACAGGTGAGATTAGGAGGAGGATGTGGAGAGAAGCTTGTCGCGTGTCCTGTCTTATCTTGAATGGCTAGGAGGCGGCCTGTAGGAGGATAGACGATGAGTGGCGCGTGTTGGGTGAGGAGAGTGAGGTAGTCGATGTCAGGCAGAAGATGGAGGCGCGCACAGGGAGAGGAGGAGTAGATGTAAACGGCAGCAGAGGCCCAGCGCTTGCCTGACGTCACTCGCGGCCGGGAGCCCGGAGCTTGGAGCGCAGAGCGAAAGTCAAAGTGAGTCGACGTCGACGTCTTAGTCCCATCATCTCATCATCCGCCCAAGCTTTGTCTGCTGCTGTGCTGTTGGCTTGTGCGGTGTGCTGTGGCGGCTGGAATCTTATTATTCTTGCGGTTGATGCTCACCTGCACGCGCCAAGATCTCCAGCCGTGGTCTCCTGGGACGACGCATTGTGCATCCGCATTCGCATCGCATCGCATCGCATCGCATGGCGGTCTGACTGTGATATGACTCGGGATCTGCCAAAGACGCCACACTCCATGCCTTGCACCACACGTGGCGCGCGACAACGTAACCATCGACGGTACATGTAGCTCCCTTAGTGTGTTAGTAAAGTAGACAGCGATTGCGTCGGCGGCTCTGCTGGTGATGACGCTGGTGCTAAGGTAGACAAGCACGGCGGGTGGATCTCTGCGTGGTCCGTGGGTGTCGCTCTCACCAGAAGACGTCGTCGACGACGCGTTCTGGATCGCTACACGACACTGCAGTGTGCAGTCATCACGGTACCACTCTTGCCTGTGCAGTCTCCGCGCACCGATGCCTTCCTTGGCAGAAACTTTCTCGCCGCATGCATCAACTGGAATCATCATGGGCATGCATCAATGATTATGTAATCCGCGACACGGTCCAACACCCAAACACCTTGGGGGTTAGCTTACTGTACCTTGGGGTTTCCGGAGTTTTCCATCTCCGACCTTCTCATTCCATTCTCGCTCTCAAGTACCTCTGCAATTCACGAGAAGTAGTAAGTGATCTTCTCGCCCAGAATTGGGTCTTTCCCAAATGGCACGGCTGGTATTCATTGCAGGTCTGATGTTGATTGAGTCCAACGATCGATTGTTCTCAATGGAAATCTGAACAATGACCGAATACGACATTCATTGTCATCTTCATTTCAATAACGCGTGAGTGGTATCTCCTATCAACAATGCTCCGCCTAGTTGCTCTGCATCCCTGCCCTCCCCCAAGCCATGCCAGTGACCGGTTCTGTCGATTCTCTCACCTCTCCTTCCCAAGCGACGGTGAAACTACGTCGCATCCACCAGATGCCTACTCGTCCCTTTTTTCATCTCGCAAATCTCTCAGGCTGTTCTTCACTCCCAAAATGTCGCTCGGCGTCACTCCCCCGAAAGCCTGTCCTGGTCGTGGTGCTCGAGCTGCCCGTTTCTGTCGCTCGCTCTCTGCCGTCAGCTCCCCGAGCGCGCTCGCCGTCAACGGGTGACTCGCTGCACTGCGCACCACCTTGTCATTCGCGCTCACGTGCACGCTCTGCCGCTGCGGCCTCGCAGACGGAGCCTTCAGCTCACGTTTTGTCCAAACCCTCTAGTCATTAGCTTCGGCCAGCTGAATGATCAGTCTACTCGACACGTCCAGGAAGGGGAAGGGACTGGTAATCTCCTTCTCCTCCTGAGTACGTCCCGCTCCCACGAGCTGCTCGCCGCTCTCGTCTTCCTCGAGGTCGTCCGAAGTGTAGCCCTCGGGCGCATTGTCTCGCTTGATGACGTCGCTCTCGTTGCTGCCCGTCACCTCGCGAGCGAAGCGCTTCACGAGTCGCTCGTAGCCGGCGCACTTGAAATCGACGAGGAAGAAGTCCTTCTCAATGGCGTAGAGCTGAATCGTCACATACACCCACACGCTCTCTTCTGGCCTGGCAGCATCCGGATTCGTGCCGGCACTGTACACCGAGCCAGCACGACTGTTGGTTCCTGTCGACGGCGCAGGGCCAGTGGCGGCCACGTTCTCCGAGCTGCCAGCTGCACTCGAGTTGTGGCTAACGGTGTTCGAGCCCGATGACATGTGCACGGAGCTGGGTCTCCGGTCGTTCAGATCGACGCGCGAACTGTGAGCAGATGCCGGGTGAGGCACGCCGGCCGGAAACATGCCTTCCTTTCTGAAGCGAGCGTTGATGACCCAAGGATCCTCCGGAATCGCATAGCCCCAATCGTTCCATTTACCGTGACGCTCCCGGCCTCGGGCCTCCCTCTGCACGTCACGATCGTTCTGACGCTGAGCTCGGCGTCGCTCCTGCTCTTCGTGCGTTGCATACTCTGGATCCGTGCCGGACCCTGGGTCGGAGTCACTGTACTCCGGGCTGTTGCTGCGAGATCTGTCGTCGCGCCTCTCGGGACTACCTTCGCCGCTGGCAGGCGCGCCAGGCTCCTTGAGCTTGGGCGTCTCCCACTGTGCGCCCATCTTCTGGAGAGCTCTATAGATGGCCAGCATGGCTTCCGAAGGCGAGTTACGGCTTCGGATGCCAAACTGCCATTTGGTGGGCTTCGACTTCCTAGAGTGCCTGCCATCAGGAATGCTCGTCATTGGCTCCGGCTTCTCGTGAGGGTGACGGTGTAGGTTTGCGGAGCTCTTGCTGTGCGGCTTGAGGCGGCGTGCCGTGGCGTCTTGTTCTTCCTTCGTCCTCTTCCCTTCTCCCGGCCGGTGCGCATCATCCTCCCCAGCAGCTGGCTCTGACGATTTGTGGACTGTGCCACGCATGAAAGCCGCATGGTAGCCTGGAAGCGATGATGGTAGAATAGCAACGGTGGATGCGGGAGAGCGCGACTCGATGATTGAAGAAGATCCGGTGGAGCCGTGTCGTGGATGGTCCATATTCGCCATGGGTGACATGGGTGGTCGCGGAGAGCCTTTGCCTCGGTTGGATGGCGAGTTCAACATGCTTCCAGCGTGGAATGTTGGCGGTGAGCTGCCAAAGTCTGGCTGCGCCTGCTGCATGCTCGGGTTGGTCTTCATCAACTGATTCTCCCTCACGATCAAATACGCATCCTTGATCGCACTCGGCTCATCCTTCATGAGAGCTTCTTGAACGTCGTTCGGAGCATACCCCATGGTCTTGCCCAGCTTGCCAACTACGCTCTCATGGAGCTTTTCTTGGACAGCAGCGGGCTTGCCCTTGGCCAAAGCATTGGGGTCAAATGCTTTGTTTGGATCCACGCCGGTATCCAGGAAGTCCTCGACCGGCGGTTGAAGGTACGCCGCAAGACCTTCCTGGAACCAAGAATCATTGCGAATCTCCTGGATCGTGATTCTGTTGACCGGGTTCACTTGCAGCATGCGCCTAATGAGATGCACAGCACCCGAGCTCAGGTAGTTCGGAACCGCATAGTTACCTTGAGCAATCTTCTTGAATAGCGCCGGTATGTATTCGTCGTCGAACGGCAGGCGGCCGACCAGTAGCACGTAGAGGATGACACCACAGCTCCAGACATCAACTTCCGGTCCTGCGTAGAGCTTGCCGCTAATAACTTCCGGAGCCGCGTAGTTTGGACTCCCGCAGCTCGTCTTGAGGAAGTTGCCGTCGGTCATGATGTTGCTCAAACCAAAATCGGCAATCTTGACGTTGAGCTGTTCGTCCAAGAGGAGGTTCTCCGGCTTCAAGTCGCGATGCACGATCTTGTGACGATGGCAGTACTCCACAGCACATACTATCTGCTGGAAGAACTTCCTCGCCTTGCCTTCCTGCATCTTGCCGTGTTGGACAATGTAGTCGAACAGCTCGCCGCCGGCATACTCTAGTACCATGATGATATCGTTCGGCGTCGTTATCACCGTATACAGTTTGATGATGTGAGGGTGCCGCAGCAGCTGCAGATACTGGATCTCGCGCTCAATCCGTCCGGCCATGTCTCGTGTTACGAGCTTGCGCCGCGAAATGATCTTGAGGGCGACCTTCTGACCCGTCACGACATGGTTTGCGAGCTTGACCTTTCCGAAGGAGCCTTCTCCCAGTGTTTTGACGATGTTGTATTGATTGAGTCTCGAAGGTAGCGATTTAGGATTCTGGTGTTGCGGTTGGCGGACGATGGGCGTGCCCTGAGGCGGAGCTTGCGGTGGCTGCTCTGCGCGAGTGTCTCTGGAGCCGCGGCGCGGGTCGATGGAAATGGACAGGTCTTCATCGTCGAGAGTGGAGGTCATGATGGCGACCGGGTACTGGCCGGCGGTCCCGGCGCAGTCGCGTGGTCAGTCTCGTTGCGATGGGACTGAGTCGTGGGTATGGGCGTGGAAAGGTGCAAACGTGAGATGGGCGAGGAAATGACTCGAATGCGGCTCGTTGTTTGTCTTGGCTGCGATCTCTAATCCCGGTGAAGAAGCTGTGGCACGTGGTTAGAGATGCGGGCGCGACGATAGGCGATCACAGCGGCGCGAGAGACAGCGGCAGCGGCGTTGGCGTGGGCGGTGGCTGCGATGGAGAGTGGTGGTGGTTGTTCGATGTGAATATGGTAAGATGGTGATGGAGGGGTTCAGAGGGCGGCGTGGAGTGGGAGTGGTCGGGCACTGTCAAAATAGGCTGTGACCCGAGCTGTGCAAGCGCCGCGCGCTAATGACGTAAGGTGAGATCCCTGCCGGCGATAGAGGTGGAGTTGATCTGGGGAACAGACGGCGTGCACATCCGCAGTACATGTAGTTACTAGTCTGCTCCAGTGCCGCTGCCTTCCACGGGCGAACTTGGGAAGAGGAGAGAGCGTCGCGAGGGGTACGGAAGGCACATGAGGTCTGCAGCAGGTGGCCGGCACCTCGCGAAGGGCATGGCGTTCTATTCCCAATCTGGCCGGCACTTGCAGTAAGGTAGTTCGCGGAGCGAGCTTCACATGCGAATCTCAGTTTCAATCTTTCCGTCGGCACGTGAGACCTTGACACTTGCCAGGAGAAGCCTGCCCGCACGCTATCGCCTGTTGCCTTCAGTCCGATTCCGGGCTGCAATTCGAGCACGACATCTCCATCGCTTCGGACCCCTGCGAAGAAGGCGAGGAACACTTCAGGACGGATTCGCTGGCATCTCACATGAAAATGGCATTCATTCACGCCTGCGGCAAAGCCCAAGGTCTGCTGAAGAGACTCGGCTGTGATACTATGGCGAAATCGCCCACCGGACTGCGGACGGACAACTGCGCGCCCGTGTCTATATGTGATCTGACCCGACTGCCCCCTCGCTCGTACCCCTCCGAACTTTTCAGTGAAGCTTGCCGAAACACGGGCCACCGAGCGGTCGTTCAAGTGGGAGAGCACACCGTGTGCTTGGTCTGCTCGCTTGCTTCAGCGTGAGTAGACTGTTTCAGAGCGCCTTCCACAGCATCAATACCCCAAGCAGCTTCATCTTGGCGAGTTACAAGGCGGCACTCGCTGGACAGGTCGTCTCCCTCTTCAATCAGCTCGGTCATAGACAGGCACGAGGTGCAGGTGTCTCTTCGGCCGTGTTCTCCGTGTCGCGGGGAGGGGTCTCCTTGACCGGCTGGGTCTCCTTTGGCCTTGATTTCACGCTGACCAGCATAGCCCTTGCGGCGAAGTTTTGTTAGCGACAGATGTGATGAAGTGAGCACAGTAGCGGGGCTGTACAGCAGCAATGATTCCGAGGAAGCATTCACAATTGGTGGTCACAAATTCATGCAACGGCCATCTCGCAGGACGCTACGCCCGTTTGAGGTCACCGCAGTCCTCGCTGACACCGTGTGGCCGGCTCTGTGGATCTCACGCGCACCAGCACAGCAAGTGTAGAAGAAGAAGGCCGAGCAGACCGGTGAGCAAGCAACGACCCGGGCCGAGCTGGGATCGGAGTCTGTGTATGGGTTGGTTGCTGCAAGCACAAGGTGAGTGCCGTGGATGCACTGTGTACACACTGTGGATGCTTTGTGGGTGTACTGTGGATGCACTGCCCTTCTGGGAAGCCGGTGTCTTCTTGCTCACACCTCAGTGCGCAGCCTCAGTCCGTCAGTTAGTCATACTCAATGCCTTTCCCAGCTTCCTGAGGCTTCGTCTTCGTCTTCCCATTCACCTCCACCGTGAGCGAAATCATTCATCCTTCTGCTCTGCCACGGGACGACTTCGTCAGCACGACTTCCTCGCTGGACGTCGCTGCCGCCAATAAATAGTTAGAAGCCTATCCGCTCACCACCCAGCCCATATTGACAAGCCCCACCAGGCAACGACAATACCATCATTCAGTAAGATATCATCATACGAAGCACCGACCATGGCCATTCCACAGACCTCCGACCCCATTTCGTACATTGTGTACCGCGACATTTCCCCCGGAGAACCATTCGACCCAACGAGCCCTCTTCTCTTCTTCCCACCTAAGGGATCCGACGAGCTATTCGACGCCTTGCGAGTTGCCTTCCCTCAAGTCAAGACCCATTCGGAGCGCTTGCGAGATGCTATCATTCAGTATCTGATCCAAGAGCGTCGACAGGAGGAATTTCAGCTCACGCACCCTTCTCCCGCGACCACAATGAACGACATTCCCGCTGCTTGGCCATCGCTTACTGAATCGTCTACGTTTTCCGGATCTGCGTCCTTGTTCCAGAGTCCAGCGACAATGGACATTGGAACTCCGGCATCCTTCTCATATTCTGCTCAGAACCAGGCGCGAGCCCCACAGATGACTAGACAAGCTTCTGTGGCCACATCTCCCGAACAGAGTTCACCATCTCTGGACCAGATGACTGGCGTCTTCAGTCTTTCGAACTCCTTGCAGCCCAAGCAGAGAGTCCGGAGAAAGATGACTGAGGCGGAAAAGGCTGAGTACCGGAAGCGACGAATTGTGAAGGCCTGCAGCAAGTGCGCGGAGAGGAAGCGAAAGTGCCCTCACAACCAGGCGCAGATGGAGACCGTAACTACATCGAACAAGTCGAGCTCGCGCGTCAGCAAGTCCACGTCGCCCAAGTCTTCGTCCAACTCTTCCAATTCGACCACCCCTCCCGCAGCTCAACAGCAGCCATCTTTCGACGCATCTATGCTCTCCGTCGACAATCTCGACTTTGATGATTTCGGAACTGCCTTCATCCCCACTCAGGACTTCACCATGTTTGAAGATCCGATGGCGGACTTGGACGTGAACAACTTTACCTTCGACAGCTTTACCCACGGCAACGACCTTTTCACGCCGGACGTCTCACCGCTTCAACAGACGTGGCCTCTTGATGGCCAGACAGGAGACTCAGCACTGCTTAGTAGTCTACCTGATAATGTCGCTTTCAACCAATACCATTCCCGACAAGCGAGCGGCCAGCACGTGCCTAGACAAGATACCAGGTTCGAAGACTTTGCTACCGCAGCAAACACGCTACAGACGTGGGAGAGTCACTTTACTGGAGAGAGCTTCCTTCCCAACGGCCGCGACATAGACGGTGATGACGGGGTACTACGAGGACGTTACCTACAACCCGGACTACACGATGGGCACGCGGCCCATGTACACGACGTGGAAAGCAGAGGCTTGAACGTACTAGATCCGAGCTGGAGTAGGCCACAAGAGCCGATGAGACAGCCTTCACTGCCTCAAACAGTCCTGAGGTTGATAGGCACGCAGAAAGCGCTGAGCGCATTCTTGCGCCTTCTCGGTGACCGATCATCGATGACGAGCATATCAATCGAGATTGATAGGTCTGCAAACACTCTGAGATCTCGAAAGGCGTGGCTACCAGTGCCGTCAGGCTCCAGCCGCCTGCCACCACGGGACCCACGAGACTCTCGCATAACAACGAATGCCCCGCAGCCGGTAGTATATGAACATGGGACGTACGATCAGCGCAGTAGTACGCCTCGACTACCGGATTCTGGCAGGCTAGAAGAAAACCCTGGAGGCGTCCGCGCTCGTGCACGCCCTGAACTACGCCCCACATCTACCTCCGTGTCGGCACCACAAGGATCGCTGCAGCAATCTATAGCTCCCGAAGGCTGGCCCACTTCGTCGACAGCACCTGCCGAAGAACTTCGCAATGTCCCATCGTCGTCCTTGCGACAACAGGGACGCACTCAAACGGCGATACAACACCGCCATCCGGACCCGTCACTTGGCGAAGGCATACCAGAGCACGTCAATCCTTCCGTCGAGCTATACATGGCTCGTAAGCGGATCTCCATTGGCTTAGCGACGAACTCGCGCCGCAACATCAATGGCCAAATGCCTCGCGTCAGCACGATGTCTGAGGTCTCCATCTCCGCTCCGGATCATACAGCCAGCAGCAGAAGCATATCCTCCACATCTTCGACTGTCAACGGCGGTGCGTACCCGCGGCAGGTCGAAGGAATTGCTCGAACAGCTGCTATCTCCGGCGCCATCTCGACGGCTACTATGCGCTTTGAAGGCCCGTCGAACGACAACACATCCAGCGTCGCCGTGCGAAACTGCTCCACCGCCCGGAATGGCGTCCACGACGGCCGAACATCGAATGCGAACAACGACATACATGGCCGCCACTCAGAAGCCGAAATCCAGCAGCCTGGACGCAAGCGTGACACGAACCGCTTCAAAGACCACCATGGCAGAGATCCCAGCTGGGAACTGCTTGTTGGACTCGTCATCGCACTACTTCTGTCAGTGGTTTGGTGCGGTGCCGTCACGCATTCTTCCATGTACTTGCTCGCGCTCTCTGCCCTCTGTGCTGAGGGTAGCGTGCAGGAACAGGACGGCGACGGCCTTGAGGCTGTGCAGTGCACGGGAAAGAACAGTTGGTGGTTGACTGCCTACCCTTTCGCTTTTGCTAGAGGTTTAGCAGCAAAGAAGACTGGAATCGGCAAAGCCGCAGATTGGTCGATGTATCCTCATGGTGTTTCGCCTTTGCTGCGTTCCTCCGTTTGAGCTCGCTCGGCTGAGCTCGAGCGGCGACTGAAGTAGCTGCCTTCGTTTTCCAGATGTTGCCGGTGCTGCGGTTCAGCGATCTCCTTGATGTCAAGAACTTACGATTTTCCTACGGCGTTCCTTCAAGACACCCATTGGTGTATGAGAACAGGAATCAGGTGTGGTAACAGAGCAGATCGTTGAGACTTGGTAATGAAATAGAAAAGTTCTCCATTGATTTCTCTCGCCCATCATCTATGTCATGTCCATGCGGTCTCGCCATCTCATGCAAATTGGTAATAGTCTATGCAAGCGCTCTCTCTACACGATCCCTCAACTCGTTGTGTCCAACACTTCCACTCTTCAAAATCACCACTCCCTGCACCTTTCCGCTCTGCACTATTTTCACAAATCCTGGTGCGACCTCGTTGCTCATCACATCCAGACAGTTTAGGACCTCGTCCTTGCTGATCGGATTCCGCAGGCTCTGCTGTAGCTGCTGCACAATGGCTGGCATGCTCATGCTGTGTCTCCCTCTTGCGCCGACGAGGAGTGACAGTACCCGGCCTACATCCTCGACGCGGTGAAGCGCGGCTTTGCGTTCGAGCTGCTCCTGCGTTGGACCAGCTGGGAGCGTAGAGGCGAGTGTCTGCTTCGCGAGAATGCGGTCGAGAAGTGCGGAGCCGCGAGTTTGAGTCGAGGCTGAGGATGCTGCCGGTGACGATGCTTTGGAGGACTCGTTCTTGGCTGTGGCCTGGGCTCCTTTGAGATCCGCTAATCGTTGTTGTCCTCGTGCGAAGAGGGGAGCGGTCTTCTCTACTACTGCATTCTTGACGATCTCTGCCAGAGGAAGCTGGGAGACGAAAACAGATGCAGTGCGATTGCGCTTTGCTTCCGATTGCCAGCCACGCCAGGCTTTGAGCAGTTCTTCTTCAAATTCTTCATTCATCTTCTCCTCTTGCATGTAGCTCGTTGCTCGTTTCTGTGGAGGTAGCTTCCGGACAAGGCAGATTCCCGCCCGGCCAAAATCTTGCAGTAAGAACTTCTGTGCGGTGGGCTGGGCGAAGGCCAGAAGACGCTGGATGTCTTGAAGCTTTACGGCACGCTTCTTCCAGGATTTCGTGACTATCGGTAGGAATACATTGATGTCGACGGGAGAAGATGTGCCATTGTGTGCGTAGTAGATGGCGAGCGAGGTCAAGAATGATGCATACAAGCCCTGCAGGTCTTTGAGCTCGGACGGTAGGGTGAGATTGATCTTGTCTTTGGCCTTTGGCGGTGTATTCGGAGGAGTGTCGAGAGCTGGTTCCCGACTCGAGAGCGCACAGGGGATAGCGGCGGTTTTCGAGCCAATCCTGAGTCTGTCGAAAAGAGTGGCAGCGGCACGGGAGGGTGTCTCTGCTGGAGAGGGCGGGATGACATCCTTTACACGTTTATGACGAGGAGTAGAAGGAGCGACCTTTTGCTCGACATGCTTCTTCAGCTGAGGCTGAGCCGGCGCGACGACAATCTCATCGTCTGTGTCTTCGTCTATCTCTCGCTTCCGTTTTTCCTCTGATTTGTGCGCAGGCTTCGCGGCGGCTGCAGGAGCCTGGACCGACTCGCGTAGAGGATCTCGCTTCTCCTTGTTTTCATCTGATGTAGTTGCGCCCTGCTTCTTGACCGTGCCAAAGGCATTAATGCTCCTCTGCGTCTTGGCCGACTTTGTTTGTTTACCGCCTTGTTGATCTTCAATGGCAGCGGCCTTGCGCTTTCTTGCGGCGGGCATGTTGGGAAATTGAGTTATGTCGAGCTGTATGATGGAGCGTATTGTATAGATCGAGAGGGATACTTGTCAGCGGTGTTGATGTGGGACGTTGGTATGATGTTTGTGAAGCAGGAAGTTCTGAAAGAGAGTTGGCTGGGCGAAACGCGAGTCGCGAAACTAGCGCGTCGCGCCTAATCTGGCTTGGCCCCACTCGCTCACGACTTCCTTCCAGGTTGAGGTAAGTTCCCTCCCTCGTCCTATAAAGCATCAGGTGCTTTAAGTCGATATCCCGCGGATGCCGATACCTGCCAGCAAACTCGCACCGGCTGCTACCTACGAAAGGGGCTCATTGTCCGACCGCACACTGGGCGCCGCCTGCTACCGATCATGTCACTGAATAGTACTAGAGGTTGTGATGATCCAGTCAATTCGTCTGGCTGTGTCGTATTCTAACTGCCGAACACCAGAAATGTCTTGCGGTCCGGAACTACCACAGCCGTCTCGCTTCCCAGTCATCTGACCGCTGCGCATTGCGACCGTGCCTGAGCTCGCACTGGCAGATGACCAGGATTAGGAGCAAGCAAAGCATGTCGACGCTGTCTTTTCTGGATATCCGAATGACTCCGCGTGCAAGCTGTGCCTAGGAAGCCAGAATCGGTGCTAAGCGCCACTTCTCCGGATGCCATCACGGGGCGCCTCGAGCGTTGTTGAAAATGCGACCTGGTCCCCATATCGATTGTAATAATGAAGCGCAGGCAAGACAGCGCCTTCGGTAGATCATCAGTACAAGCAACACGAGATGCCCGACCATCCCATCCCTCGACCCAGCCATTCTTCCAAGCGGTATACTTTCCTTTCTCTCGACAGCAGTAATGCGCCTACAACGGACCGGCCAGAGAATCTCGACGAAAAGGATTCCTCGACGGAGAATGACGCGGACCATATTGAGGTGCAGAGATCCTCGTTGTCACCGATCGAGTATCCAAGAGAACTGGACATTGACCTGGAAACGAGAGGTGAACGTGAGGGATATATACTGGATGTCAACGTCTTGAAGCAAGTGACTCCGAAATGGGAGGACTATCAACTCGCACAAGATGGAAAGACTGTGCTCATACCCCAGCCGAGCTTGGATCCAACTGACCCTCTCAACTGGAGCTGGTGGAAGAAACATACTGTGCTCCTTCTCATCGCCTGGGCGGCCTTCTTACCCGATTATGGCAGTGCTACCGGAGCTGTGACCCTCATTCCTCAAGCAAAGTAGGTTTCCAGGACACTGCAGAGTTCCCTGTACTTACATACTGCGATGTAGGGTTTGGGGCATTACGCCGGATAAGGTCAACCACTCGCAGGCGGGTAATGTCTTCATGCTGGGTGCGGCAGGTCCAATTGTTGTTGCACTGTCAGCCTACTTTGGTCGTTTGCCTGTTCTCTTCTGGTTCATATTCCACTCGATTTGGACTGCTGCCGGATGCGCTGGAGCAAAGACTTTCAACACCTTCTTTACCTTCCGTGTCCTGAACGGCTTCTTCTCAACTGTTGCTCAAGGCGGGGGTGTAATGTTCATAAAAGACGTGAGCATGCGCATGCGCTGGCGATGGCCCCAATTAAAGTGTCTCTGCTTACCGACTTGGGCCTACAGATGTTTTACGTGCACGAACGTGCGCGAAAGATCAATGTTTGGGCCACCTTCTTCATTCTCTCACCGGTAAGCTTTCCAACATCCTGCATTCGTAGCGAGATTCCACTGACCGAAACCAAGTATTTTGGACCGCTGATAGCGGCTTTTATCATCACAACTCAGAATTGGGACGTAGCATTTTGGGTATTCACTGCCATGGTCGGTCTCTGTTTCATCCTCATCATCCTCTTCGGCGACGAGACTTTCTACAACAGGAAGGTGCCTCCCGAGCAACGTCCTGGACGAGCACCTGGTGTAGGCGGGCGGATCTCGCGACTCATTGGAATTGAGCAATGGCGTTCTCGCAGACAATGGAGCTCCTTCAAGCAGGCGTGTATGAGGCCCGTCATTGTCCTTCTGAAGCCGACGGTCTTCCTGTCCTGCACATTCTACCTCTTCACCTTTGCGTGGGCAGTGGGGATCAACACCACCCTGACGATATTTGTCACTCCCCTATACGACTTTGGACCGAAGCAGATTGGATATTTCTATTTCACCCCGGTCGTCGCTGCATGCTTGGGAGAGATGGTTGGGTATGGCCTTCACGATCAGCTTGCGCGATTCTTGACACGGCGCAACCCGGAGCACAAGCTGGAGCCTGAATACCGGTTGATGGCTATCTCCTTTAGTACGCCATTCGCTGTCACTGGGCTTGTAGTAGTGGGCTTCGCGCTTGAAAATGCGTGGCATTACATGGTGACGGCTGTCGGCTGGGGTTTATATGTCTTCGTGAGTCTTCTCTGGATGCATTCTCACATGGATGATTGCAAGAGCTGATGCGGATCCAGGGCATGATGGTGACATCGGTGGCTCTCACCTCGTACAACTTGGACTGCTATCCCGAAGGTGCCGGGGAGACCGGTGCCTGGCTGAACTTTGCCCGAACGACTGGCGGCTTCATCGTATCCTACTTTCAAGTCGACTGGGCGAAGGCTCAAGGCACCAAGAAGAGCTTCAGCATCCAGGCCGGCATCTGTGCGGCGGCGTATTTTGTCGTTGTGTATCTCCAGATATACGGCAAGAGGCTGAGAGAGCGTGCTGGCCCTCTACAGTTCAAGACTGACTGAGTCGATGATTAGTGTTGGGATGTGTGTCTCTATGAACATGACTCCGGGAACTGTAGGCGTTTGGATGAATCATGTGCAGGGCAGAATGATGGTTAAATCCATTACGGCGGCAGTGGAACGTCAGATAAGCCTGAGTCGAAACAAATCAAGCATCGCAAACGGACCACGCTGTCGGTACCGGCTTCCCTTCGACGCGCTGCCCTGCCATTATTGCAACATTTCTCGCACCTCGACTTCCCTAATAAATTTTTGGACACGGCATCGTCATCTGACGGACTTGCAATGCATGCAGATGGATCTTCTCCCGCATCTCGGGTCACATCTGCGGCTCATTATTAGATGATGAGGGACATGCGCAATATCCGCGCCTTTCCCGGAACCCTTTACACCTTGCAGCCAGCAGGCCCAGCCTTCTGACTTGCCCGCCGGCCAATCCTGCCTCTCGCTGCTGCACGTTGACGAAGATAACGACGCTTGAAACGGGATGAAATTCATTAAGCAAGCGCCCCGTGTGGCTGGGAATAGAAGTGCGGCTTGCAGATTTTGATGCGATATGGTAAAGTTGCTTACATACAATCAGTCTAACGGCTGCTGGCGCTGCTTTTTATTCTACCGTGTGACGAGCCACATCGTTCCCCTGCTTGCTTTGATCTTCCTTCCTTGTCCGCCTCGAAAAGCGCTACCGTATATCTCGACCAACGCCACGCCGCTCTTCCTCCTCGACGTTTTTTCTGTTCCTTCCTCTCGACCTTGGCCACCAATTGAGCGATTCACGAAGCTTGGTTATCACACGACATGGCGGGCTTCATCAGCTAGCGCGACGTCTCACGCGCTGCTTCGCGTCTCGGTAATCATCCAAACCGCGTCTGGACCTGGATCTTGCGAGGCGGATTATTGTTCTTGACCGAGGCTGCATCGACGACATGGCGGCTCACTTCGCGTGGCTGCAGTGTCCATCTGGAGAGCACGATGCGAGAGACTCTGCACATCCCAAGCAGCGCAGCAGGCCTCTCCCATTGCGCATGCGCACCTACAGCGTCACCGGACTCTGGAGCCCGGGATTCGACGAGAAGCGCGACGGAGTGCACGCAAGGAACAAATCGCTATCGGTCGCTCACGATGTATCTGACTTCAGCCCTACCGGCTTGGGGAGGATTTCCGACGACGAAGACGGCCATGTCTCTTCCGACGACGACGACGAGGAAGATACGGGAAGGACGTCGCTCGAGGAGACTTCCGTCTCGAATTTCGCCGACATCTCGGGAATGTCGCTGTCACCGGACACGCCACTTACGAGTATTGCCAGCGAAAGAAGCTCACTCGATTGCGACGACGGGCCTAACGTGCTGGCCTACGACTTTAGTCGGATCGACTATGAGTTGGAAAGAGCCAAAGTGTTGGGCACCGGTCTCTGGTCTACGGTCTACCTCGCCGAGCAGAAACGTACTCAAGCCCCTCGATTGTCCGCCTCTCTATCGCCGAAGAAGTCTCCTCGCTGGTCTCGAAAGTCGAGAAGCTCTTCTGCCCCGACGCTCTTCGCCGTCAAAGTCCCCTCTCGGCAGGACGCCAAGGAAATCTTCGACCAAGAAGCTCGCGTGCTGACCCATCTACTGAGACGCCCAACAGCGACCCAACACATTGTGTCCTTCTACGGACTGGACCCACGCAATGGCGCTCTGGTCTCCGAAGCAGTGATAGGAGGCTCTCTTGAGAACCTCAACGGGCGTCTCAAAGTCATGACAGAAGTCGCGCGCCATCTCGAACTCGTCAACATCTTCCCGGGGATTGCCTACGATCTGATCAGCGGTCTCACCTTCCTTCACCACGAGGGAGTCGTGCATGCGGACATCAAGCCGGGCAATGTACTGCTGGACGTCTCGGAGCATGCTACGCAGCAACAACCGGTGATTCGGGCGAGGTTCATCGACTTCTCGGCTGCTTTCATTCCCAGCAGAGGCGATTCGGCATCTAATGCCGGAGGCACGTGGGATTACATGGCCCCGGAGCAGATGCGGATTCAGAAGGATCTGAGTACGCCGACTTTCGCGTCGGATGTCTGGAGCTTGGGGATATCACTGCTGTACATTCTGGTCGGTGACTCGCCGTACTCGGCTGCATGCGCAGGGAATGTCTTCATGCTGAGGGAAGCAATCAAGACGGGTGACCCGTTGCAGTTTGCCAGGATGGATCCCGTCGCGAGGAAGAGACTTGCGGCGTGTCAAGATTTTGTTGATATCTGTCGACAGGCCTTGAAGAAGGATCGCGAGATCAGGACGAGCGCGAGCGCATGGCTGGCCTTTCTGGAAGACTTTGGCGCTTGAGGGAGTGATGGAACGGGTGAGCGCATGGTGCAGTATCTGCTGCCGTCTGATGAGACCTCGGGCCGCTCTATATTGATACCCATACTTGCAATTTGACTGTACTTCTCGGTTAGCCAAGCTGTACGAGAATGTTGGACGTATTTGTGTGCTCATTTCTCCCATGTGTGTGTGTGCCAGATCTCGCGCTACCTAGATCGATGCCGTGGAGCTGGCCGAAGCAATGCTGTCCGTGCTCTTGGTCGCGCCAGAGAGATCCTTCTTGCCCACCACAACACGCGAACACCATGAACACCAACTACGATTGGCACCGCCTTGCTCTCTCGACAAGAACTTCTCTTGCTCCCTCTCATCCTCGTACTCCTTGACGATTGCCCCTACTGGCATTCTCTTCTTGACTTTCGTCTTGACCTTGCCCCCTATCCCGACGATCTCCTGCGTGCTGTAGCTGCTGCCATTCCAGTGGCGGCCTTGCACTTCCGCCTTGGCCGTCTCGGCGTGGAGAGCGGCCAACTCGGCAAAATCGCACTCTACATCCTTCTCCACCATCCTCGCCGCGAGACAATCTCTCGTCCGGCCGCATTCGACTCCCTCGTTGCCTTCACCCAACCCGGCCCCTATGCCTCCACAGTGAGAGTAGCGCGTTCGCCACTTCCATCCACGCACATACGTGGTATCGTCAGTTCGCATCGTCAGCCCACAAGGCTGGCAGATCCAGACTGCTTCTGGGCAAGTACACGGCGATCTTGCATACGTACGTTGCTGTTGGTCTTCAACGTCGCCGCTGATGTTGCTGCTCCCGGCGCTGCAGCAGAAGGTCAAAACTACGTCGGCACGCTCTCATGCTCGGGCATACTCGCCTCGTGGACCTCCCGTCTTCTCCCACGATTCGGGTGATGGTCGTTAGCTTGTCGAGCGGCGATTTCATGCAGGCTCTGCAGAGTCGGCGGTGCCGCAGGTCTATGAGCTTGGAGGGTGGCGGTTTGATGACGCAGTTCTAGAGGGTGAGAAGAAGAATGTGTGAGTTTCGCTGAAGGGAACGATGGCAAGAATGAGGGACGGGCAGTGCAAGCTTCTTTCTCGTATGAGTGTGATGACTAGAGGGTGGTGGTAGTGGTAATGGGTTGATTCGGCATACTCTGCAGATGATCTTGGAACAGCTTCGACATTCGCCGACCATGTCCATGGCGCAGGCGCCGAGTTTGCCGCCGGTGATGCGTCCCACGTTGACGCCGTTCTGACCGTATGCCGTCCAGACCTGGTGGCTCGCGTGCAGGGCATTGCCCAGCCGCTTGGCGGGATCCGCACTCTCGTTCTCACAGCGGAGGGCTCGGGACATGAGCAGCTGTCGGTGATGCAGAAGGTTCGCTCGGACCTGATGGCATGTTCGCGATAGTTCGAACAGCGAGGTGAGGTCGAGATAGCGCGCGAGAACGGATACGATGCTGGTGGGTCTGTCAGGCAGGACTTGGGGAAAGAGGGCGGGGCTTGGTGGTGCGGTGCCATGCAGTGCCTTTCACGGATGGGCGCGTCGAGGGAAGCGGGCATCTTTCAGCGATGCGCCGCGTACTTACGGATAGATGGACAGTGCAGCAGAGAATTGATTCATGTTGGGGTTCGGTCTGCGGTCACTGCCTGCCAGTGTCGCCGAGGGGGAGGCATGGCGGCAGGCCTGATAGGCGGCAGGACCAGCCTCGCGCTCCCCAACTTGGTCGAGGTTGAGCAGTCGTACCATGACGCCTCCAGGACGCCGATGCGCTCATTGAATGGAAGAGAGGACGGGAGGGATTGTGGGAGGGAGGGAGGGAGTTGAGAGTGCATGAAGCTGTGGGTGGGCAGCATGTGGATGTACTCAGGTACGTACAGACAGTATTACGCCACCATGAAGTGGGATATGTACGCTGAAAAGAAAGTCCTGAGACCGGGGAAACAACCGAACCGGCAGGCGCACGACGAGCAACAACGAGCGTACGATGCTTTGTTGGAAATGTACGCACCGCACGCACGCATTGAATCGCGTCGACCTCGCCGGAGCTGCAAGCGATGCTATATCTTCATGAAGAGCCACTGCCATCCAGAGACTACCTACTGCTCGAGCGCCATTTGCAAGATGGCGATGGATGTTCTAGAACAAAAAATATAAAGGTGGGTGGGAGCATCCTCCGTTCAGCGTGTCCAATCAAGGCGCGGACTGCTGGTGAGAGAGGCAATCATCCGCCCGGATGTTCCCCTCGGAATGACGAAGCGTGAACCAGACGGCCGGGTGGGGGTGGGGCATACACGTGCCCAGGTGCAGGGCTCGCCAGACTAAATTTGGACCACCTCCTCGCTCCTTCTCCACCACGCCCCACGCGGCGATGATGGTTATTCTTGTTACCGTACAGTACATCCATTGTTATTCTTAGCCCCTCACGTTCCACTGCTGCGCCGACGGGGTCCATCTGCCCGGTCTGACCCGCATCCGCATCCGCATCGTGGGCGTGGGCTGCTTGACGACGACATGCAGACGAGACGATGCAGTGGAAGCAGCGAGCGTGGTGCGACGGAAGAGACAGACAGTGAGGTGGTGTCCCGGCGTCAGCTAAGCGCTCTGTCTTCGCGTGCCTGCATATGTTATGTGTACGATACGACGGGACCGTCCACTGCGTACCACCGTCCACTACGTACTGCCTGCCACATGCTGTGCTGGACATTCATTCATGAGACTGGACGGAGGGCTATGGCACCGGAATGGAATGGAATTGCATCGGTGCCGGCGCAAAGCAGTACTGGTGTGGTGCAGCTGGCCAATCCTTCCCGCCCGCTAGAGTACGAGCCTCCCTCCCCCCTCCCCTTCTTCCCTCCCGCATCTTCGCCGACGCATCTGCTGAGCTGCCGACGCATCTGCTGAGCTGCTGTGAGGGAGTGTCAAGCTCGCTCACCACCTCACACTTGGCGTCCGACACTCACCACTGCGCGCGCTCCGCCTCGCCCATCTATAATCATCTCTCTCTACCCATACCTACCATGAATGCTGATGCTGCTGATGCTGCTGCTGATGATGATGACTGCAGTCCACCGTGATTCTTCCCCTTGCCTCGCTAGTCTGCGCTGTTGGAGCCGGCTTCCTCTTCCTTCTATCCACCCATTCCATTCCATTCCCTCTCCCACTCCCCCCTTCGGCTGCCGCACCTGGTTTCTATCTTCTCCTTCCAACCTGCATACCGCATCTCCTCTCCGCTCCCATCTGTTGCTCCGACTGCGCCTGCCTCGATGCTCCTCAATCCTTCCCTTCTCTGCACACACTCCACTCCTCTTGGCCCTCCCGCGCCACTCCAAAAACGTCACCCCGTCCAACGCCAGTCTGCCCTCCTGAATGCTTGACCCTTTGCGCTCGAGGCGGAGTCGGTCTGCTGTTTCTTCTCTATTGATCCCTCTTCCACCTTGATATATCCGACCTCGCCACCATGCAAGACGCCCCCGGTCCCACTCGTCACTCATCCTCGACACAGGAACAGGATATCGCTGCTCAGGGCGCGGAGCGATCTTCCTATACGACCGAAAGCACCGAAGCAGGTCCGAGTGATGCGCCTCCAGGGTCTGGAAATCCAACACCAGTGAACCCATCCGTCGGCCAAAGCGGCTCTATCCGCGAGACCACCGAGATGTATCGATCCTCGACACCTCCAGAGCCATCCAGCTCGGGCTCCATCAAATACACTCGCACTGGCCGTGTCAGTAAGGCGACAAAAGGGCAGCGAGTGCACCATTGCGTAAGTGCAGCGGATGTGCTTCTCACGTCGAGGAACACGCTTACACCTTTCGTTTGCTTACAGGACGAGTGTGGAAAGGTAAGCTCGTACCATGTCCCACCGGTCGCGGTCAAAGCCGTCCTGCGGGATTCGACACCACCAGCATGAGATTTGGACAAGATATGCTGGCTCGCAAGTGCTGACGTCGGACAGACCTACACGCGCGCGGAACACCTGAGGTATGATTACACATCATATCTCTGCCACGCATCCACAAGGGATGACGACTGACGTCTCTCGCAGACGACACCAACAGAATCACAAGCCGGGCGCCTTTCCTTGTGACGTTGCTGGTTGCAATCGCTCGTTCCATCGCGAGGACCTGCTCGTCAGACACAAGGCTCGCCAGTAGGTTCCTTTTACACAATTGCTCACGCGCCGTACCTGACAGCTGAAAGCAACGATCCAAACAATTCACCAAGTCGACGGCAATCTATTGGCAGCCTGTATTCTGTTCCAGAGGGTGGAAGTGCGGCTCCAGATCCTGCGCCAGACATCAGCCTGGCATCCGCCACGGAATCCGCCGTCGAATCTGCGCCGCTCAACGAACCCTCCACTCGCGATGCACGACAGTCCAACGAACCTTCCAGGTACCAGCTTCTTTCCACAATGTCTCCTTCTTCTCTCTCTTTCTTTCAGTTCTTCAATCAGCTTTCCTTGTGAGTTTGACAGAGAGACCGAGCTCCGTCGCACGAGCGCCCTTTCGTATTGCTTATATCTCATCTCACCTCTCCCTTCTCGATGCCAGGCTCGTCCATGACTGGAACAGTTTGCAGCTGACTCAAGTGCCGCAGAGCCCCCAAACGACTTCCAATCCCTCACCACGAATTGGGGTTGCTCTCGGGCGGCGGTATTCCGATCTCGGTCGAGGATGGACTTGTTCCCTTGACCAACCCCTGGGATCGGATTTCTCTATCACCGGACTCCTCCGATGACTTCTCCGTGCTTCCCTGCCAACCTCATTCGTCTCGCGCAAGATGCCCATCCGACGCCTCCCTCCTAGGATACAGTCAGCTGCACAGTGCTTCCCGCTCACCCGTTTTAGCTGGGTCTGCTGCCATATACCCCTCGCAATGGCCGTCGCAGATGAGTCTTGGTCCGAACTTGAACACTTGCATATACAATAACCCGAACGTTTTTCCTTGCGCGAATTGTCAGAGCATAAATGTCATGTCTTACGACACTTCAGGTGCATTGTTTGCTGCCGCTCGGGACTGCATGGAGAGAGCCGACTTGGACTTACCAGGCACAGCCTCTCTGCGATCTTCCTCCAGCCATGGGTTCGAATTCCTGAATGTTCCGGATCACTCTCTTTACCTGGACTCCTACTGGAGTAGGGTGCATGAATTATATCCCGTTGTCCATCGGCCAACCTTCAACCCTGAGAGCACTTCACCCCTTCTGCGTGCGGCAATGATCGCTCTAGGCGGACAGGCACTGGGCGACAGAACTGCTCTTTCCAACGCACGCGTGCTTCACGAGAAGTGTGTGAAGGTTCTGAAGAAGGTGCGTTTCCCAAGCCCCATGTCCGATTGGGAACGAAGAAGCATAGTCAAAGTGCAACAAACCACAAAGAAGCCTTCATTCACATTCCCACCGGGTGCTTGGCCTCAACCTGAAGCTTACAAATTGCAGCGCACAATCAACAACAACCACACGTACCGCGTGTGCGACATGCAGGCTATCCTCCTCATCGAAGTCTATTCCGTCTTCAAGTCGCGCCGCCCGCCCCTTCAATTCTCCGATCAGTTTGAGCACACATACCGGACGCTATCCCGCGACTACAACACCGTCCTACGGGCATCATCAGAACCACCATCAGAAGACAGCTTTCCGGATTCGGCCTTCGAATCTGGTTTGCCGACGATTAACGCCTTATGCAGGCAACGCCTCTTGCTTGCATGTTATCTGGTTGAGCAACAGTCGAACGCTTTGTTTGGTCGATCTTCTGCTATTAACTATGGGAAAGTCAGCGAGTACTTGCCATTTCCGAGCCCTCAGATCAGCTGGGACACGCCTCTTGGACTCGAGCCCGATGAGGCAGACACTTATCCCTTTGATCAATTAAGGGACGCCCTGGGATCGGTACAATACGTCTCCAGCACACCGCAGGAACGCTGTGATGCGTTCAGGTCTTCGCTGATGATCGCCAGCTGTTCGGATCTGGCCAGTGATGGGTTCGATGGCGCTGATGATTACCAGCTTCTCCTGTCAACTGAAAATTCGTCCCGAATGAGGCTTGCCCACCACACCTCCTTGCTATGCAGGAATGCGCCTGTGAGGGATCTGCTTGCGGTGGCTGGAGAGAGCTGGATCATGGCCGAGAAACTAGGGACACAGTCGGAATTCAGTACAGCGCAGATTGAGGTGCGACAATGGGCTTCTGGAAGTTCCTCTCCCCATGGCCATTCAATTCAGCGAGCCGTGGACCATGCTTTGAGTATCCTGGCTATCCATCAAGAGGTACCTCGGACCGGGCTGCTTTACCAAGAGTGGGCCCTATATCTGGCCACCGTTGTGATCTGGGCAAGAGCATATGTTTCACATGGCGAGGCTCGAGTTGCTGGTCCTAGCTTGTCCGTGGCGGCTCTGGAATCGAGTATCTCGTCCATAATTTCTGCAGGCCCCGTTGCCGCAAGCGAATGGCCTGCAGCGTACAACGTCCTTCTCTGGACGAAGGCCAAGATCGAACAGGCTGATGTACCACACAATTGTGGACTTTGCAGCGGGGCGTTGGATGTACTTGGCAAGCTCGTGGCTAGAGGAGGTGACAACGGATGGGCTTAGACACGCTTTGCGTGAGAAGTTGGTTGAATAAGTGCTTTACGTTAGATTACATTCGGCTGTGGCAGGTACTGTGGGAACGTCTTCTTGATATCAGCGTGGCATCTGCATGTTATATCCATAAGTACGTCGTCGACAATGTCATATCATCTCGCTACCTGTGCTGTCCAGGCGACTGTTTTCGAAGCCGATGCATGTGATTAAGAAAGGGCCATTCACCCACGTTACGTTAAAGCGCGTGGCGTACGAAGCATGGAAGGTTGTGGAAGATGACGTCGGGAAGACCCTTGTCGCCTTCCCCCCAACTTATCACCGCGCGCCATTTTGGTCACCGTGAGAGTGATTCATTTCGCCGGGTGCCGAACCGAAAACACCACACCAACTCTTCACACGCGACCAACTTCTCGAGGCAAACATCAACCACACAAACATCCCCTATCCCTTCTCCAACCAAACACTCTACCGCCAAAAGACTCCCAATCTCTTTGGTACCCCACCAACCACAACAGTACCCCACTTCAGCAGCCTCACAACCGACAGACACGATGAGTGACGACTGGAGCGCGGTGACCAAGATTGGCAGCAAGGTCCGCGGACCCGGCACTGCGCAGCGCGAGACGACCATCAAGGGTAAGAGCGCATTGAACGCGGCCCAGCGAAGCGGCGCCGTCATCAACACGGAGAAGAAGTTCTCGACCGCCAACGTAAGCATCACCTACCTGTCATCGGCAACAAGAGCCATATAGGATGGATGGGGAGACTGACATGTTGATCAATATCTGCATCAGGCCGGCTCCAACCCCGAAGGCCAACGCCTCACCAAGGTCGACCGCGCCGACGGCCCCGTTGCCACGAAGAAGGTGCCCGAAGAAGTCTCCAAGGCCCTGTCCCAGGCGCGCAACAAGCTCAAGAACCAAAAGGGCGCCACCATGACACAGAAGGACCTCGCGGCCAAGGCGAATGTCGATGTGGCGGCCGTGGCGGCTCTGGAGCGGACAGGCGCGGATTTCCCCAGCATGGATGTCGTGCTGAAGCTGGAGAAGGCGGCCAACGTGCGGCTGACGGGAGCCAACATCGGAGAGCCCAAGCTGGGACCCAAGAAGAAGGCTGGGGACAGCAAGTAGGCGAAGACGAGAGACGGTGAAAGGTTTGAGACAAGATGGGTGGTGGCATTCCTTCTCGATGCACTCGTCCCGGGTCCCAGGGCTTGAGATACTGCTTGCTGAAGCACACGAGTACATCATGCTCTCACGACTACACGGCTCGTTTTCTCGGAGTACACGGACATGAGACGATATTGTTTATTGATCAACGATTAGCGACGGGCGATTTAAGCTCGGCAAGGCATACAAGTCTGCGAATGCATGGCTACAGGTTCTGCAGTGGCTACAACACAACACTTGCCCCATGTACAATCTCGGCATCCAGATCAAGTATGCAGAGGATGAATGACATCTGTGTAGAGGTCATGTGACGTGCCGTTCCTCCGCGATGAAAAAGACATGTATCCTGGAAACGCTATCTGCATATTGGGGGTATCTGTAATCTGTATCTCACAGCCCAGCAATCAACTCCGTGGTCTAATTCCCATGCTCCCTCCACCACAAGACTGTGCAGGCCCGAAACTTGACGCCCAAACGTCAAACTTCGTGCCAGCGGAACGCTCAAACAACAAATGTCACTTGCGAAATACCGTAATGCGTCTGTAGTCCTCCCAGTGCAAAGTCTCTGGCAAAACAATCCTGATCAGACGTGCCTTCCTCGCTTGCCCCCTCTTCCACTGCCGTTGTTTCCTCCTCCTCCATCCTTGCGATCTCCGCCTTCATTGACGCCCGAGATATCGAAGAAGTCCTGGTATGGCAGCTTTCGCTTGCTTCCGGCCCCGGTGCCGAGATTGAAGTTGAGGGTGGGAAGACGGGTTTCGGCATTGTTATTGCGCTTATGGTGTCGGGTGGCATTGCGGCCCGATGAGCGAGGTATTATGCGGACCGTCTCTGTGCTGGAAGCATTCGAGGACGCTGTGGACTGCTGCGGAGGCGTGCTGTTATTGTCGAGCTCCATATCTCTGTCGTGGTTGCTGGGGTATGCGTGAGATGACTGGAAAGTGAAGTCTCCTTGCAGAGGGGTATACTGCTGCTGTTGTGGTGGCTCGGAGACGACACGGCGGTGTGGCAAGGCGGCATGGTCCTCCGTGAGGTCGCTGCTTGAGTTGACGAGTGGGTGGTGTGGTGGCTTCCTCTGCACTTCCGGACTTGAACTCCGCTCGTCGTCCTTGTCATCATCCTTTGCTGTACTACCGTCGTCCTCGTCGTCTGCGGTGGTGCTGGAGGTCTCCGTGCCTTGCCGTGGCGCTGGTCTCTCGCCCTCCAACCTCTCAGTCGCCCATTGTCTCACCCGCCAGCCCTCGCCATCCATCAGACCCAGATTCTCCTTGTCCAGGAACGCCAGGAGGTCGTCGAGAGCATCCTGATACCCGGCGCCTCTAGCACGTTCTTGAGACCTGGCAGCGGTCTTGTAGAGGTTGGTGACGGATAGAGCGGCGGCTTTGAAGTCGCCCAGGATATCGGAGGTGGGCTCGTCGGTATTGCGTTGTCGGGAGGAAGCGCCGGGCAGCGAGGTGGATAGATGCCGCATGGAGTCCATCGTGAAGGAAGGGTAGCGGTGTGAGAAGCGATGGTGAAGTGAGGCTCGGGCTCTTAATCTGGCGGCCAGCAAGGTGTCTCCGGGCGCGGGCAGTGTGTGTACGAGTGAGGTGTGACACAGTCAGCTGCCGGGAAAGATGACGATGATGCAGGCGTCGTCCGCTCGTTGTTTTTGGCTTTCGGTGCGATGTTGCCGCCACTCTCCGCCTAGACAGCCTGCTGGGGTGGTGATGAGAGTGATTCTATTGTTGAAGGCGTGGTGTGATGAAAGGAAGACAACGACGGACAAGTTGGTGGTCGATGGTGTACTCCACATTCCAGTCTCTGTCTGTCTCTCGGCCGAAGTTCTAGTCCTACGGCTCGTGCATTCACACGACACAGCGGGCCGGGCGGGGCGGGGCGGGGCGGGGCGGGGCGGAAGAAACGAACAGCACGAGTAGGAGTCCTCCCGGTCAAGCGGTCTCCGGTGTGCTGTCTCCCCGTCTTGCCCGTCTCTCCGTGTCTCTCTCTCTGCCCGGCGCTGCGTCATGCTGCGACAGAAACATTTGCTTGCATGACTGCGGACTCCCCACCACTGATCTCTCTCAGTCTCAGTCACAATTGACATGCTCTCCTCCCAATAATCACACCATCGCCGGCACGCGACAACATTGACATGGCCTCGGTCTCATCCCTCGACCAGGACGTCAGGAACCTCCGCCTGTCGCGCTACACTCCCCAGGCTGCCAACGAGGCCCGCGCATGGATCGAGCGCACTCTCGGCCAGTCGCTGCCCAACGGTGACCTCCTCGACGCGCTCAAGGACGGCGTTGCCCTCTGCAAACTCGCCAACCTCGCCATCGCTTCCCAGCATGCCGCAATCAAGTTCAAGGCTAGCCCGATGCCCTTCATACAGATGGAGAACATCAGCCACTTCCTCCGAGCCTGCGAGATGCCGCCCCTCAACATGCCCGCACACGACCGCTTCCTGACCGTTGACCTGTTCGAACAGAAGGACCCCGCGCAAGTCTTGCAATGCCTGGGCGCATTTAGTAGACAGGCCAACAAGATCAATCCCTCCAGATTTTCCACGACCATTGGCGGGAAGAAGAACGGTGCGGCCATGTCGCCCGCCACGACCGGCGGAAATGCTGGCTTCTCAAATGGTGGCAGCTTCAGACGACCAGCCAGTCCCACCAAACCATCCGCCGCCGTGCCTGCCTCTTCGACGCGTGCTATGAGCCCTGCCTTGACTGGAGGGTCCACTGGTTCGCAGAGCTCAGCCAAGTCACCCTCGGGTCCCGTAAGCAGTTGGAGCAAGAGAAGCGATGAGGGTATAACTTCACCTGCCTGGAATATCCACCAGTACGGCTACATGGGTGGCGCGTCGCAGGGGAACCAGGGCATCAGCTTTGGTGCAAGGCGCCAGATTACTAGTCAGGCGCCTTCCGTGCCGAGCTTGGCCGGGAAGGAAAAGCTGCGCAGAGAGAAGGAGGCTGAGGTGGAGAGGCAGCGCCAACAGCAAACCGAGGAGCAAGAACGTCGGCGAAGGGCTGCTGAAGAGGAGGAAGAGAGGGCGAGGATGGAGGAGGAGCGCCAGTGGGAAGAGGAAACAAAGAGACAGCGAGAGCAGGAGCGCAGACGGCTGGACGATCAGAAGCGCGAGTGGGAGGAGCAAGAGCACAGATGGAAGGAAGAAGAGGAGGCCCGCCGAAAGGAGGATGCGGCGTTGCGGGCTACCATGTCTAAGAAAGCGCCCGAGAAGCCGCGGGTACCGAGCTCCAGCATTCTACGAGGGCAGACGTTGGCAGAATACCAGAAAGAGCAGGCTGCGCTCTCGAGGAGTGCAAGCAGTGCAGCGGAATCGGCGGAGACCCCCGAGCAGAAACGCGTGAGAGAGCTTGAGCAGCAACTGGAAGAAGCTCGAGAGCGTGAGCGACAGTACCAGGCCGAACGCGAAGATCGCCTCCGCAAAGAGCAAAAAGATGGGTCACGACCGGGTACAGCGGATGCAGCTAGGCCACAAAGCGCGCACGAGAGCGATGTGAGCTGGGCGGGCGACGAGCGGGAGTATCTTCGACAGCAATGGCAGAGCAGTCGAGAGACACCATCGTCTCGGCCGGGCACCCAGCAACGTCCTCTTCCCACGCAACCTCAGACGGCGCCTACTCTCCCTCAGCGTGCGCTGCCAGAACATACAGCTCAAGAGCCTCTCAAGGAGTCGAAGCCGCCCACATTACCATCTCGATCACAGCCGTCTTCATCGCCGTTTGGGACGAGACCGCTATCCACTCCCTCCAAGGATTCCGAGCCCTTCGAACCGGAGCAGCGCAAATCTAACAGGACTGATCAGTTCCTCGCAGCAAACGCGCCGCCTTCAAATCCAGGTCCACGAATATCCTCAGCGCAGGAAGCTGGTGACACGTCGCTTGAGCAATCTCAGCTTCGCGACAGCCGCATTGCATCACAACAGAAGACCAAAGCTGGTGGCTGGGCGAGCAAGTCGCTGCTTGAACGCGAGATGGAGCGAGAGCGTGAAAGGCAGAAGGAATGGGAGGCGAATCAACAGGCCGTTCAGAGCGCGCCTCGGGACTCGACTCAGGGTACTGGAGAGGGACAGGCGTGGGATGTCAATCAGTACGGATACATGGGAGGAGATTCGATGAACAGAGGTAGCTCTGTGGGAAGTGGGATCAATATCGGAGGGAGGAGACAAATCATTGGACCTAGGCCGCAGAAGTAGCATCGGGAATGCCCAACTTGCATGAGGATTACGAGGTGACGGAGTAGGGGCTTCTGAGGGCAGAGATAGATGTCGAAACGAAGCACTGCGCGTGTGCAAGTAACCCCTTTGTTGGTGCTAACTACGCTCGTTCCAGCCGGCGGTTGACTTGTTCATCTATGCGACGATGGCGAAGGTACGTGTGTTGCCATGAACGGTACTGTGAATGCAATGTGTGGTCCCTGCGTTACGGCTGCACGGCCCTGAGCTCCAGCTCAAGTCGATCTCCAACTTCCATTCTCATCCCGAAGATTCGAACGCTCCATCACAACAGCCTCACGCTACAAACTCCGGTCTCGGCCTCTTCACTCTCCCCGTCAGCTCAATCTGCGCCTCTTCGACAATGCCCGAACCGAACACTACCCTGCGTAGCCTCCAGGACGATACGAAAATCGAAGACGTCCTCGCTCAGCAGCAGAAAGACTATGACTGTCTGCCCTGCCGTCTCATGGGCAGCGCGGCCTTTGCTGGCCTTGGCATTTATTCTTATGGCTCTGGCATGTCGCAATTGAGAAAGAGAGAGCTGGAGATCTTGCAGAGCGGGAGTAGGATTGGAATGGGCCCAAGGAAAGCAGGGATTTATGTTATTAGTGGCATACTCGTGGGATTGGGAGTCTATCGGTTGAAGTATTAACGGCGAAAATCTCGAAGAGACGAGACCAACGGACGCCTACGCCTAGGTCGTGTTCCCGGTGTCTTGGAGGAGGCCGACTACGAGCTTCGAAGTCTCGAGTGCCCGGCGAGGACGTATGGCAAAAAACCTCTGAGACAAGCTTCTCGTGTGGACTGCGTAGGGCGCGTGATGAGATCTGCGTGGGCTTGCAGAAGTTCGGTGGAGCCTATCAGCCACAGCCCAAGGGATGTCTCTTCGGCGTGAAGTGAATACCCGTCCAGAGCGAAGCGGAGGAAGAGATAATCAGGACAGTGTGTGCGGCAAAGCCGATTAGCAAAAGTCTCATGGGAGAGGCGTTACGCGGGCAGAAATCGAGTTGGGCTTGCGCATCACGCCTACACCGAGCAATGGCAACTCGGGAAAAGATTCCAGGGAGCATTCAAACCGCCAATCCGGCTAGCACTTACGTGAGTAGTATGTGAGAACGGCAACAGTCAAGATATTGAGCCTTCTATCAAGCAATCAAGAGCCTGAACGGTCCACGCACGCACTTCAGATACCTGTCGAAAAATGTGTGCCAAGAAGAGAAAGTCATCACCGCCCGGATTGCCACTGTTACGGCTCGATTCAATCTATGCGGACAAGTGTGGTGGAGTGCAGGGCTGCCCGCACATATGACTCCGGCAACATGGTCCCCTTGGCCCATACCGCTTCGACAGATGCGGTAACCCGTCTTTTGGGCCTGGTGTCTGCAGAAAGCGTGCACTGCAAAACCGCAAGCTCGAAGCCTCATCGCCTAGGCAATTTGATGTTGCACAAAGCGAGAGAAGGAATTGTATCATTCCGCTGAATCCCACAGCCAAGTATATAGAGGTTGCGCTATTGCCATGTACTATTGAATCAACGTGGCCTCTGGGAAAAAGAAGATGTTGATGGGGGACCCATATTCCCCTGCTGCGATGTTGAGGGACAAGGCAGCCTGCAAGAGCAAATGGACAAGTCTGATAAATAACCCAAATTTGTTCTTTGTTGCCCTCTTCGCTTCGTAAGTCTCCATACACAGTTGCCACTTACCTGAGACAATGCTGATTCTCAACCTTCTAGGCTTGGGCATGGGGTAATAAACCTTACCAAGAACGCTGGTTTCGAGGTTGCTAACGAGATAGGCACATACATCTTCTTTGCCGTGTTCCTCCTCGGCGATATCGTTTGGTATTGCTCTTGCATACCAGAGACCAAGGAGACCACTTTAGAAGACATTGCCAGGGTGTTCAAATGTTACACTGACGATGCGAGTAAGCACTTGATCGCAGAGTGTCGCAGGATCGTAGGCCTAGGAAAGAGCTTGGAACACGTTACAGTGGACGAGGCAAGGCGATCATCGACCATCGAGAAGGGTTCGGAAGCGATGATTGAGGCGGTGTGTGATTGGAAGATCGATAGAGTGATATCGAAGCTTGACGACTTTCCAAGAGCTGGACAGCAATGTCGTCTCCGATGCAGACTAGTCAGACTTGGATTGCTCGCAGCTCGAGCAGTCTGGCTGTCCAAGCTGTCCGCTCGAGATATGAATGCCGCATCGGAAGTCATATATTCCTCCTCCACGACAAGTCTACTGCTACAACCATTGATCTGCTCCTCAATGCTACCCGAACGAAATAACAATGCGATATCCTTCCTTCCATCCGCGATCTCCGCAACGCCAGATGCGGTTGTCGACAGGGTAGTTCAGCCAGATCCCGGACTGAGCCTTGCGCACTGTGTCCGTTTAGGACTCGGACGACGGGATTTCTGGACACCTCCACTTTCAACTCGACTGCTTAAGAGTACGTCCCCTCATGGCTTGTCGTCGAGCACATGCTCGTCCATTACCCATCCTCTATATCACGATGGTCAATCCGAAGGCACAGAAAGCCGTGCAGGCGTCGTTGGACAAAGTGACAGGAGACTCCTCTACAGGAATCGCGGGTGTCGTCTTCGTTGCAGTGGACAAGAATGGCAACCAGATCGTCGCCTGCCCTTCCGGCAAGGTAGGCCTCACTCGAAATGATCCAATGACTATGGACACCGTCTTCTGGATTGCTAGCTGCACCAAGCTGCTTTGTACGATGGCTTGTATGCAGGCGGTCGAGCAAGGACTGCTCAGGCTGGATGATGCTAAGCAGGCAAGTGCTGTTGTACAATCAGCTGATTGCTCACCCTGACGCCGGCCAGGTTCATGATCTGTGTCCCGAGCTCAGCACTAAGAAGGTCCTGCAAGCGGACGGATCTTTTGTGAGTCGCAAGAAAGATATTACTCTGCGTATGCTCCTGTCCCATACCGCTGGCTTTGGATATGAATTGTAAGCACAGCAGCCGAGCACCGACTCTACCTTGGATGGCTAATCTATCGCCAGTTTCAACCCTCGAGTCCGCGACTATGGCCGACCTGTTGGACTGGACTGTTTTCATGCAAATGTAAGGCATCTCCGTCATTATCATCATCGAAACTAGTCTGATCGTCACGCAGATTCGAGACATACTTGAACAACCTCTGGTGCATCAGCCCGGTGAAGGTACGGTAGACTGTTACTATCAACAGTAGTCCAAGCGACATGGACTAACCTGGGATCGCAGGCTGGGAGTATGGCGTCGGAATCGACTGGGCCGGCATCGTTCTGGAGCGCGCTACGGGGGTTCGCTTGAACGACTGGATTCAAACCAATATCACTCAGCCCTTGGGGTTGAAAGCCGTCAGTCTCTGCCCGACGACGGAGATGAAGAAGAATCTCGCCTTCATGCATCAACGCTGGCCCGGAGATCCACACCAGAGAAGCGAAGAAAGAGATCACATTCTTCGCGAGCCGCTTATGGCCGAGACGGCAGAAGAACGAGAGCGCTTGTTTCAGTCCGGTACGTCACAAAGAAGAGGGAGCTTTTGTCGTTTGCAATTATAAGTGGACCGGCTGCTACCCGCGACAAAAGCTAACGTTTCGTCACGTAGGCGGCGCAGGATGCTATGCCAAACCGGCCGAGTACGTTCAGGTCCTGGCAGCTTTGTTGAATGACGGTGAATCGCCTATCACAGGCGCTCGAATTCTCAAGAAGGAAACCGTCCAGGCCATGTGGGAGAACCAGGTTCCCCGCATGCCGGACTTCGCTCGTCAAGGTATTCCAGATGCAAAGAGAGATCAGACGAACCCAACTTCTGAGCTCTATCCGCAAGAAGGCAACCCACCGCAAGGCTGGGGCCTGAGCTTCATGCTAACTCAAGAGCCGGGGGCGACTGGTCGTGGGAGAAATACTGCTTGGTGGGCTGGACTCGCGAATTGTTTCTGGTGGTGTGACCGAGAGAAGGGGGTTGCTGGGATTATCGCGAGCCAGATCATGCCGTTCCTGGATCCTAACATCCTTGGTCAATGGGTCGCCTGCGAAAGCGCTGTATATGCTAGTGTTTGAAAGATTAGTCGAGTGTAGGACAAATTGTACTAAGCGATAATTGTTTCCGTATAGAGCAAAGGCCGTATAGCGAATACTAACTACTAAGAAGGAACGTAGGAAGCCGGCGCATAGCCTATAGGCATTTAAGGAAGAGTAGATTAATACTACTATCTAGCTAGGGGTACTATAGGACGAGAAAGAGAACATAGGTAGGTAGGTAGTAGAGATACTTAGTATTAAGATAGATATAGGTATAATAGAAGTAGATATCTTAAAAGTTTTTAGTTTCTTATCTATTTGAAATAAGCTAACACTTATATTTAAGCTTATATAGTACTATTACTTAAGTAATAGACTTACTCTAATATATTATTAATTCTAAATTTAGGTAATTTTCTCTGTTTCATTAGTTAACTAGTCTTTTGACCTTTTCTTTTAATATTAAAGTATACTATTAGATAGGAGAATACTATTTAGCTAATAGTAATACCTAAGAAATAGACTTTTTACTAATATTTTAAAAACTCTAAATTAGACTAACTTCTTATACTTTATTAGTATATTAGTCTCTCTATCTCTTCTCTAGACCTTAAAGTATATAATAAGATAGAAAAATACTACTTACCTAGTAGTATTACTTATTAAATAGTCCCTTTTCTATTATTTCTGAAACTCTAAGTTAGACTAATTTTCTCTATTCTAATAGTTTATTAGTCTCTTTACCCTTTACTAAGGCCTTATAGTATATAATAAGTTAGTAAAAAACTACTTACCTCGTAGTATTATTTTAAGGATAGTCTATTTCCTATCTTCTAGAAATCTCTATATAAGACTAATCTTCTCTAGTTTATTAGTCTTTCTATATTCTATCTAGGTCTTAAAGTAAGTAATAAGATAGAGAAATACTACTTACCTAGTAGTTCTACTTACGAAATAGACCTTATTATAATATATTATAAACTCTAAATTAGACTATTCCTCTCTATCTAAGTAGTTTATTAGTTTTCCTATCTATTACTTAGGCCTCTAAATAGTGAATTAGATAATATAGTACTACTTACCTAGGAGTATTATTTAAAAATAGTACCTGTTCTAATATCCTTTTAAACTCTATACTAGACTAACTTTTATACTCTATTAGTTTCCTAAACTTATAGGTAGAGGATAGAATATAAAATTACTATATATATAGTAGTATTACTTTAGGAATAGACCTTCTCTTAATATCTTAAAAACTCTATATTAGACTAATCTTATCTATTCTAATAGTTTATTAGTTTTTATACTATTTACTTAGTCTCTTTAGTATATAATTTAACTAAAAAATACTACTTACCTTATAGTATTACTTTAATAGTAGTCCTTTCTATAGTATCTTAGATATCTCTAGATTAGACTAATCTTCCCTATTCTATTAGTATACTAGTCTTTCTAGCTTTTATCTAGATCTTAAAGTAAGCGATAAGATAGTAAAATACTTCTTACTTAGTAGTATTACCTAATAAGTAGTTTTTTTTCTAATATCTTTAAAATATCTAATCTCGACTAATATTCTCTATACTATTAGTATATTAGTCTTTCTACCTTTAATTCAGGTCTTAGAGTAAGTTATTAGATTAAAAGATACTACTTACCTAGTAGTAGTATTTAAGAAATAGATCTTTCTATAATATCTTTTAGTCTCTAAGTTAGACTACATCTCTCTATTTTATTAGTTTATTAGTTAGTATATCCTTTCTATAGGCCTTAAAGTATATAGCTTACCAGAAAAATACTACTTACCTATTAGTATTACTTAGGGAATAGATATTCTTCTAATATCTTAAGAACGCGAAATTAGACTAACTATTTCTATACGATTAGTTTATTAGGTTCTCAAACTATTACTTAGGCCTCTAAGTAGAGTATTAGATAATTAAATACTACCTATTTAGTAGTATCACTAGATAAATAGCCCCTTTTCTAATATCTTAAAACTCTCTAGGTTAGACTAATATTTACTATTTTATTAGTTTATTAGTCTTTCTAACTATTAACTAGGCCTCTAAGAAAACGATTAGAGAATAAAATACTACTTATATAGTAGTTAATTATTATAAAATATATAGTCCCCTTCCTAATTTCTTAAGAACTCTATATTAGAGTAATGTTATCTATTCTATTAGTTTATTAGTCTTTCTAAGTACTATTTAGGCCTATAAATATGAGACTAGATACTAAAATACTATATACCTAAGTAGTATTACTTAGAGAATACTCCTCTTCTAATATCTAATAAACTCTAAATTAGACTAATCTTTTATACCTTACTAGTAGATTAGTCTTTATACCCGTTCTTAGACGTTAAGGTATCTTATTAGATAGTAAGATACTAATTACTTAGTAGTATTACCTAAGGAATAGTCCTTTTCCTAATATCTTAGAAACTCTAAATTCAACTTCCCTTTTTAATTTTCTTAGTTTATTAGTCTTTATACCTTTTATCTAGAGCTTAAAGTATACTAGTAGATAGAGAAAGACATTATATCTAGTAGTACTACTAAAGAAATAGACCTTTTCTAATATTTTAGAAATCTCTAAGTTAGGCTAATCCTCTCTATTCTAATAGTATCTTAGTCTGTATACCTTTTATATAGGGCTCTTAGCTTAGATTAGGAGAAAAAAATACTAGTTAGCTAGGGGTACTACTTATATAGAAGATCTTCTACTAATATCTTAAAAAGTCTAGATTAGGCTAATCTTATCTATTCTAGTAGTTCCTTAGTCTTTCTACTATTTACGAAGGCCTTTTAGTAGATAATTAGAGAAAAAGATACTACTTACCTAGTAGTATTACTTTAAGAATCGTACCTTTTCTAGTATTATTAAAAATCTAAAAACTCTATATTAGACTAATTCCTCTTATCTTATTAGTCTAATAGTCTTTATACTTTCTCTCTCGGTCTTTACGTAAACGATTTAATAGATAAATACTACTTAACTAGTAGTAATACTAAATAGATAGTTCCTTTCCTAGTATCTAAAAAATCTCTAAATTAGACTAATTTTTACTATTCAATTATTTCATTAGTCTTTAGATATACTATTTAGGCCTCTAAGTAAAAGGTAGGATACTAAAGTACTAAATACCTAGTAGTATCACTTTATAAATAGTGCTTTTTCTAATATTTTAAGGAATACGAAATTAGACTAATCTTCTATGATTTATTAGTATATTAGTATCTCTACCTTTTATTTAGACCTTTAAGTATATAGTTAGATAGAAATATACTACTTATATAGTAGTAATACTAGATAAATAGTCTATTAGTATTTTCTGATATTCAAAAGACTCTATTATAGACTTATTTTTCCCATCTTATAGGTTTATTTATCTTTATACTATTTACTTAGGTCTTTAAGTATATAATTTAACTAAGGGATACTACTTATCTAGTAGTATTATCTAAGAATTAATTCCTTTCCTATTATCTTAAAGATTCTAAATTAGACTAATCTTCTATATCTTAATAGTTTACTATTCTTTCTACTATCTACTAAGAGCTTAAGGTATACTACTAGATAATAAAATACTATATATATACTAGTTTTACTTAAGGAATTAGCCTTTTTTATAATACCTTAAAAATTCTAGATTAGACTAATCCTCTCTATTTTATTAGTTCCTTAGTTCTTATACCTACTATATAGACTTTAAGGTAGAAGATAAGATAATAAAATACTATAAAGCTAGTAATATTACTTATAGAATAGTCCTTTTTCTAATATCTAATAAACTCTATATTAGACTCCTCTCTCTAGTTAAATACTTTCCTAGTCTATATATCTTTTATTTAGGCTTAAAAGGTTAGAAGTAGATATAATGATACTAGTTACTTTATAATACTACTTATAGAATAGATCTTCTATTAATATTTAATAAAAATCTAGATTAAACTAATCTTCTCTATTTTATTAGTATATTAGTCTCTATACCTTTTCTTAGGATAATTAAGTATACTATAAGATATAAAAATACTATTTAGCTAGTAGTAATACTTAGGAAGTAGTCTCTTTTCTAAAGTAAGAGACTCTAAATTAGACTAAGTTCTTATACTTTATTAGTATATTAGTATTTTTACTTTTTCTTAAGACTTTAGAGTATATAATAATAAAGAAAAATACTACTTACCTAGTAGTATTATCTTAGGAAAAGTACCCTTTCTAATATCTTAGGAACTCTATATTAGACTAGTATCCTCTATTTTATTAGTTTCTTAGTCTCTTTACTAAGGCCTTCTAGTATATAATTAGGAAAAAAGATACTACTTACCTTATAGTATTCTTTTAAGAATAGTTTATTTCCTATTTTCTAAATATCTCTATATAAGACTAATCTTCTCTAGTTTATTAGTCTTCTTATACTCTATTTAGGTCTTAAAGTAAGTAATAAGATATAAGAATACTACTTACTTAGTAGTTCTACTTAAGAAATAAACCTTCTTATAATATATTATAAACTCTAAATTAGTCTATACCTCTCTATTTAAGTAGTTTATTAGTCTATATACCTTCTATATAGGCCTCCTAGCTTACGAGTAGCTAGGAAATACTAGTTACCTACTATTACTACTTATAAAATAGATTATCTAATACTATTATAGAGAATTCTAAATTAGACTAATTATCTATATTATATTAGTATATTAGTCTTTCTATATTTTCCTTAGATATTATAGTATATAATAGAATATAAAAAGACTACTTGCCTAGTAGTAATAATAACTAAATAGCAGCGTTTATATTATCTTCAAGATCTTAAAATTAGACTAATATTTACTATTTCATTAGTATATTAGTTTTTTTAACTACTACCCAAGCCTATAAGTAAGCGATTCGATAATATATTACTACTTACCTATTACTATTACTTAATATATAGCCCCTTTTCTAATATATTAAGAACTATATATAAGAGTAATCTTTACTACTTTATTAGTTTATTAGT